CAAGTCCAACTCCTTAACCACTCGGACACCTCAGCTACATCTATAGTTGCGAAATTTACGTACGTAAAACTTAACCATTGTTTATCATACCTTACTATTATTATGTGGAATAAAAATATATTTTTTTAATAAATGTTAATAGGGTTACTCATAAACAGAACATACCTAATGATAATATATGGGTCATTAAGGACATTTGTGTTTATGATTGTTTTTGTATGTATGTACGTTCATATTAATTATATTCCTTGACTGGAAACCCCATAAATATGAACTCAGCCCCACCCGGGACTTGAACTCATGACATACCTACAAATCTGTATCCATATATGCTATCCACTACACTAGTGACTAGACCAACATATACCTGTGTATGTATTGTGTAAGTTAGTAGTGCTTAATTCTTAGCTATGATATTCAAAATTCTAAAATCTAAATCATTTTTGGCACCGATAGATATATTATATTTTATCTATACTAATATTATAAAGAGATAAAGTTTGTGAGTTTATGAGATTGTGAGTTTGTGACGTTGTAGGGGGTAATCTCTGGATCTACTGAACCGATTTAAATGAAATTTCGTAAGAAGATGGTTTGAGACTCTGGGACATAGGATACTTTTATCCCGAAAATAATCCCTTAAGAGGGTAAAGGGGTTGAAAGTTTGTATGGGGAAGCAAGCTAGGGACGAAACCGAGCGAAGCGAGGGTGAGTCGATAGTAGGTGATATAGTCATGACGTTCAGTTAAAATTATAATGAATTACAATTCGAATACGAATTTAATAAGTTACGAAACACACTTAAGCAAATAAAAGCTACTATGCTGCTACTACGGACGAATATTATAATTATTATCACACAGCTGAGGTGTCCGAGTGGTTAAGGAGTTGGACTTGAAATCCAATGGGTTCTACCCGCGCAGTTTCGAATCCTGTCCTCAGCGATCACTTTATTTTATTATAATTTATTTAATGTCATCCAATACACTTACATATACATATATGTACGAATTCTAAAACTATAATAAATTAATTGAAAAAGCATTACAACTGTCACAAAAAATAAACTATAAGCATGAATTTTTTTAGAAACAAAAAACCTTGAATATATAACATCAATTTTTTTTTTTTGACTTATAATATTTGTATCCAAAAACAGTATTTTTAATATTAGTCTTAATAATTACAATAAGTGCTTTAGCTAATGAATAATAATTATTTAGAAGAACCTACAATAATGAAAACATTATAAATATTAACGAGATAATCGATAAAAACTAATCGATTGAAGTTAGCCATCTTTTAAGCACTCCTTTAATCGGTATTACATCAGCAATGTTAAGAATAGATCCTCGTATTTGATACGCAAGTGCGAATCATGAGGCATAAGATCATTTATCAAAGTTTGTATGTAAATAGACATCAGGCATTCAGGTCGCAAGCGCTGGGCTCGCGTAAAATACTTAGATACTACGCATCTAGTATATTAGCCTCAGATTATTATACTTATACTAGCGACTCAGCCTCGTTCCGCTCGGGTTCGCCTCTACTTACGATTTAACGTTTAGTATAGATTTCTCAGAGACGAGATATTTTCCCGCAATAAAAAGTATCCTATATGTTGACCCGGATAACCACCTATCATCATACCAAATTTTATCAAAATCCCTCTAATGGATTTTCCGTTCTGCGGTCACAGTCAAACAGACAGACAAAATTCTAGAAAATATAGATTCGGCCTCTGTATCGATTTCAATAAGATTTTCCAAAAAATATTTCATATACAGATTTGGCTTACTTACAATTTTATTACATGTATAGATTTTTACTCGGAGTTTTTTCTTAAGATCTTCCTTACGTCACGTCTTCGATCAAAAGTAGTATTGTCGATCGAAGCGTTACGTCGCTACATCGTTCAATCACTACATCTTTCAACAATTTGATATCGGACCACTATAAATGTAAAAGTTTGTATGTACACACACCCAGTGTGTATGTTTGTTTGTTACTGCTTCACGTTATACTATAAACGTGGCCGGACGAATTTGGATGAACTTTTTTTTAGTACACAGATACACTATGGCCTGGAAGAACATACCTATAGGCCATATATGCAGCTAATCCCACAGTTACAGATTCATATACAAAATTTACTGTTTCCCCCTATTTTTTGCACTCCATTTGTGTGAACATCTCATCTTGACCAGAACCTTTTCACTGTAATCTTCCTGTATGACCAGTAAAATTATTTACCACGTCTGATAACTAAACACAAAACAATAATTTAAATGCATACGACATGAAACCAGAAAATACATATTTTAACACCATCTTGTGTCAGAAATATGCTGCTACTAGTTTTGATCAGGCGTTTTATGCTATAAACATAAGTATAACATATTGATATACTAAATATTATTTTGCATACCTCCTCAACATCAGCGATGTTTACTAAAATTTAAAACAAAATGTAACGCTGAGGACAGGATTCGAACCTGTGCGGGTAGAACCCATTGAATTTCAAGTCCAATTACTTAACCACTCGGACACCTCAGCTATAGAACGCAATGTAAAATATTGGAAGACATATTGTATATATTGTATAAACAAGTTTTTCTTCTATAAGACATAAATAAAAAAGTACCAACATTATTAATTCCTTACTATAGTACTAATATAGTATTATATGACCTGTGCTATAGTTCTTCTGTTTATAGCATAGTTGAGTAAAACAAAATGAATTCTAAATTGGCTCAAAACTGTGGCCTACGTTGGTACGTTTGTACATAATTTATAACATAGATACGTAAATATTATTCGAAATAAATTCATGTTTATCAAATAGCAATGCTAACGGTGATGTCTTATCATTTCCTTCACGTGATGTTTGTCCTCTGAGTGACAAGTGCGAGCTTCACTCAAGAATTTGCCTTCCGCGTGAAGTGCGTGCTGTGTACACAATTACCTACTTACGACTAAAACAGCAAAATTTCTTCACGTTCTGGGTTTGGCTGACATCACTTCCACTTGAGAATAATCATTAATTATCTAAGTAGCTGTTTCTCATTGTTTAATTATATTATTATTATTGCAGATTAGTTGTAAATATGATATTAGGTATATCAATATCCCCCCCAACGTGCGTTCACCTTGTCGTGGTGGGGGGGCAATCCAACCGGGCGCGAAGCCAAGAAACGCACAGGGAGATGGCCCACTTCGGTGGGCGGTGGGAGGCGGCCCTCTTCGGAGGGCGGTGTGCCATGCGGGTTGTACTTCTCTGATAGCAGAGTGGACCTTGGAGCAACCCCGTGGTTGTTGTGGTCTGCTTCGGAGAGCTGCCGTCGGGGCGTCGTAGTTGAATGCGTAAGCGATCCTGCGACGCCCCATTAAGACGGGGGAAGGCTTTGTTGGGTTTTAGTGGGTAGTACTGGCTTTGCCGGTGAGTCCCACACCTCGTGCGTAAATGCATTTCCCAACGTTAAAAAAAAACAGGTATATCAATATAAAATGTTGTATTCAATTTCTATTTATTCAAAAGTTAATTCTAAGTGCAGCCCTGGATTTACACTAGGGCCACTCGGGGCTAGTGCCCAGGGCGGCAAATTTTTAGGGGCGGCAAAATTCGGAGGGTGGGAAAAAATCTTCTTCGCATTATCGAAAATGCTTTTTTTATTTTATAAAAATGAAAAATAAAAAGGCGTTATATACTTTTTACAGACAATGCCTACCTTAAAAATTAAATAAGTATTATAATTAAATACATACATAGCAATTTTATTTATTTAATTTTAGCTGTTATTATTATTATTATTATTACAATTTTAAAAAACTTTGTTATTTAATAATGTTATTTAGTGTTGTTATTGTTATATTATGTATAACCATAAAGAATATTAAAAATTAAAAATATAAATTATTTACTTAAGCAATATTATTGTTTTATATGTGTTTTAAAGAAGAAGTTCAACTATTAATTTAGATTGCTATTATTTAAAGTTATTTTAACTCTAAGCAACATTATTGCAACCTTTATCCACGCAGTATGAACCAACTACAATTAATAGTCTATTATATTTGTTTTTGTTGTTAGATTTTATTATGTATATGGATATACCTGTAAATAAACCTGTATAAATAATATTAAGTATTCTATTATTATTTCATTATAGTAAAGAAAACTTGTCTTAATTAAAAATATTTTTTAAAACAGAAAATTATTTTACTAAATACGATACCTACCTACGATACGATATAAAACTTTTGGTTCCATCACTATTTGTATTGAATTAACCAATCAGCGTGCATTTCAACCCGCCGCCCCCGTGATGCTTACTCAGACCTTTAACTGACTGGTTTGGAATTTGGATGCAGAAGTACATATATTAGGCGTCTATCGGGCTTAGTGGTCGTTGACACGATCAAAGTAGTCATCAAAACTACTTTGTCAAAGTAAGCTTTGAGAGAAGTAGAACACGGTCCAAATCCACTTTGATAAACATCACATCAACTAAAATTTACATGATCAAAGATGCATCAAAGTAGTCATCAAAAGTACTTCGCATTTTATAACTATACTCTTTGGTACTTCGTCAAACTAGACTTTGATCGTGACAACGCGGCTTAAGTCATAAGGAAGTCTTATGGTGCATTATTCATCTATGGTCTAAGACTGTATTGAAGTGGCAATAATCTGTGGTAATAATAAAAGTCAAAAATAGTGACATCTGGTCTATAATCTTTGGTCAGAAACGAAACGTTGTTTAATGTTTTTACTTTTTCATGATGGCATTTGTGACTTCTGTGATGTTTTGGTTTTTTTACTTGAAATAATTCTGTAAAATATCCAATGTCTTAGTATAAAAATAATAAATATATTCATCATATTTTTATTCATAATTACAAAATGATTTAACAAACAAAATGTATACAAAAATGACTTGTGTAGCGACAAGTGATAGAATATAAATCCGATGTTAGTTCGAGAACGTAAGTGCTTAAAAATGCCGTGCGAGAGTTGCGCGGTGCAGTTTAGTGTTTTTAAAAGAAAACGGGCTTGTTCTGAATGCGAGAGATACTACTGTAGTGGATGTCTACGACGGGGCGGAGGCACTATGTGTGCCCCTTGTAGGGTGCTCTCTACAAGACCCTTGGCCAGACAAACTATAGCCCACTTGAAAGTCCGTGACCTCCAATGTTTTCTGCAACGGCAGAACGTATCTACAAGGGGCTGCGTCGGTTAGTATTCCATAAAGTTAGCAAATTCTAATAATAAGTTAATAAAAGATTCCAGAACTATCTATGGATGATTTGCATTCTTACTCGAAGAAACTTGAATTAGGACTAGAAAATTATAAGGAAATATCAAAAAAAATTGTAATGAATCATAATAAAAACTATAATATTATTATTCAATTGACAAATTTGAATTGATAAATATAATTATTAATAATGTATAAGAAACTCAATGCTAAATATTTATAGCAATATCATGAAATAAATAATAATATTTTATTATTTATTTATTCATGATTTTGAAATAAATATGTTTTCTAAGGTTTCAATTCATTGAATTTCAAATACATTTACCTATTATCTTCATATTATTATTTTATGACTGTTTCATCCTTACTCATTAATAGAATTAATTATCCCTGTTAAAATTTTACCCTAGAAAATTATTATCAAAAATTAAATTTTAAATTAATAATGTGTAACATTATAAATAAGGGGAATAAATGTTATCTTAAGTACTACTTATCACAACAACTTTTATCTGTTGATGCATCTCTATATCAATTAGTGGTTAAGCTATTATGCAATAAAATTTAATTAAATTGGTGAAAGTGAAAATGCTGGCATCTATTAAAAAACAATAATCACTTACATTATACTGATCCCTAATGTATTTACTGAATATTATTATGTGTATGTATATTATAAAAACAATCTCTTCTCTTGTCATTTATAATTATTTTAAATAACTAAACAAAAAATATATTTGTACATATAATACCTGAGACTTATATTTTACTTATCACTGGTCATAAATTAATAATGAAATCATTGGATAACAAATTATTGCACTATATAATATGTAAATCCCTAGAAAGAAATGGTCAAGTAATTTTTGACTTTGAGATTGGTCTTTTATGACTCATATGTAAGAAAAATCCCCTTTTATCAATATAATAATTCATTCATATAGTCTCCGTGAAGAATGATATAGAATATAAATAATACTAAGAAGGGTCAAACTTAATCAGAATATTATGTTTAACATATTTGTTTAAAAAAAATAAAGTTTATAATTTGAGCTCATAATATGATTAGTTACGTAATAATGCCCTCCAGACTGATTTATGCCACAGTGGCTGATTTCACTGAGACTAGCGCAGGAGATATTATAGTAAAAGTTGCATAATACCAAAGCATCAAGTAATCACTATCATTAAAATAATGATTGTTTGTTTGACTTTTTGAAGTAAAACTTCTTTAGAGGTGACTTGTTATTTATAGCAATATATATTTATTATTATTATTAATTGCATAATAATTATTACTTATAAAAATGATTGTTTATTATTTATAAATAAAAAAATATATATATTTATATTTTGATTTGTTTTAATTTAATTGTGCTATCTGCCACAGCTCCAAGAAAGTTTTACTTCAACCACTCCTAAAGGTTACACATAATCATTTTTCTTATATTAATAATGATAATGAGTTCAGAGTTGAGAGTTTGAGAGTAAAAAAAATAATAAGAATAGCTTAATAAGTTGAATAAAAGTCACATAGTCTATAATATATTTGTTTGCTTGTATTTTTAATGTAGAATAGAATAGATCACTAAATTGTGCTGGATTTCTAAAATTGCTAATTCAAATTGGAATTAAAGCAAAATATATAATATAAAATTGGAACTTTCATCCTACTCATTGTTATTTTTTAATTTCAGAAAAAGAAGAACTAGTCACTCTTTGTGTATCCCACGTGAATAGCGCGGCGTACAGGCGGCGAGGACCACGCGCCGGTGCAAGTCCTTTTAGTTCACTCAAAGGCTTCACAAATAATATCAATGATTTCATCAATTCTGCTTTTGATCTTCGGAACCCAGCGCATCCAGCTCAGCCAAATAATACTAGAAGTAAGTAATATGTGCTATATTCCACATTTCTTTTGATAGTTGTTGAGACTCCTTGTATATTATAGCTTGTATAATATACCTTGTCTGGTATTTTTATGAAAAGTAAAATACTGTTGAATCAATAACATTGCTGTTCATTGTATTAACTAAGCTATTATATAAATATCTCGTGTCACGGTGTTTGTGGTCGCACTCCTACGAAACGGCTCGACCAATTTTAATTCAAAAAAATTAAATATATGGTAGATATGAGAATAAGTCGTAAAGTATTTTTCGCTCTCTTAATCTACATGTACTTACCGAATAATAAGACACTCCGTCTGAAAGATTTCTTTTTTGAGCATTATTTTTGCAACATGTAAATTAATCGAAATATATGCTCACTTTGCAAGTGAGCTTATATTTATCGAGACTGGTTTCTTACTCCGACCCGATATCTAGTAGTATTTTTGATCAAAGCTGTAAATGTAAAAATAATTTATATACATTCAGTTCATTCAGTAATGGAGACTCATTTAAATATGATTTATTTTTATTTTTCTAAGAATACTGATGCAAATATTAAATACTAAAAATTCAAATAGTGTTAATATTAATTATTATGATATGTAATTTGTTTTAATAATATTGCCAACACAATACATGTTTATCACTTTTCAGGTAATTGCTTTAACTCATCACATGCACATTCGCCCACTAATGGGACTACACCAGATGTCAACAACATACCTGACAGGCGCTTCACTCCCACTCCAGGTAGCATTATAACACAACAGGATAATAATTTTCTTAAAATGATTGACCAAAATGTATGACAAATTCCCAAGTCCTTCTGACAGATTCCCTAAATGAGCATGACCATCTGCTCAAGAAATATTATAGTGTGGTGTGGTGTGATTGTGCTGCACTCTTTATATTTATTACATTTATATATAAGCCAATGGGATGGCGATTCGACACGAGAGTCTGCCTATGCACTGCACAGAAATGATGGCCACCTCGACTCTGATCCTAGTCAAAGTACAGCCACTATATTAGTAGGATAGTCAAATTTTATATTTAATCGTGTACAAACAGACACATAAATGATTAAGTCTAAAATATAATAAGTAACTTTGAGCAGGTTTGTTTTTTAATTTAATATTTTCATAAAAAAAATATTGAATAAAATTTTGTTCAACGTTATACTGAAATCGGAAGAGTTACCCAAGCTGTAAATAATACATCTCGATTTTACTTGACATAATCTGACTTCTAATTGTGAAAGTTTGTACTTCACGCTGAAACGGATGGATGGATAAATATGAAATTAATAGTTATGTAAATTATTATAACTTAATTGATAGTGTAACAATGGCGTATTCCAGGAGGCGAGCGCGACATCCGCGTGCCCGGCGTGCCCGCCGCGCCTGACGTGCCTGTGGGGGCTGAGGCGGGGGAGGACGGGGACGTGGAGGGCGCGCACGTCGACACCACCGACTGCTTCGAGATAGAGGACCTGGACGACACCGGCTGGGAGTTCATCACGCGGCCCGCCGACCCGCTGCCTAATGGTGAACAGATCTTAAGTGTGGTGTCTTATAAATAGTAGGGTGTGGTGTTTTTTTTTATATTTTAGAAGCACATGTATGAAAGAAGAAAAATGTTTTAATATTTATTTTACATACTTAGGATCAACTTTGTTTTAATAATAAATTATTGCATAAACTTGTCCTCCAATACTGCTTAAGTGTTAAAGAAGCTTTGTGTTGCTTTTTTATATATAAGATCAAGTATTTAAATATAATTGCAACAGTCAAAAAAACATACAAATAATTATTATAATATATATATATATATATTATATATATATATATATGTAAATTTCGAGTCCAATAATGAACTTCATTCAGTCTTCAAATACTATGAAATCAAACACAAATCCTTTATGTTATTTAATAATCATTTTTATCGATTTATTGTATGAGGCTATACAATAAATCAATAACAATGAATCACTACTATAAATGTAAATATAGCAGCGAACGAAAGACAGTAAGTCGCTATAAGTATATGACTACATATATGTATGCCACCCTTAGACTCGGAGGTGCTGCTGACGGCGGCGGAGCGCGGGGAACGCGCGGGCGCCACGCCGCAGCGCGCCGCGTCGGAGCTGGAACTGCGCAACGCGGCGGCGGCCAGCGCCGACACCGCCAGCCTGCAGGACGAGCCCCTGCTGCACGACGCGCAGCACTCGGATGAAGGTCAGTTTTTTACCACTGGAGTATTACGATAACAGGATAATTATTGAAATGATGAGTATATGTAATATGGTTATAGTTAAATTATACATATATGGTGGACTCTACAAATACTCTTTGGCAGTTTAAGATGATGAGTGTGTGCGTGGTGTCGCAGGTGGCGGTGACGAGTGTGGGGGCGGCGAGGCGCCGATGTGGTCGGGCGAGGTGACGCTGGCGGCGGTGCGGCGCGCGTCGCAACTGGAGCAGCTGAGCGTGCGCCAGCTGAAGGCGCTGCTGGCGCGCAACCGCGTGGAGTTTCGCGGCTGCCTCGAGCGCGCCGACTTGCTGCAGCGCGCGCGCACTCTGTGGCGGGAACACGCCAAGTACAGGGACGGTGCGTCGCCTCACACTTGCCTCACTTTGCTCATCCTGTTACACTAATTATTAACTACCTAGGTGATCTAGTGGCTAGCATATACGGCCGCAGATCTGGAGTTCCTTTATTCAACCCGGGTCGGGCCAAGTTCAGTTATTGTTTCCGTCTATAAAGCATTCGAACCAAAAACCAAAATAAATTCGAAAAAATCCTAGAAAATAGTTATATTTAAAATGTTAAATATTAGCGTAAATCTAAGAAAGTATTAAGTGTAGTAAAAGTTTAAATATTTTAAAGAATGTATAATTAATTAAGGAAGCAAATTTACTATTTATTTATTTAAACTGTCCGCTCTCTATCTTTTGTATTCTTGATGTTATATTCGATAACTAATTTCATGTGTGAATGTTACTCCATAGAAATCGACAACCTGCCGTTCGAGGAGAGCTGTAAGATCTGCATGGCGGCACCGCTGGAGTGCGTGCTGCTGGAATGCGGCCACATCGCCGCCTGCACCGCCTGCTCCAAGCAGTTGGCCGAGTGCCCCATCTGCCGCCAGTACGTCGTACGAGCCGTGCGCTTCTTCCGCTCATGAGCGGCACCACTCCGTCACCACGCCACCATCACTCCACCACCACGCCGCCACCACGCCACCGGTGCCCCATCTACCGCCAGTGCGTTGTGCGCTTCTTCCGCTGCTCCTGAGCACTACCGCACCCCACTCCACTAGCGGAGTTGAATTATATTATAACAACCGAGCGTATTCAAGAATTATTTATATGAATTGACATTTGTTTGATGCTCGTTCAATCTTATGGCTCGATATTACTGTCCTAACCTACTAGTCAGTGTTAGTCCGCTGGTAAGCCACCGTCGAGGTTTAACCGCAGTATTAGCACAAACGATGCTCGGCAAGTTAACTCCAAGCGTTTGAAATTGCCTTGTAACTAATATCTATTGAGTTTCGTCATATTTAATATCTCGTGCTATGGTGTGACCGCTCGCGCTGTACGCGTCTTAGGTACAGACTGTTTGTCGTATATCGCCCTATCTTTTCGCGAAAGGAAACGGATAAAAAAAACATATATAAATGTGCCCTTGTTACTTTAATAAATATAAGTAGATATCATATTTATTTAAACATTATAAAAAAATATAAGCGAAGAGTTCTGTAGTACGAGTATATCTTTCGCAACCCAAGGCGGTGCAGCGCGAGTTGTCTGTCTACTTAGACGGCAACTAATACTGTCTTAGATTTACATTAATATTTGACACATTAAAATAAAACTATTTTTTCGGATTTTTTCGCGGTTCGAATCATGATTGCTGTAAAGCATTCGAAACGTCGGAAACCCATAAGAAAAAATCGGGAACGTGCGCGAACTGCGATGTATATGACAGAGAAAGACAATATATATGTATGCCTGCAACGTATTCATTTTTAACTCCTGGTCCTTACAAGCGATATTACATATGAGTTTGATGTTCATTTTAAGGCATTAAGTGCCTAGTGTTGCCACTAATATAAAACAACGTCGTTATCTCGTTTCAACGGGTGCAAATTGAAACTTCCAATCATACATAAAGCAAAACATCGTTAAAATAAATTATTTTTAATTTTTATTATACATGTCACGGAGTTTTATTGTAAATATAATTTCTTATCGATTAGGTTTAAATGTAAAAAGGTCTTTGTGTTTGGATGTTTGTGATATACAAAACAAAATCATTCCCTTTTCTATTATTATATATTTATCTTCTATATTTAAGAATAACGTTTTAAAATTTTCTTCGAAAGCAATAACTTTCGCGACTAATAAGTCGGTGTATTTTTTAACATTGAATTGAAAATAATAATTATAGTTGAAAAACCAAAATGACTCGTGAAGGCGAATCGTATGAGCTCAAACTCGAGAGGCTTACCAGTAGCTACTGAAGAAGTTCACCATCCATATCCTGACTGCATCATCAGGTCAGCTCCAAGATATCAAATTATAGTATTATCATCCGCATATAGGCACCGACTTCGGAAATATCTGATTATGTATCTATTCTAAATGAAAACCTCTGTTTAGTTATTTTTTACATCTTAGTGCCTGGAAGTCGGTTTTTATTTTTTGTTAAAAAGTTTTCATTTAATCTTCTATGTATATTAATTGTAACTTTTACTTTATTCCTTTGTATTATATTTTTATTATTTATTTTATTTAATATTTAATGTCTATAAAACTACTTATAAATACTCTTTTCTGTGTTGTTTATTTAAATTATTTATCAATCGAAAAAGTGAGTGTTAACTCGCGTGCAGCGTGCAGGCGCTCGTGGGCTTTAATGAAATAAAATATATAATGGCTATCGTTTCTGGCGGCACCAGCTGGCGCCACTGGCGAGTGAGGTCCTAGCGCTGTCGTTGAAATGTATTTGTTAGTGTGGGACAATAGATTTAATATAATAATTATAATGGTTGGCGCAAAAACAGTTCTATTATGATTATAAATAATGAATAATAACCAAATAAATAAAATATTGACTCTTTCTTAACTCTTCTTTTAAACCAATAACATTTATTGTACTGTACCGTATCTGCCTGATTGATTTAAATAGAGGTGACATATATATTTTTTACAATCTTTTTTGCTTTTGTATTCAGTCTTTATCAATATTATTTAATGTATTTTCTTTTTGATTAAGAAAACAATTATTAAAAAGTGCTAATATAGGCGGGAAATACAAAGTAGTTGGAACGCACGCCATTGGTCAGACCGAATATGACGTCAAAGTATTATGACAACGATTAGCGATTTTGACGCTACAGTCGTATTTTTTTTGTGAATATCATACTGTGGCGGGTGGCATACAAAACGGTATACTAAATTTTAGCTTTTTAGAGCTGGATATTTTTTTACAATTATAAAACGATGTTGGCTATTTTATTGCTCTATATATTTGGTATAATTGGCTATATATATTTGGTATTTTTTTTTAAATCACGCATATTCCTTATTAATCAGGAATAGCACAATATTGTCATTTGACATTAGTAGAAACCTCACTCTACATTAGCGCCCTCGCGCGGCGAATTTAAGCGCGGTTGCCCTTATACTAACGATCGATGAAGTCATTGTATTATTAGATGTAAACTTTCATTTATTTGATTACTGAATTCTATTTATTATTGAATTATTATCTGCTAAATACCTATTTAGTAAGAATTATAATTTTCAATTACAGCTAAAATATACACATATAGCATATTACGTACCTGCGCTTGCGCACTAACTTGCCAGTGGACGATGAATCTTATATATTACTTTTTTTTCAAATAATGCCTTTGAACCCCAGAACAATGTAAAAACATACTTAATAACTAGACTATATTGCAATAGATACGTATATCAGTAACATTGTTGTGAACCGTTATCATATACTTTTTGGCAAATTCAAAAATAGGCTGTGCATTGTAGTAACTAGTAAGCTTAGAAATAAAATTTATTTTTGGTATTGAAAGAGAATTGTAAAAAATGATTTGGGGCATAGATTATCTTTGTGAGACAGTTTTTTTTTCAGAAAACTAGAAAACTAAGATCTATTTAAACTTATATTAACATATATTTCTGGTTGAAAAATTTTTTTTATTTCAATTGCCAGTCATCCACTTAATACGCAGAATCAAACAATAAGAATATTTAACAATTAAAATTGGTTAACTGGCGAGACTGACTTGCGCACCGAATGTTGCGTACCGTATAATATATCTGTGATGCGTATTTACATGTAAAATATGACTATTGAACAATTATTCAAACCCATAGCGTAAATCCGATTCACACTTAGCCCAATGTTATTTCCTGCTGTTATTCATTACAGTTGTGTGGATGGTTGTATGTGTTTTTGTTAACGATAGAGCAAATAAAAAGGATCATTAAACATAATTTCTAGTATGGGGGTTAGAAATCTTGTACTACGAAGAAATGCAGCCATTGTTCTATAGGTTAATAAATGGATAGACAGAAAACCCATTCATAGGACCTTTGTATGGAACCCTACGAAATATTTTTTATAATGATAATTGATATTATGACATTGTAAAACCTGAACAAACAGACGGACAAAATATTAAACTTCAATTTTCAATCACAAAATTTATGTATACGTTTAGATAGACATTCAAATCTTAAAAATATTTCTCTATTGAAAATACGAAACGTCTTCAATTTAAACTTTAAAAAATCTATTTTTCCACGTAAATATCATGTCTTTAGTCACTTCGCAAAAATAATTATTTGACAATACTCGAATGAGAGAGTTAAAATTATTTTTTAACAATGTCATAAAATAACTTTTATTGTGGTGATTGGCAAATATGTTGAACAACGAGCTGACACTGTGCAAAAGTTGATTTAGACCACTTTTAAAAATAGTTTTGACGCTCCTCTAAGCATTTTGTTCTTCATATTTGCCAATCACCACACATGAATATTCATATATACGTTTTCATATCGCTTTAGAATTCTTCAGTACTTTGCTCATTTTAAATATATTTTTAATCTCTGTAATATATTAGGGTATATTCGATTTTGTAAATTATATGAAAATTGTTATTTTTATATGTCTTAGGCTAGTGTCTCAAATGTGTATGGTCTGAGCGTAGAGCAAATTTATATATGCTTATTATGTATGTTATAATAATGAAAACAATCGTTCTGTATGTGTGTGTGTCACGATAAAATTTACCGATAATCTACATATGAGATGTACCGACTAGTGGCCGATTAGTCGGAAAAGCCGACTATCCGGTCATAATTATTTTTGGCGACTAGTCGGCAAAAAGCACCGACCAGTCGGGCCATTATTTTATTCATATTACTATTCTTAAAATAGAGTGATTGAAATGATATTCCGTCATTATTATTAATGTAGAATCAGTCTTACAATTGACAATATAATCTAGGCATAGGAATGAAGGAGGGAATAGAAGACTTAGTACTTATATGACTAAGTTTAAAAAAATAAATTGAACGCAAGTTTCTACAACTCTGAATAAATAACATAATTATGTTATCTCCTGTTTATTATTTATTTTGGAATCACAGTTTGAAACACTTTGTACAACTAATTATTAAAGGAAATAACCTAGATGCAGGAATCGACTAGTCGGCAAAATTCATAGTCGGTCCATCTCTACTCTAAATGCTGGATTCTAAGTTTCTCTTGAGAGAATACAAACGTTTTATAGTAGAATAAAACAAATATTAGACTGTCAATAGTGAGATCTAGGAATTGATGTAGGGCCCCGAGTCTGGAGTAGTGTCTGGTACATTTTTATATTGTCATTTAGTGTAAATAAATCGATTTTCACATGTTATATTTGTTTACTTTAATTTCACCCTTTTAAATTAATTTCATTGGAGATCGGTTTTTTTTTAATTTGGACATGAGCCAATATAATACAATAATAAAAATATCCACGTTACTTCAATTTTAAATAAAAAAGCATTGCCTTAAAAATAAGTATGTATTTTTAAATTAACCTAATAGTCTTTTGTGAAAATATGCAAAAGAAAAGATAATTTAAAGCAAAACTATATATATTTATTTACAAATGAATACAATATACAGTTGTACAAACATTTTCATATTTATTTAATTTAAAATATTGTTCATATCTACGCTCATGTTTCTTAAAATTAGCAACATGATCACAAAGTAGGGTCAATCAGTCTCGTCCGAGGCCGTGCGTCTCCTTGGGCGGGTCGATGCGCACGACGGCGGAGGCGAGCGCGAAGTACCCCTCGTAGTGCGCGTCGCGCGGCGTGGTGTCGTAGTGGTAGTGGCCGCCGTCGCCGTGCGCGCTGTAGCCGTGGAAGTGCTGCACGCGCAGGTCCAGCCCCTGTGGGAACGGAATCGTCATTGATATTGAGTAGGGGTACAGTTATTTTATCTTTATAATATGAAGCTACGTACGAGCTCGCGCATAGCATATTGAAAAAATATAAATGTCCAAATTTCAATTTTCGCTGTTTAGCTATAATATATATTAAATATAACAAATAAAATAAAATATGGACAAAAAATAAGTGCGCTCACCAAGTCGCCGGTGACGAGCGTGCCGAGGTGCACGATGGGCGCGCGCATCTCGAAGTAGTGCAGCCAGCCGTCCACGTCGCTGTCGCTGCAGAGCGCGCGCTCGGAGAAGTCCGGCATCACGTGGTGCTTCACCTTGCCGTCGACCAGCAGAAAGGCACCGCCCAGCCCTACGTGGCAGTGTAGTGTACATATATAGTATACGCTCACAAGTAGATAAACTCGCAAGATAACACGCAGAAAAGATTTAAAACTTAATTTGAAGTAGATCGTGCTTTAACCTTCCACAATATTCATATAATTTATGTATCAACCTCTACGATATATAATTGAAATATAGCATATATGTATTATGTATATTACATTTATTTAAGGTACTTTTAAATCTTTATATAAAAAAAAAAAATTACCAACAACTTTCTCTCCATAATGTTTTTGCAGCGTTTCTCTGATGGCGGTGATGAAATTAGACTCTCCAATTCTATTTTTAGCCACTACTTTAATAACCTGTAAGCAAATTAATTACTAAGTTAATACAACACTTGTTTTTAAAATAACGGCTTGGTGCCCATACATTGAAGGGGTGTTCGTGCCCAGCAGTGGGACGTCAGAGAGGTCTGAATACCTTGCCAGGTTTCCCCGCAGACAGCAGGTAGTTGCCCATGAGCGCGACGCGCGTCTCGGTGCCGGGCAGGCGCTGCTGCAGGTAGCCGCTGCTGCCCTTGGGCGCGCCCACCGGCGACACCGACACTACGCGCGTGCCCTGCTCCACCACGCCTTTCTCCGCGAACATATTTATTATACCCTAAAACAATGACCATTTGTAAAAATCAATTACGAGTAATAGTAGTTTATTTATAATATTAAGCCAAAAGGCCAAAAATAAGAACAATTTTTAAGCAAATCATTATGATCTCATATTTATCGATCGTATATATATTGTTTACTCTATGTATTGATTAAAGCAGCCGTTCCCAAATGGTGATCCACAGATCTTAGGGAGAAAGATCACAGGGATTCCGTCCGAGAGTTAAATATAACTTTGTCAGATATGAAGCCTAATTTTAGTGCTATTATAAATATGTAAAAAAAACATCCATCACGTTAAATAACTAGGTAAATTTTTTGATACAATAAATATTATTATAAGTAATGTCAAGTTAATTAAGAAAGTATTCTAACTACAACAGAATTAGTTTAGTTATAATCAAAATGGATGCGGTACAAAAAATATGATCAATTAGGGTTTCGTGGGCAAAAAAATGGTAACCGGATTAGAGGGTAGTTGTACCTCACAGTTGACTCCGACGTACTGCCAGGGGCCCGCGCCCGCGCCCGCCAGCAACGCAGGGTCCCGGCCCAGGTGCCGCAGCAGAGCCGCCAGGTCGTACACCTTGTCGCGCTGCACCAGCGGCACCAGGTACGGGGGACCCCCCAGCTCTATCAGCTTGACGTCGCCAGTCAGACCTAATCAAGTCATTGGTGGATTGTCAAAAAATGCACTTATGTATTTTATTGCTAAAATGAGATAAACAAAGTTTAACGTAAATACAAATAAATCTTTAAATATTTTTATTTTATTTCGACCAATCAAATTCGACCAATCCAATTATAGCTAAGAACCATCGAGATGACACCATGAGTAGGCTAACAGAATCATCAAAATCGGTCCAATATTTAGGAGAACAAGTATTACGAACATCGGAAATATATATGTATAACGATATAAATTGGTATCAGCTTTATACCTAATCAAACAATTGAAACGGATTGCACTTATAGTCACGAGTTTTCTACGCTGATTAAGTATTAACTACAGGCTTTTATTTAAAGGTGTGAAATATTAAAATATGTGGTGTAATATAAAATTTGTTACCTCAGAATAGTAAAGAAAATAATTTTTACAAATTGAGATCATAACGTCAAGTGCCAACTCATAGATAAGAATGTATCACCTTATCAAAATCAAAACAATAACAAAACTACTGTACAGATATCGGTATTTGTTCAAGATTTACATACAAGTGTGCTTACTGACGCAAATACTCTTAATGGCAGGATTTTTATTTTAATATTTTTTATCTTTTTTTTCGACTATTCTCAATATAATTTTTACTGAAGAAATTAAATAATACTGTCAAACCCTGATCGCCATCAAAGAGGATGAGAGGTCAGGCACTGCCCTCCTAGTTATCAAGGTTAAAGCTATAAGCTTTTTAGACTTAAAAGTAAAGCTTTATTCTGTATTTAGGTAATAAAAGCTCACCAGGCGCTGTGAGATTGAATGGCGGCTGCGTGAGATCGGGACTGTCTTCTGCCGTCACCTTTACATATTCAAACGTGGACGGCAATCCACGTGAAAGAACTGGAAAAGTAGATTTAAAAGATAAGGTTTAAGAGAAAAATTCGGCAATTAAAAAACCTACCAATGATTTATGATATCATAAGCTCCTTTTTTATTTCCCTAATTTGTTTAACATAAAAAAAATACAAATATATTTGTAACTGAGTGATTCTTTAAATTGACATAACATTTTTATTTATAACCCGAATGAAATTAAAAGAAATACCTACTAATAAGCGAAACTTATCACAGGAGGTAGGTACATTATAATTTCTTAGATTAACGCGAATATTTGAGATGGAAATCTAAGGAAATCCGCGAAATAATCCGAAAAGATAGTTTTATTTAATACATTAGTGAAAACCGCACCTAAATCAGTTAAGTAAGCCGTTTCTAAAATTAGCGCGCACATACGCACCGACAAACAGACAAAAAATCTAAAAATCATTGTTTTGGGTTCTATTGCGTTAATAAAGACTCCCAATAATAGTTTTTGTCAAATATCTTTTATGTAGGTAGGCAGGCAGAGATCAGTTACGCTTTTATTATATGTATAGATAAGGCTTTAATAAAATTTACATAAATCGATATATTTTATAACAAGCATGTTTAATTAATAAAACTAACACAAACTAGGTAAATATATATTTAAACTAGATAAAATTGGTAATAAGCTAAAATTCTGGTTTAAAAAAAAAGTCTTTAGGATTTAGGTATACACTCGACGTTTCGGTTGCTAACAACCGAAGCAATCTAAAAATAATTATTTATAAAGTGTCAACCCTACATTAACATTGACATAAGCAACGACCACTCGGCCTAGTGGTCGTTGGACATAGGTATCAAAATGTATTTATTTAAATTAATAAATATATATATAGAACAAATTTGATTATTATGTTTGTTTACCATAAATTGTTTTGTTATCATGTGTATATTTTTCCTTAATAAAGTAAGTTAACCTACTCGTACATAATTAAATAACATAGTCTAAGGTGTACTCACCATCTACTACTTCTTCTAAAGGCGGTGTGTAAAAAGGTTTTTCTTTAAATTCAACATTTGCATAATCCACTGACGCCATGCTGTAAAAATTATATTAATATACCACATTAAGTAGGGAATTTAAGTTCAAAATTAAATTTACAATTATAATTAAAGCATGGAAAGAACAGACAAAATATAACTTTGACAAAACTAGCCTTGTGCACTTACTTCGCAATGTTTTCACCTATCAAGGCCGCCGATTCTGCTTTGAGTAGAATACAATTAAAGATAATACTAACTAAAAGTAATTCAAAAGACGACATTTTTATAAAATATATTTTGTAAAATAAAGTCTTTTAAAAATATATCTGCAGATCAGAAGTCGTCAACCTTAGATAAACTTAAAATTATATAATACATTACTTAATATGTTATGCTATCACGTTGAGATAGTCACAAAAAATTAGGGTTAACTAACTTTATGCCCGGTCTTGACTTTTCACTTCTTTACGGTGTATAATGTCGTGCGCACGCGCCGACTGCCGCCGCCGACTGGCCTTCCAGTCTTCCACCACTTATTCGACTTATTGATTTCCCACTCCGTTCATTTTAACTTTGTAAACAATTTTTATGCTTTTATCGTAGTGTCTATATTCTTAACTTACCTATATGTGTTCTACATTCCATTCACATTAAAATATCTTGTTCTATAACAAACAAAATAAAGAAGAGGAACAAAATTGTTCTAATGAAAAGGATCTCTTGTTATTTTTTAGGATCATATGTTTCTTTCAAATTTCATTTCAAAGGTGGAATTAATGTGGTTAAACATTCGAGCGTTTTGGCCATACAACCCTTAAATACGTAGACATCTTTCAATGCTAACCGGAGATATTTAAAATATAACTAGACATTAATGCAATATTATCCATACTTACGTTAAAATATCTACAGATACTAAAATTGTTAAAAAGTAAAAGTTGTATATCTTTCAGAAAATAATACGCTTTTTGGGACGCCGCAAAGTTTGTGTGCGCTGCCTAAAGTTTTTAAATAAATACATGTATATAATATGTATATAAAAAACAATGTATGGCAAATATATTTAATACCATTAATAGTTCCTTTTGCAGTCTAAATACCTATCTCGGAGAGTACGTAAAGGTCTAAACATGAAGTCAAGCAATGATTTTAAATAATATATAATGTTGTAAAACAGAATACGAATGTTGATAGAATACTCATTTCTGTGATAAATAAATAAATGTTAATAAATAAACCTAGCTAACGGATTTTATTATAATTTTTAATAAAGAAAAATAAATAACCTAAATATATGATTCTATCTCTCTTTCAAGAGGAAGGAAAACAATAAAAAAAATACAAAATAATATAAATTTATTTTTACTATTCATATTTAATTCTGAATATTGTAAATTAACGACTAATAACAACTAATATTTATTATTAACTAATATTTTATTATATAAACTCTGTTTGAAGACAAGATCAAGAAGTACATAATCTTCATGTACGACAAAATCGAGAATAGTAGCATAAAAAGCTAAACAAGCTACTATTTTTGTCTTTGACATTTTGTTAATGGGCCGTCGTTATAATTTTTTAATCCGAGGCAACTAGTATAAACATAACTTGACTGTGCCGACCATCACCGGATGAATTCACAGATTGTGTAGATATCGCGAGGTGGAAGTTATCTTCACATCTCTTCACAGTTTATCACAGAATGACATCTACACTACGTGATTTAAAAACGATAAAACAAAAATGAAGATGAATCGCAATAAAATTCGCAATTATTTTTAAAAAACTGTTTTATATCAAAAATTAGGTAAATTTGATTTTTTTTAATTATGAAAAAAACCTTGGTCATATTATATAGATATATACACAAACAAACCAACAGGCAGACACGTAACCAAACAAAATATAATCTTTTAAAGCTAGTGTATTGCAAAATAAAATTCTCAGAGAAAATCACAGTTATGATACATGCTAAGGGGTTGTATTGTAAAATAACAATATTTTATGTCAATCCATAAATAAAACGCTTGGTTCCAGAAGAACTTTATTCGTAAGAAATCTGTCTCACATTGTTTTAATATTGCTTAATACTTTATGTGAACAATCAGTTATATTTCATAGTGATATAAACCTGCCTCCACCATTGTAGTTCCAGTGCGTGCTACAGTCGTACATGGGAAGAACGATTGCCCTAATCGTCTTAATAGAAATAACTTAAACCCCTAACTGACCGACCTGGTCCCGCGTAACTAAAATAAATAACTAATTCTAGTTCTCACAGGGAAACTTAACATAAAAATTTATCTGCTTCAAGTCAGATATTACCTATATAACTCGTTTCCGACCATCCGACTGACCGACCGACCGACCAATCGGCCGAACAAAACTATACTTGGCCTTATTAAAAATATTACTTTGGTAATCGAAGACATAAAGTAATTGTTACTTTCCAAATTTGATAAAAACATATTTCCATATCAACATTTCAAATATGCATGCTTACTGAATTGTTTATTCTATCAATTTTGATAAAGAAATATTATTTGTCTCTTTCTATCGTACGAATTAAGAAAGAGAGAGAGCGAAGTATGTGATGAAGCATGACCTTTTAACTATTGTTACATCCGATGGTTCTTAGGCCGCTGAAACTATTTCATTTATTAAAATAACGAAGATAATAAAATTATTAGATCCAATACCATTCAATTCTTATACGAAGGTACATAAAATATATTATATTAATCATTATATTTAAAATGGCCGGCAAGTTTTTACTAATATGTATGTATACACTTTTAGTATATATCGTCATTAGCAGTAAACTAAACTCTTTACATCTTCACATTTACTTTCAAAAATAAATATATAGTTTAACTTTCAACGCCCCTGTGTACAGTCTGCAAAAATAATAAAAAGATTACGAAATTAACAAAAAATTAAAAAAGTACTAAATCAATATTTAATAGTTCTGTCTCATTAAAATCATTTACTATGCTAGGTATATAAAAAAAATAAGAGGAAAAAATATAATAAGATAAATAACGTAAGCATAATTTTGCTGTCTGTACACCGCATTACAACACAGCCTTTTACGATTTACACTTAAGCTAAACTGACTCACAGAATATATAAAATATAATATTCTTATATCGATACATATTGACTTTTTAACATGACAATGTTTAAATTTTTGTAGGAAGAGAACTTGTAGAAATAGCTTTATTTGCAGTTAAATCTTTGTATTGTAATATTGATTTTCTTACAGATATTTTTCCTAATATTATGAACCTAAGAATAGTTTGAGGACCCGTAAATTAATCCAAAGGGCAAAAGTTATTAGAGAAATTAAAAATGCATTACGGTTATAGGCTTATAATAACGGTAACTGAATTTAGCAGGACCAAAAATTCTTAATCTGCAATGTCACGGATGAAACAAAAATAATAAAAAATTAAAACAGAACTATATTAATTTAAGGTATCTTTTAAACTGTGGGATCTCTTCCTGTGCCTACTTTGGATATACCAACGTAAGCAGCGTTTGGTGCGCATCCCCCCTCACCAGCCCGCGCTCCCCCACCCTCCTCCACCCTCCTCCCGGCCCCCGCAGCCTGGTCTCAGGGGGGACTTCACAAATTTAATAAAAAAATATTAATCACCTATCTACTAATTATTTTAATTTCTTTTTAACTACATTTTACATTTTAACAGTCTTACTCATAGATGAAAGAAAGTAAACAATGGAAAACTGATTTTTTTTAACAATATTTTCATTAAAATGTTTCAATTTAGAGCCAGTTACGTATCCTCCAATTTTGTTTTAATAACTGTTCAAGGTTAAATAAAATTTTAATAAAGTTTGACTATTGTTACACCCCTTATTAATAATATCTATAAAGTACAGCTCAGATATATACAACTTCCCCTCGCGTATCACATGATCAAGTCGAAATTAAATTAATACAGAAAACTTCTATTCATTCGAAACAACAATTAATGCAGTCAAACAACAAATACGTCATATTTAATTACGTTATAATACAAACATTACTTTCCCACGCAGCGCAATCAAAATCGACATAACTAATAATTACAAGTACACACTACACGGCAATCTATACATTTTTTGGCAAATTGACGACCTTATAAAATTATTAATACTTAAAATTGGTCAAAATAACTGTGCGTTTTAGAATCGGATACGTTTGTGTGATTTGATTGAGAGCAAGGTAATGTGAATATACTGTAGTGATACACTCATCTACACCTGTATGGAACAACGTTGTAACTCAGTACTATATGAATTGGTCATTTCTATCATTCAATTGAATCAAGTTATCTATAATATAGAATTTCAATTTTTTTTGCAGGTGTAGATATATTAATTTTATTCTGGACTAGTAGCAAACTCCGGCATGTCTCGCACTAACCACTAAACTAACATTAAGTCACTGCAAGGGCCAGCCTATCCAAGTTTTGTTCTTCATTTCAGATTTAATCGTACCCTCGTTAAGATATATAATAAGTAAAACTAAACTATAAATTGTAAGTCATCAATTAAGTGCTAATATTATACATATGTATAGACTATGAATTATAAAGACAAAACAATAAAAAAACAAATCAACGTTTTGGCGTGTCTTTACATTTTAGGATAATACCTACAAATAAATTGCTCATTCAAATAGCATTAGCAAATATCCCGACAGAGATACAGTACTATGTGCGCGTGACAGCTCAGCGACGACTTCGTACGCGCTGCCTGTTGACAAACCGGTTATTCTCGACTAGACTGTTGACAAAAGACTGACCAAGCTTAAAAGAAAACGCATTTACTATCGCCTTGTGTAATAGTGTATCTATCTGAGCGGTTGTATGAAACTTTGTATCTGTAGGGATGTTTGCGTATGTAGTTAAATCAGTCAGGACGAGACCGTCCGCCGTCACAGCGCGAGCAGGCAGGTGGCGGGCGTCGCGGGCGTCGGTTACAGGTCTGTGTGAGGCAGCAGCGTGTGGCGGCGGTCGTGGTGCAGCTGGCGCGCGGCGGCCGCGTGCGTGGCCAGCCAGCGCGCCACGTCCGCGCTGTCGCACTGCACGCGCGGCCGCCGCAGCGCCTCGCCCGCCCCCGCGCCGCCCGCCCCCACACCGCCGCCCGCCCCCGCGCCCGCGCCGCCGCCGCGCACGCCCAGCTCCACGTACCACGCGCCCGACGAGAACACTGGCGTGCAGGACACCAGGTTGCTGTGGCGTTCGACATTTGTGTTATAACTATATAATAACTAGCAACTCACCCTCGCTTCGCTCGAGTTCGTCGCTACGTACATTTTGACAGTTAGTATGAAATACAAATCTTTGAATTTCTCGGCTCTTCTGTACTATAATACGCATGTATTATACATATAAACCTTCCTCTTGAATCACTCTATCTATTGATGAAAACTGCATTAAAATTCGTTGAGTAGTAGTAGTAGTAGTAGAGTAGTTAAATTTTGAAATATTTTTTTTGCTAATTTAAGTGTTTTGAATAGTTTCATGTCATATTAATGGATAACAATAGTTGCAATTTTTTTCAATTCTATTTCTTATTCATATTTCAATATACATATACACTATACCAATACGAGTATATTTTTTGTAGTATCGACTTATTAAAACAATTATACAAGATTTCTTCACCACAAGAAATAAACAAACAGAAGTACCTGAGGTGCGTCTCCATGACGACGTGCGGCGGGCCGTGCTTGCAGGTGACGATGCGCAGGTAGGTGTCGGAGAGCAGCGCGCGGATGTCGTGCGGCGTGTCGCGCACAGTGCGGTAGGCCAGGAAGCGCTCGGGCGCGGGCGCGGGCGCGGGCGGCGCGGGCAGCGCGTGCAGCAGCGCCGCGCCCTCGGCCAGCGCGGGGCAGTAGCGCGGCAGTGGCGCCGCGCCCGCACCCGCCAGCCGCGGCGCGCGCGCGCGCGCTCGGGCGCCGCCCCCGCGCGCCGCGACGTCTCGCGCAGCGCCGCCGCCGTCTCCGCCGCCAGGTCCAGCACACCGATCACGGGCTTAGTCACAGTGCCCACCAGCCCCTTGCCCACGCCCGTCAAGAATCCCGCAACGCCCTCCGCCGCCGCGCCTTCGTAACTGTGCTTCACCAGCGACGTCATGCCACCTACACCCACACACATAAGTATTAACAACGCTTTTTGTGTATGTTATTATGTTACTAGATACGTCCTCTTACTACTTCTTTGTATGTACAAAACAATGCTATTACAATTGAAGCAAATTGTGAATTGTGTAGTCTACATAAGTGTGCGTACCGAGTATGCCGAGGCCGAGGCCACGCAGGCCGGCGGCGAGGTGCGCGCCGGCGGCGGCGGAGCGGATCCGCCGGCGCGTCTCCTCGTGCGCCTCGTCGCCCACCACGCGCTCCAGCCCGTCGCCCAGCGTCTCTGCGCCGAGGAATACATTGACAATTATACAATACTATGTTTCAACTTTTAATGCAACATTACTCTGACCACTGAGTAAACTCAGAAGCAAATCTTTGTTGAGTACTTTTTAAAACCGGAAACTGCGAGTCTAACTCATACACCGAGGCATGAAACATTAAAATACGTATCTTTTGTTTGCGTTGACTTAAAAGATTGATTTTTTTGATTAATTTCAACTTGATACCTCCAAACATTCCTGAGAAAAAGAGTCTTGATAAACAAACAGACTTAGATCTTATAAAGGATTCTTTTTTTCTTTTGAGGTACGGAACCCTAAAATTGAAATTAATTAAAAATATATAGGTCTAATTAAGAATCCTGCGCACCTGAGACCTTCGCGGCCGAGTTGGATATGCCGTGCGTGACGTTCTTGAGCAGCGCGGCCACGTTGCCCTCCAGCAGCAGGCCCGACACGCCCTCCGACACGTCCGCCACGAAACCCAGCGGGTTGCCCAGGAAGTCCACCGAGCCGAGGATCTTCGCCGCTTGCCATTTTAACTCCTGTTCACACAAGCATTTAAATACATCATAGTAAATAATAAATACAACTAAGTTTAAAATTCATGCATAAGAGTAAATATAGTAACATATTATTGATTAATAACGTTAGATAATGTGTGTATAATATATAAATAACTACATGAAATTTTAAAATATATGAAATGATTTGATGAATTGTTTACAAAGTTTTTTAAAACTCAATTTATGAGGAGTTACTTTTATAAAGCTTTCGAAAAGTACAGTGACAAGAATTTAAAAAAAAAATGACATATAGCTTCTGAATGAAAGGCAGTGAGTAAGTGGGGTGGAGTGGATATACTGACGTCCTTGAAGTGCTGCAGCAGGTGCCTCGCGAGCGAGGCGGCGGTGTCGAAGGCGTGCGCGCGCTCGAAGGGCTCCAACTCTACGGCCGCATCCTCGAAGCGGATGAAGGTGAGGCCCAGCCGCCGCTTCAGCGCCGCCAGCTCGCCCTCCAGCTTGCTCGCCGTGAACATCGACAGCCGGATCTGCATAGTCGCCAAAATTATATACGTATTACGACAATCATATATGATAAGTTATTTATAGTAATGTAACATATATAAAATTCATTAATACGCACAATGCGATGAAAACTTGATAAAGCTCTAAGATAAAGAGCGATGCAATAGGATTTGCTGAGCTAATTTCATTCATATTTGTTTTCATTTATCACCAACGGTAAAAAACAATAAGAAGCCGTGGTGTAACCTGGCTGGGTATGATTTTGATGAGCGCGAAGTAGTATCTGGTGGCGTGCAGCGCGGTGAGTTCGTGCAGCACGCGCCGCGTCTCGTACTCCGCCTCGTCCGCCTCCTCCGCCTCCTCGTCGCCCGCGCCGCTCTCCACCCACGACCACACCAGCAGGATCAGTCTGCACACAAAAACTATATTAGTATCGTCACGTTGTCAGTGTCATCAGTATAGTATAGTCCTCAGTAAAGCGTCACCTCTCGTCGAGGCGTACTGCGATGGGGCGCAGCGCCACCACGAAGTGGCTGAAGTACACAGCGTTGTGCTGCGGCGGCGCGCGCGACAGCTCCAGCGACACGTGCAGCGCCGGCAGCGCGCCCGCGCCCGCCCCCGCGCCGCCCGCGCCCAGGCAGTACAGCAGCACCGGGCTCGGCGTGCTCGGCAACTGTGCGGACAATAAAGTACATATGGTAAATTACTTTCATTTTGCTCTGCGCTTATTAAGCTTCACTTCATTAGAACTAACAGCAGGCATTGTCCTGTCCTCAATTAATTTGTTTGTAAGTTTCATTTTATTCAAAAAACTTCATTCCTATTCCTACAGAAAAATTACTTTCAGTACCTCCAATTTTTCTCTATAGAGAACTAATACAAACTATTAAGGGACCATTAAGGACCAAACTAGTCCAACCATTCTCAAACGACGCACTCGCCAACGAAAAGCATTTCATTTTCTATACTAATATTATAAAGAGGTAAAGTTTGTGATCTTGTGAGTTTGTGAGTTTGTGACGTTGTAGGGGGTAATCTCTGGATCTACTGAACCGATTTTTAAAATTCTTTCACCAATGCCACGTTCTTTCTGAGTGTCATAGGCTATATATTAACCCGAAAAATGAAAAGGATTTTTCGTGGTAGTCGGATGTGCAAAGTAAGTCGAAGAAAAAACGGTCGAACGAAAAAGTTTCTTACGAACGCTGCCTTAACGATGAGAGATATATGATTATTTTCTAGAGAAAAGTTGTAGAGTTTAATAATGCCTACAAAAAAGTCAGCGACCGCATATGTCTAACTTTTATATTTAAGTCACAAAAAGTAGTTTTTTATATTAAAAAAATAATTTAAATCGGTAGGTCATGTTTATTGGCCATATTATGAATAATTATGAATTCTTATCAAAATAAATAAATTTATCGTCTAAAATGTTTAAAACAAAAGACTTTTCCCGTTTACTGCATATAATTTGGACAAATGGTTAAAGAGATAATACAACATATTCGTAGGTATGGACGAACCCGAGCGAGCTGTTTGTCTGTTTTCCTGTTTGTACGGGCTAATATCTGAATCTATTGGACCGATTTAAATGAAATTTTGCATGGTGGTACCTTATATTCCCGGGTAACATCTTAGATACTTTTCATCACGGAAAATTAAAGAGTTCCCGTGGGATAATTAAAAAAACTATAACAAATTATACAGCTTAGTACACAAAAACTACTGATTGGATCTTAATGAAACTTTACAATAATATAGTTTATACATAACAAAAACAAATCAACTACTGTTCATCCCGGAAAATAAAAGAGTTTCCGTGGGATAGTCAAAAAACTATAACAAATTATACAGCTTAGTACACAAAAACTACTGATTGGATCTTAATGAAACTTTACAATAATATAGTTTATACATAACAAAAACAAATCAACTACTTTTCATCCCGGAAAATAAAAGAGTTTCCGTGGGATAGTCAAAAAACTATAGTATCTTATACAGCTTAGTACACAAAAACTACGGATTAGATTTTGATGAAACTTCACAATAATATATATAGTTCATACATCAGAATATCAAATAGGTTACTTTTTACACAGAAAAATGTACTGTTCCCGTGGGATAGATGTTTTTGTTTATTTGTACCGTATTATGTTCACAACATAGACCCCCAAACAATAGTTAGTAAAAAACTATAGTAACTTATACAGCTTAGTACACAACAACTTATCCTCCTCATTTAGTAAAATTTGGCATGCTGATGCCTTATATTGCCGGTCAAACAACAGGTTACATTCATCCAGAAAATTCATCATTTCGGAAAAATGAACGGTTCCCGTGGGATAGATCTGTTTGTGCTTTTCTAGAGGTGAACCCGAGCGAAGCGAGGGTGAGCCGCTAGTTATATATATAGATAAAGGTAACATTGTCGCACCTGGTTGTCCCACTGCATGGAGTCGACGGTGAGCGCGAGGTGCGCGGCGCGAGGCGCGCGCGCCGCCGTGAGGCGCAGGCGCGTCAGGTGCGCGTACAGCAGCTCGGCCGGCGGCCAGCGCGCCACCAGCGACAGCGACAGCCCCGCCAGCGCCACGCGCAGCGCCCACTCGCGCCCGCCCGCCCCGCTCCCAACACCCTCCTCCTCAGCCTCCGCCATCTTGTTCTCCTGCAATTATGCGTTATGTCCCTCGTCACGCAACTGACCAATAACGATGGGAAAATTATGTGATCAGTTGGTAGGTAGATCGCATTAATTTCAAGTATATTTTTTTTCAACCGACGTATAAAATGAATACCTAATATATTTTTATTTTTGATTGTGTAAATGAATGAGTAAAGACTCAACATTAAATCTTCTAGATAATGATATAGTAAAAAGTATAGCGCTAGTCTACCGGGTCGGCCTGGTCCTGTATGCGCACGAGGCGCGTGGGCCCGTCCGCACACAGCGTGACGGCGAGCCGCCCCGAGCCCGGCCGCAGCGTGCTCCAGCGCACCGCCTGCTCGGGCGGCACGGCCCCGCCTGCCCCGCCCACGCCGCCCGCCGGCAGCCCCAGCACCACGCGCCCTCCTATACGACACGACAATAATCTTTAAAAAATTCTACCTTTTTAAAAGTATTAAATATTTAATAGTTTAGTCGAAGAATTAATTCTTACTGAAAGCAAAGTCTTAAATTATTAACACAAAAAACCAATGTTGTCATACATATGATATATCATAAACATTTATGTATCCTATTTAAAGGATTACCTAGTCTTTTCTCAATCACTTCTGACTTATATACATATATGTACACAACTGACCAGGAGCTAAGCCCATGAGACCATTTTCTGGCTGCACGCACAGGTTGGCGTGCGCACACGCCATGCGCGTGAGCGGCGGCCCAGCGCTGGGCGTGGGCGCGAGCGAGGCGGGCGCCACGAGGCGCCACGCCTGCGTGGAGGCGCGGCGCGGGTCCGCGCGGCGCAGCACCAGCGCGGCCGCGCGCCCCGGCCGGGGAGCTGCCTCTTCTATGTCTAAAACCTGATTTAAACAGATAACATATTAATAATTAACAACACAAGTAAATGAAGTAGCTAAATATATTTCGCATGTTCATTTGTATTTTTTAAATTTTAAATATATTTATTATAATATTTTAATTTAAATAATATTTTTTGACATCTATACTAATATTATAAAGAGGAAAGATTTGTTTGTTTGTACCGAATATGCTCCGAAACTAATGAACCGATTTAGATGAAATTTGGTAAGATATTTTGACACCCTGAGAAGGACATAGAATAGTTTTTATCCCGGAAATCATTCTTTAAGGGAATGAAAATGGGGATAAAAGTTTGTATGGGGAAGCAACCTAGGGACGAACCCGAGCGAAGCGAGGGTGAGTCGTTAGTAGGTCATATAAGGCGATACTGATGACGAAATGAAAAAAAAAAAATAACTTCACGTATAGAAATAAGTTTGTTATAACTAGTGACTGCCAAAGTATATACAATATAAATTGTTATTCGAGTACCATAGCGTGTGGCGAGAGCGTATTATCGTCTGAGAGCGCGTCGGTGGGCTGCGGCGGCGAGCTGCCCTCATGCACCAGCTGCCCGTTGGGCCCGCCCCGCCACAGCTGACATCTATTTAAAGAAGCGCACATATTTATTATGAAAGTATATTGTTTAGTGATGTTAAGGTCAAAATATTTCATATGTGTATTACCGGTCCCCATATCGTTTGCGAGCTAGTTGAACTCGTGTCGAACCTAGAGGTACCTCCAGGACCAAAACCCCTTCATCCTCCGCGCTGGTTCCAGCATTGGATGCTTGTTTGTCACTGTGAAACAAAACTTTAATTGAATGAATATTTATTATTATGTAAATATTTTTGCTAGAAATTTCAGTCACATTGCATGGAATAAAAATTATTTTATTAACCCCCGACGCAAAAAGAGGGGTGTTATTAAGTTTGACGTCGATGTCTGTCTGTCTGTGTGTGTGTGTCTGTCTGTGGCATCGTAGCTCTCAAACGGATGGACCGATTTCGATGCGGTTTTTGTCATTTGAAAGCCAGTTTCCTTGCGGTGTTCTTAGCTATGTTTGGTTAATATCGGTCTAGCAGTGTAAGAGTATCAGCTCCTTTCCCAAAATGATGTAAGGCATTTTGGCGTATGATTACTCGATTAAGTGCTTCACGCGTGCCAGTGTAATCGTTAAATGACATAATTTGCGTAGGAGGTTCTTTAAATGTTTAATTTATATTTATAAAAAAGGTTGTTTTCATATAATAAAAGACTATTTGAAAATTCCCTAGTTCAAGCGATTATAAGCTACATAATTATATCGTTAATATGACATATAATGCAAAAAGGAAAGTTTGTATTTTATTACTATGAATTGTTGTATAAACATAATAGAATATTGTAGTATAAGACGTGAGATTCCTTAATATAACAATATTTTCACGTTAAAATAAATGAAGTAATATTTGAGACCTGACGCCGGCAGCGGCGGCGGCAGCGGAGGCGGCGAAGGCGACGTATATGAAGTTCTGGTAGAGCAGTGTGTGCGTGTCGTGCGCAGGCGCCTGCAGCGGCAGCGCCAGGCGCGGGCCGCCAGGCGCGCGCAGTGCCAGCGCCGCCGCGCCCTCGGGCTCCGGCAGCGCCCAGCCCGCGCGCGCGCCCGCGCCCACCACGCACTCCTCCGTGCACCCCACCTGCGCGCACGTCACACCCACATATCTCATACTGTGTACAAACGTCTAAAGGAATACTATGTTATGATCTCTGTATAATATGATATTTTTCATTTTACCAATTGTCGTCGTTATTTTCATTTAGCTACAAGGAAGACGCTGAAATTTTTGTAAAATGAATATTTGTCCGTCAACTTTGGCTATTATTATATTTTTAGCAATTTTTTACCACTCATATATCGGTTTAATTATCTGAGAACATTTTCACATAGTGTCTGAACTGTTATTGTGTCTGTATTACCATGTACCTACATATGTATAAGTATTGTGATGATGTGAGTGCATGTAGTGTGTAACCTGGTGGAACATGATGGCGACGGGCGAGCAGTTGTCGATGCGCAGCGGCGGCGGCGCGCCGGCGGCCGCGCTCAGCACCACCAGCAGCGCCGCGCCCTGCGACACCACCTCCACGCGCAGGATCTGGTACGACCCGCCGCTCTCCCTGCCCAAATACAAAGAACAAATATCTTCATCATTTCTCCTTTTTTACTGAATTGAGTTAAAATATATATAATATCAGGATATTTTCGTGAAGCATAACACAATGTGATTCATCTAAAACAGAGTTTTATTTAAGTATTAAATACAGATAAATTTTACATAACCAATATCAACTAATGAAATACTAACCTAAAACAGAGAATCGACAAATGTTCATGCTTTACTATTCTTATTATTAAAACTTAAATCGTCTTTTGCACTTTTAAATTAAATCAAATTCACAAACATAACTTAGTTTTAATGTAATTATTAAACAACATTTGTAATTTAACTATACGTTATTATTCGATTGGAAAAAGAAACCTGACACACTAAAATGTCAAATGTCAGTGTCAAGTGTCAACACAAAGCTTACATATAGTTTTTTTTTAATTTAAATTACAGCATTACACTATAAAGCTTATAATTAATCATTTGCTACTAAAACCATAACATATAGCTATTATGATAATTGCTTATATAGATGTGATATTAACTCTTTATTTTAAAGAAAATAGTGATATCAAAAATGTGAATGAACCTGCAAGCTATGTGTAAACTGCGCGGTGCGTCTATCCTGAAGCCGCCCGACCAGGCGGTGAGCGCGTGCGGGGCGGGCGGCGCGTGCTGGGCGGGCGCGGGGCGGGCGGCCAGCACGCGCACGCACAGCAGGCGCTCGCGGTCCCAGCGCGCCCAGTGCCAGGGCAGGCAGCAACCCGCCACCGCGGTCACGTGCGTGGCCAGCGCGCCCGGGTCGTTCTGGTGGGTACAACCAGGCTGGCGTTACATGCAATTGTAATGTTATATATTATTGGCATGAACTATACCACTAAATCACCATCACCATTATTTTATCAACCCAATACAATGAAAGATTCTAAAAAAGAAGTATTATTTATTAAATTACATAAACAATCATAAAAAATTTATAAAAAGTTAAATCAATAAAAAGTTGAAATGAAAGCATTAATTGTAATTTAAGTGTAAAACATGAACAATTGGGCCGGCGTGGGTACTGACCAGCGTGGTGGCGGTGCACTTCTGCGCGAACTGCAGCGAGAGGTCGGTGTTGTTGTGCAGCTGGTAGCGCGGCGCCAGCGTGACGATGTTGGTGCGGCGGTAGCGGCCGCGGCCGGCGCGCACGGCCACGCCCACCGCGTACGCGCGCTCCTCGCCCGCCGCCTGCAGCCGCTTCACCGTCACGCCCGGCCCCAGCCCGAACGGCGAGCACCACTGCGCACACGACCTTTACTAGACACGGCGCGTGACAAGCCGAGGCCACGCGCTTGTAAACACCCGCCAATTGCCGCTTGCCAATACTCGAAAATCGGAACTATTTTTGTTTTCTTGTAATGTCTAGTATTATTATAGTTATAGCTCCATTTTCGCAATTTGTTACAATGGGAAAATACGTATTCTGTGCGTAAGAAATTAATTTTTCATCCTAGCGCTCTGAAGTGTAAAATATTTATACAATAAGCATATAGTATAATATAGCATAATATAGTATAGCATTAGTATAGCGATAGTATAGCATTAAGTCCACTATAATCCCTACTTTATTAAATCACTCATGTATCATATTATATGGATATGATCGACCACCCACTAAGCTAAGTTTAATTATAAGTGTACTTATAATATTATGATTATTAAATATGTTTCCAACCTAAAAAGACGTTTACCTCTGAAACCTCTAAAACATTCCACATTTGAGCTCTATTAAAGTAACGCTTAAAAGAATGTGTGTAAGCACTAAGTGTGGCGTACCTCAGAGGCGGCGGCGTGCGCGGCGCCGAGGCGCACCGACACGGTGGGTCCGTCGCCGTCGGCGAAGGAGAAGGGCAGCGGCGCCACCATGCGCGCCAGCTCGTGCTCCGCGAACTGCCCCGCCGCCTCGCCGCCGCCCTCCGCGCGGAACACCAGCGGCAGCCCCGTGCGGTTCACCAGCCAGTACGCCGCCGAGATGGACACCTGCGCACGCGCAAGCATAATATACCATACTTTAACACTCGTTTGATTACTCTACCGCATATGCGTCTATGTACGAGTAATTTAGCCACATAGCAATATTAGTTATGAGTCTAAAGATAATTAATAGACTAAAATATTTTATGGTTTAATTCAGATTAATTTACATTCACGTTTTTTAAACTAAAAAACTCTTATATATCTCAATATTCTCTATATATAACCTATATCTGTATTATCTGTTTAAACTAATGTAACGACATTTTTTTCATTACAAATACTAACATTAACAGTAGATAATAAAATTATATTTTGTAAATGTTCATTTATATTTTAATTTTATGCCATACGATATACTTTACCTTGATACCATCAGTCTTCTTCACGGTGACTCTCGCGTTGAGGTAGAGCCGGCGGCCGCGCTCGTCGCGGAGCTTGAGGCGCGCGGAGAAGGAGCCCGCGGCGCCGGCGCCGCCCACGCTCAGCGCCGTCGACCAGCCGAAGCCCTCCAACTTCACACACAGCTCCACGCCCTCTTCAACGTTCACCTGTACAAGAAATTGGTTATATTTTTCTTGTTGAAATCAATATTGTATAGGACATGATTTCTATAAACGGAGACCTGATGGAAGGGCTGCGTGTCGGCGGGCGCGAGCGTGCCGGCGACGTGGTCGGCGCGGTACTGCAGCTCCAGCGGCAGTAGGTTCTCAAGGCGCAGCGCCGGCACCAGCGTGATGGTGTGGCCCGCCAGCAGCTCGCCGCGGTCCGGCGGGAAGCGCTCGCGGATTATCACACTGCAGAATCTATACACGAGACAGAATATGTGATGTTCGACTGTATTGATATTAGCTTATAGTTTTGATATTATTTTTGATAACTATTATAATATTTACACTTGGATAATTATTAATGGTAAGTTTTTCAACTGTTTTGACAACTGTCTTAAGGTGTATAAAGCATGTTCCAGACGTGTCTTTTTAATATTTTATTTGTATTTTTTGGATTCTGGGGCTAAATCGCGAGAGATAAATGAAGTGACCTGTAGACATAGTCGTGCGGCGCGCGACACTCGTGGTGCAGCAGCGCGCGGTCGGCGGCGGCGGCGGCGGCACGCCAGTCCAGCGCGGCGGGCGGCAGCGCGGGCGCGGGCGGGCCGGCGTGAGGGCCAGCGCGCGGCAGCGGCCGCGCCCACACCGCGCCCGGCCGCGCCGCCAGCGGCGCCGCCCAGCTCTCGCCCGCACCCACCGTCGCGCTGCGGCCTCCGCCGCCGCTCCAAGCGCCTGTCACGAAAGGAAAAACATCTAAATAAAATAGACATTTTCATTACTTCCACAGCACGACATTCGTTTAAAATTATACTATAAACCAATACAGCGCCAGATAATTTAAAATTAAATTACTTTCTTCTTTTTATAATAAATATGCACATAAAGCGACGTGCGTATGAACATGTACCTACGTTAAGCCAGTTTCGAAGCATCTTCGATTATGAGTTAATACTTTTATTTTCGAGCGAAAACTTTAAAACTCTGTTACTACTTCTTGTTCATTTTCTATCTATCTTCAAATGAGAATGAAACATCACTTATGATTCCATTACAGCAAAAACATATAGCGACAACAAAACACATTACACATTAACGTATGAAATGTTACGCCTCTACAATGATATAAATATACAACGCAAACGTAAGTTACAACTCTATAATGTTCTGTCTAAAGTAAAAATGTAGAGATGACATCGCGAAGCATATACCAAGCGTATATAATATGTATAGTCGCGCTACGCGTTACTGCACTGCAATGCTGGTGGTGGTAGCGGTACGACAAACGGTAGTGTAATCACCGCAGCCGACGAGCACGGCGGGGGCGGGGGCGGGGGCGCGCGGCGCGCGCATGGCGGGCAGCGCGGCGAGGGCGGCGCGGCGGCGCAGCGCGCGCACGGCCGCGCCCCACGCCAGCGCGCCTGCCACACCCAGCACCCTATACACTATGCCTCGCCACGACCGAGCGCTTATTGCTCAACATCAACTTCACTCATCTATTCATTCATCACTTTACCAAGTTTTCATCATTTCATATTATTTGAACGTTCCGCTATATAAAATACTTTTTTTACATCCTTATTTAAATAATGAAATTCAGTAAAAACCGCGTGAAAGCATAATTTATCGATTATTTTTAGGATAAATAGTTACAAAGACGGACCACTATTCTGACTTACTTTCATTAATTTCATCTTATCTACTGTTATTCTTTTAATTCCGTAAATGTTCGTTCCAAAGGTTTGTACCGAACACCTAAGCAATAATGCTTAGTAGGTGTGTTATAAATACATCGAAATACGCCTAAAAAGGCAGTGCGAGTTCGGACAGCAATCAAACCGGCTGCATTCATTATCATTTATTAGCATCATTAATTAGAATCAATCATTAGTATAGCATATAATTAAATCAATAAACTGTTCTACGATCTCAAACTATATTTAATTTATCAAGTATTTAGTGGTAGGCCGCGTCCCCTATAGTAAATTTAACCCTTTTGTATGTACTTCTGTTGGGCGTAGGCCTTCCTTCAATATAAGGGGGATCAGGCATAGTCCGACACGCTGGCCAAGTGGGGATTTACGGACTTCACATGTCTTTCGAAAATTTGCTCGGTTCTCTCAGACATGTACGCAGGTTTGTTACGATGTTTTCCTTCACCGTAAGACGAGTAGAAAACATGTTGAGAATGATACGCATATGAAAATATCAGATATGCGAGACCCGTTACTTGAACTCAGTCGGTGAACTTCGCTTTACTCGGTTTCCCAAGCGAACGCGTTACTACTGGGCTATCACTAAATTTTATTTAAATATGGTCTGGTTGAAATTTGAAATTAATGTTGTAATCAATGATCGTTTGTATCTAAGACCTCTATCTTTAGGCGCGTTACTAAATTGCAAAATTCCTGTAGGACTGAATGAAACATTTTTCAATATGCTAAGAACTAGGCTAAAGTCCATTCTATAAAACACTTTACTATTTCGATAAAATGTAGGTATATAATCATGCACTAAGCTGGTGATGAATAAAAAAGCCCGAAAAACGACAAAAAGTTGCGTTAATTGAAACAAATCGAAGAGCGACAAAAGCGACGAGTACGGCACTGACCGAGTGCGGGCGCGTGCGCGGGCGCGCGCTCCAGACGCAGCTCCACGGGGTGCGGCAGCGCGTTGCGCAGCAGCAGCGCCGAGCGCACCGCCACCAGCTTGCGCGCCGATCCCTCCAGCGACACCTCCAGCACCACGCGGGCCTCGATGCCGCTCTTCTGTACAAACACCAAACCTTTTGAAAATTATCCTAAATGCATGCTTTACATGTGTTATGATAGTTTATATGTTATGATAGTAATTATTTAATCAAATATATTTTACGTGATGAAATAGGTATAAGAAAAATTTAAGCGATATATTTCAAAACCTTAGAATCATCCCTCACAATCAAAATTCTTTCTATTTGTATTATTGATCCGAAATATAGATGTCCTAAATTTTATATATTTCTAATGTATTCAAACCTACCGTGTGCGTGATGGTCCGGAAGAAGACGCCGACGCGGTCCACGCAGACGGGGTCGGGCGGCACCCAGCCGTCGACGCGCAGCACGAGGCGGTGCAGCGGCGCGGGCGCGTCGCGCGCGTCGCGGCCGCGCCCGCGCCGCGCGCCAAACGAGAAGGGCTCCGTGTCGCCCGCGCGCACGCACACCCACGAATCGTCCGGCGCGCCCGCCGCGCCTGCCGCGCCCAACCTGCCACCGACCACCGATCTTATACACTCGTACACACGCTATATTGTTAAACTCATTCTCTTTAATCCCACCTATGTAAACTCAGAACTTAACGGCCTCGGTGATCTTGTGGCTAGCATGTGCGGCCACAGATCAAAAGGTTCTGGGTTCGATATTTAGTCATTGAGTTTTTCTGTTATGAATTTTCAGGAACAACGCGTAATGTTAAAATAAGCGATGATCAACCGTCAGTCCTGCGCAATAATACATGTCACGTCGATGTATCGTCCCATCGAACTTTCAGAGTGAAATGAAATAGAAAATGCACTTGTGCACTGCAATATCTCTTACACAGTTGGCTAATCTCAGTGAGATTACCCGACGTGGCCGAAATCGCTCATGCTGATGATGTCTTATTATCAGGATTGGCACAATACATAAATTTCCTCCATTCATCTCTTATCATTTATCATATTTAATTCACTTATAATTTCTTTTATACAAATCATTTATACTTTCTTCGGTCACTATTTCCCCATCTATCTCTGGACTCTTTGTACTCACAGGTCTTGATTTACTCTTCTTTCCTCCACAAATTGCAAACATGAAACTTTCACAAATATTAACTGTTGGTTGCACTTGTATCATTTTAAATGTTTAGTCTAATAAACACGTTCGAAGAAGACACACGTTCTTTCTCTTGCACCTAAAGTCTCCAAGCGATATTCAACCTTAACACCATATACATAGTGGTCAAATTGCGAGCCGGATCAAGGGTCATTAGCGAACATTGCAAAAAATGTACATTCAATAGATAAAAATTACAAGTCGACGCACTTTAATGAGTATTGAAATATAAACGTTATAAAAACGCATAATACGACATTTTGAAGACTATTTTTTGGAAGAAAACTATTATAAAAGATGACTACACCGGATCAAATGATTAGATTATTGGAAGATACTGCAAGTATATTACAAAAAAACGTAAATAAATATAAAAAAATGTCCGAAACAAAGATTAGCTTCAACTTATTTAGAAGCAAGATTAAAATGTATAGAAGATCATTGGAGTACATTTATGGAAACTCATCAGAATTTAACGAAAATATTACCACGAGAAAAAAGAGGTGAATTACAATACTTCGTGAATGAAGATTATTTTCTATACGAAGATTTGTACATATGCATGCGGACGGATATCAATGAAATGTTAAAAAAAATGTCTTCTAGTGGAAGTCATTCGGAACAATCAACGAGTTCATGTATTCAAGATGTGAAGATCGGTCAAGTAAAGTTACCTCGTATTCATTTACCTACTTTTACTGGGAGATATGAAGAGTGGCCAACATTTCAAGATTTATTTATTTCGTTAGTTCATGATAATATGCAATTAAGTAATGTTCAAAAGTTGCACTATTTAAAATCGAGTGTTGCGGGTGAAGCTGAAACATTATTAAGACAAATACAAATAACGGAAAATAATTACTTACAAGCATGGAATATTCTTAAAAACAGGTACGGAAATAAGCGTATTATAGTAACATCAATTTTGAAAAGATTATTTACACAAAAGAAAATAAATTATCAATCGTCCAGTCACATAAAATCATTATTAGATGTAACAACAGAATGCATAAATAATTTACAAAACTCAAATATATCAACTGACTCTTGGGATCCTATAATAATATTTCTGATAGTGCAGAAAGAAACTGGACCCAGAATCACATAAGGACTGGGAAAATTTTGCATATAAAGAAAAATCGGAAGAGTTACCTGTATGGAGCGAATTAAAACGTTTTCTTGAAACAAATTTCCGTACTCTTGAATTTATCCCACCTGTACCTGTAACCTCGGGACCAAAACCAGAAAAAACTCGGTCGCTTCATGCAACTGTAGAAAGGACGTGTTTAATGTGCAAAGACAAACATACATTGTGTCATTGCAAGCAGTTTACAAGTTTACAACCTACAGAACGTAATGAGTATATACAGAAGAATAACCTTTGTTACAATTGTCTCCATCCTGGGCATTCAGTAAAGAAATGTCGTTTACAAATGTCATGCCGCATATGCCACAAGCCATCATTCTCTTTTACATCAACCATCAAAGTCAAATACCTTGGATCAATCAGAGAAACAAGCACAGCCAACGGTACCAGTCTATGCAAATGTAGAAGAGTCAGAAGGAGAAGAAATCAATGCAATGATGACGTCACATTACAATGGAAGACAAAGTTCAGCAATGTTAGCTACAGCTGAGGTTAAAGCAAAAAGTGAAGAAGGCAATATTATCATATTGAGAGCTCTAATAGACCAAGGTTCAGAAGCATCATTTATAAGTGAGAAGGCTGCACAACTTCTAAAACTTTCAAGACAACCTGCAAGAGGTAATGTTGTAGGCATGGGTTCTACTAGAACAAGCGTAAATCAAAGGGTTCAATTACAAGTTTCACCAAGATGGGAATCACAATTTTCTATCCATATTCAAGCCACTATTATAAGCCTAGTTCAATTGATTTATTACTTGGAGTTAAGGAATATTCAAAAATACTAAATGAAGGTTTAATAAAAGGTGTACCAGGCACTCCATGCGCACAGAATACAGAATTAGAATGGATTTTATTCGGAGAAATCAATACAAACCAGAAAGAAGAATCGTTTCTTGTTATGCACAATCAAATAGACGTGGATGAAATATTAAAATCATTTTGGGAAATTGATACAGAATCGAAACGAATACTAACATTGAATGAGCAAAAATGTGAAGATATTTACAACAATACACATAGAAGACAAGAAGATGGAAGATACATAGTTAAATTGCCCTTTAATACTGAAAATCCACAATCAATACATGGTCACACTAGAGATATATCATTAAACAGACTATTACAATTAGAGAGAAGATTTAAAAAACAACCTAAATTAAAAGAAGAATACAATAAAGTTATAGATGACTATATACAATTAAAACACATAGAAGAAGAACCTAAAGAAGAAATCGTACAAGTTGTAAAAGAATCGTACGTGAAGACAAGGAAACCACAAAGACACAGGTTGTGTTCGACGCTTAAGGGATTAATGGAATTTCACTAAACGAAGAACTCTTACCTGGACCGGTACTGCAAGATGACCTGAGAAGTATAATTATGAGATGGAGAATGCGTGCTATTGGATTCGTATCAGATGTTCAAAAAATGTATAGGATGATATTACTTACCAAAGAAGATGTTGATGTCCAGAGAGTCTTGTGGAGAAAAAATGATAATGAAGAAATCAAAGACTACCGTTTACTTACCGTTATCTTTGGCACTAGCTCGGCACCTTATTTAACAATAAAAACGCTGATGCAACTGGCTGAAGATGAAGGAGAGAAATTTCCAATAGCAGCGGAGATGATTCGTAATAATTTTTATGTTGATGATCTGATGGCTGGAGCTGAAACAGTAGGAAAGGCTATAGAAGCTAAAACTCGATTAATTAATATTATGCGAAAAGGAGGCTTTGAACTAAAAAAATGGTCGTCCAATAGTCTCGAATTTATGAAATCCATGGAACCTTCTGAAATATCATCTATGCACATGTTAATATTAGCATTGACGGTTCCGTAAAGACTTTAGGAGTCCTGTGGAACTTAAAAACTGATCAATTTCAATACAGAATCAATCTATCACCTACTAAACATACAGTTACGAAAAGAACAATCCTATCTGACTTACAAAAAATATTTGATCCTCTTGGATGGATAGCACCCAGCATTATTTTAGCAAAATTAATAATTCAAAGACTATGGTCAGAGGGAGTAAATTGGGACGACAGAATTAATTTAAACTTAGAAAGGGAATGGCTCAAAATAAGAACAGATTTCGAAAGAGTCAAAGAGATTTCTGTTGATAGATGGCTAAAGACTTCTATAACCAAGAATCAAACAGTGGAGCTACATGGTTTTAGTGATGCTAGTAACAAGGCGTATGGTGCTGTAGTTTACGTAAGAGTCGTAGAAAACAAGAATATCTTTACCAATATTGTAGCGGCTAGAACAAGACTAGAACTCTGTGGAGCACTGCTACTCTCAAAGTTATTGAGGAGTGTAAGCCAAGCTATGAAAATACCTTTATCGCAATCCTATGCCTGGACAGATTCATCTATCGTGATTTCATGGCTAGCTGGCGATCCTAATAGATGGAAATCATTTGTAGCCAACCGAGTCGTCAACCATAAAAACTGAAATAACCACAAAAAATGGCATCATGTGAGATCCGAGGATAATCCTGCTGATATAGCTTCTCGAGGAATGTTACTTGCTGATTTAAAACAATCTCAAATGTGGTGGTACGGTCCTAAATGGATATCTGAAAAAGAAATAATATATACACAATTAGAAAATATAGTCACAGATTTAGAAAAGAAAAGAGAAATAAATATACAAAATAACTTACATATAGAATCCCACGATGAGGTAGATATAGACACGCAGTTTGAAAACTTTGATACACTGGAACAACTTTTAAAAACAATTATAATATGTAAAAGATTTTTAAATTATAAAAAGAGTATAAAAACAAATTTAACTTTTACTACAGAGGAATATGAAAATTCATTAATAACATGCATACTTATAATACAAAAGAAACAATTTACACAAGAAATTCAAGATAAAAAGAGTAAAAATCGAGTTAAAAGTCTTAGCAAATTAAAAACCCTCAACCCTTACCTAGATAGCAACAATGTACTCAGAGTGGGCGGAAGAATAAAACATGCTAATATTAATGAAGACACAAAGCATCCCATAATATTATATAAAGAAAATCCACTTACCACTTTAATCATAAAAGACGCTCATATTAAAACTTTACGTGGCGGTATACAGCTGATGTTAAATTACATAAGATCTAAATATTGGATATTGAAGGTTAAGGGATTAGTAAAGTCATACATACATAAATGCTTGCTTTGTGCAAAGGAAAGAGCAACATCAAAGGTACAAAGAATGGGAAACTTACCAGCGGTCCGAGTGACCCCAGCCCGTCCATTCTTACACAGTGGAGTTGATATCTGTGGACCCTATTTAGTATTGAAATCTAAAGGAAGAGGAAGCAAAACTTGTAAAGGTTACATCTGTATTTTTATATGTATGTCTACTAAGGCAATACATTTAGAGTTTGTGGGCGACCTTACCTCTGAAGCTTTTATTGGAGCATTTAAAAGATTTGTGGCGCGTAGAGGACGTTGTACCCACTTATGGAGTGACCAAGGTCGTAACTTTGTTGCAGCAAATAAAGAACTTACAGAAGTCTGGAAAGATGCACAGTTACAGTTTGACGACGTACTAGCAGACAGACTCTCCAATGAAGGAACCCAGTGGCACTTCATTCCAGCTTACAGTCCAAACTTTGGTGGCCTCTGGGAAGCAGGGGCGAAGTCCATTAAATATCACCTGAAACGAATTTTCACAACTCACTTAACATTTGAAGAGATGACTACTATATTATGTCAGATTGAAGCTTGTTTGAATTCACGACCCCTGTGTCCTATGGATGACTCAGACTGTGATCATTTAAATCCTCTTACACCTGGTCATTTTTTAATCGGCGAGGCTCCTATCAACATTCCATCACCTGACTTAAGAAACACAAACATAAATTACCTTACACGTTGGCAATTCACACAAAAACTAGTGCAAGATTTTTGGCATCGTTGGCAACAGGAATATCTCTCAAGACTACAACAAAGACCGAAATGGCTACACAAGGTTAACGAACTAGAAATAGGCCAAATAGTTTTAATAAAAATGGAAAATGTGCCTCCTGGAAAATGGGCTTTAGGCCGTATAATACAAAAACATCCAGGATCTGACGGACTGACTAGTTTATAGTGTAAAAAGTGGAAATAACATTACAAAACGTTGTGTTACAAAATTATGTTTGTTACCAATAGATACTTAGTGATATATCTATCTTAATAATAAATATGTATACTTAATCAAATCATTATCAATGCTTTAATAATTATCAAATGTTTGTGCAAGTACAATTTTGTAAAACTTACTCGTAGGTACTAATTGTTTGTGAGATTGTTAATTGTTTAACTTAGATGTCCTACATTATTTTCATTTTTCTTTGTATTAAAAAAGGTCAAACCCCTTTTTAGTGGGCGGTATGTTAGTTGCACTTGTATCATTTTAAATGTTTAGTCTAATAAACACGTTCGAAGCAGACACACGTTCTTTCTCTTGCACCCAAAGTCTCCAAGCGATATTCTACCTTAACACCATATACATTAACAAATATAATATTTTCTTAGATTTTTATTTAATAAATATTAACAAAATTAAAAACATATAGTATTGTAGACAAATCTCACTCTTCCGAGGTGGTGGTGAGGGTGGTGAACCAAAGGCGGTGGCCGGTGAGGTTGCGCAGCGCGTAGGGCACGAAGGGCGAGCGGCGCCGGTGCCCCGCCGGGCTGCCCTTTGGGGACTGCTCCGACGACGCCGGCTACACGCACGTGTTACACTCGTTATTTCCCATCATGAAACTCTTTTTAAATTACTTCTATTCAATTTCTACTTTATTAGATTATGATTATGAATACGATTTGTAAAAGCTAACTTTAATTTTAACTAAGTGTTTGTTTGTGAGGGGCGTGTACCTGCGGCGCGTAGTAGTCGGCGGTCCAGTTGGTGCGCACGAGGCGCACGAGGTCCACGAGCGCGGACGTCAAGTTGGTGTCCAGCGTGTCGGCAGAGCGCACGTCCAGCTGCACGCGCGCGCGCGCCAGCCCGCTCGACAGCGTGTGCTCCCAGAGCGCAGAGAACCTGTCACCACATCGTCGTGAGCATTTACACGAAGGGACCGTTGCTCATTGGATCATTACAATATTATGCATAATACTTTCTTAGATTTACGCGAATGTTTGACATTATTAAATAAAACTATCTTTTCGGATTATTTCGCGGATTTATTTTGATTTTTGGTTCCCGACGTTTCGAATGCTTTACAGCATCCATGGTCACGGGAAAGACTGAGGTGTTACATGTCTTGAATGTATAGTTGTTACAGACGACGTCTAAGACAGTTTTATTTAATAATATTATGCATAGTAAAATAGTAAGGTATTTCAGTATTTTTCGTTAGTTACCCTCAAGGTTAACCTATTCTATCCCGTGATAAAAAGTAAGCTTCCATTAAGCAAGTGAGCACTGATACCTCCAGGGCTCTATGACGGGCTCCCAGCCGGACAATATCCGGTTGTAGTAGTCTACGCTAAGCTGCGCGCGCAGGCAGCCACCGCCCGCGCCCACGGCTTCTTCGCCCCGCCCGCCGTCGCCACCCGCCTCGGTGTTCGCGGAGCCCAATATCGCTAGCGGGCCCACCCCGCCGGATGGCGTGGACACGAGCAAAGGATCTTCAAATGACTCTTCTACATTGCGCAAGTCCTGTAAAATATATTTTTAAATTTTGTAGTACTTCAATCATTACATTAAATATTAGTATGAAACCGGTAGGTCTCTCACCTGTTCCACTTGTAATTCGTTTAAAGCCACCTCGAGCAGCGGCACGTCGGAGTCCAAACAATCATCAATAACGCACAGCGTCACGCACTCCGCATTTACCTTTATACATATAGCTTTAATTAATTTTTCATTTCTATTAAAATCACTGTAATAGATGCTTCGATATATTTTTAATGTCATAATTGTTTAATAATATACGAAGTACATAATTCGTTCTTTAATTCTATTATTTAAAAAGAAAATATAGGAAGTTTTTTAATGATGATGTATGAACTAACATGCACGGCTCGCAAGGGCCAGTGGGCGGGCGCGGCGGGCGCGGCGGGCAGCGGGCGGGCGGCGCGCGGCGGCGGCGCGCGCAGCCAGCGCGGCAGCGCGGGGCGGGCGGCGCCGCGGGCGAGCGCGGCCGCGCGCATGTGCTCGCTGTTGGCGGGCGCGTCCGTCTCGTTTTCTTCTGATTTACCTACGCATATATTTAAAATAAGAATATAATGTGCCCGTTTTATTGATAAAATCGAAAAACAAGCCTACGTTATCCGTACAAAAATTAAAATATGATTTTTGAAGTGATAATTTCTTATGGGAGCGGTTTACCGCTTCATTAGTAACGCGTTACGGCACCAGTCTGTCTGGCTTCCCTTTCTCTTACGCATACAGCAGCGGTAGGCAGGCTCTTCCTCTCTTTCTCTTACCCACAGCTCCAGCCGTATATATATATATATAGGATAAAATATATTTTATAATCAATAAAAGATTTTATTAATAAATAACCTAAGCTTATCTCAAGTTAAAAAATGTCAATATTAAATAGTTCAACTTAGATTAGTTTAAGTTATCACTTCTGTCGGGCGTCCCGAGACGCAACACGTTTTTTTTTATTTATAACATTTCTAAATAGTATGATATTCTCAACGAGTAATGAAATAAATATTTAATATAGGGTGTACTACCTGACAGTGCAACTCTAGCTTGAGCGGGAAGCGACTGTAACATCGACGCGAACATGCGCATGTCGTGGTAGGATAAACGTAAATTCAAAGCTCCCATTTGTATCTGCAAGTGATAACAGTAATTGGAAATACAACTTTAACAATCTAGTATACTATTATTTTTGTGTTGGTCAAAAACGTAAGAATCTGTAGGAGTGTTTTTTAAGTACGTGTCTAATAGATATGGGTGTACAAGTAGTGGTGGTAATGTGATGTGGTGCCGGAGGGAGACAGAGACTGACGTGCAGCACGCCGTCGCCGCGCAGCTGCGCGTGCAGCGCGGCGGGCTCGAGGATGGACAGCGCCGTCTCCTCCTCCAGGCCCAGCACGCATGAGAACACCTCCAGCTCGCTGAGCTCGCACACCACGGGCCGCGCCGCGTCCGCCGCCGCCTTCGCCTCTACCCCCGCTTCCGCACCGCGGTACGTGATCACCGTCGTGCCCTGCAACACATTTACTCTTTACTGTTTTTTTTATAAAACCATACCCTATGTTCCGAAGATTGACATGAAAAGTTACGTTTATTTTTTTAATACGTTCGTTATTTACCTTAAGTATGACAGCGTTGGTGTCCCACAGAGAGGCGTCCTCCACCAGCACGAGCTGCGAGTCCGTGATGTTCAGCTTGATCTCCATGTGGCTGGTGTCCGCAGTGTCCGCGCCCCCCGCGCCGCCCGCACCGCCCCACTCACCATCCACGCTGTCCACTGACATGTCCTCTCTGTAGATAAAAAAAGCAAAAATATATTCAAAACATTCTTACATAAATATTCCCTTTAAATCATATGGCTAGCCGCACGCGACACAGGCTATCCTAGTGCGTACGTCTCAGCACTCCATTGCTCACGTTTTGTTATACAATAATTGTTATTAGATTAAGGAATATATTTGTATCCATTTTTGTTATTACGAATTAAATGAAATTAATATGGTAACAAAAGTATATAGTAGTAAGTAGATATTTGCATTTTAAATAAAATAAAACAATAATATAAAATAACATCTTTAAAAATAAATACGCGGAATAATCCGAAAAGATAGTTTTCTTTAAAATGTCAAATATTCGCGTAAATCTAAGAAAGTATAAAATATTTGCAGACAGTTTTTGTAACGTTAATAATAAACGAACTAAATAATTGTATAAGTTTCTATACGATAAGTTAGGACTGGCATAGTATGAAAGCGCGTTCCATTGTATTCAAAATTTAAATGTTTAAAATTTAAATGTTTGCACATATATTTTTAATAGATGGCATTGGGGGTAATCTAAAACGCGCTATCGTTTGGTTAAGATGATATGTATATATGGTATTGAACAAAATAAATTTTTAACCACAATCCAATCACTGGAGTTTTATTATAAACCCAGAGGGAACCCTACTCCCAAGGACAACATTGGATTGTACATTTGGTCCTTCGAGAGCCGGATCAGCGAATCGTCGGAAGACTCTACGCCATCACATCACTTTGGCCGGATCGCTTGTGCGAACTGGTCGAACTTCAGCAGCAGCCAAGTTGCAAGGGTGCAACTCGCCACTGCAGACGGTGCCTGGAGAAGGCGCCTGTCAGGAGAGGACAATTGTTGGCGCAAGGGAAGGCGCGGAGCACTAGACGCGTCACGTGGGACAGTCAGTGCAGTATACAGTCCATTGAGGTGATCAACAAGAAACTGTAAGTGTTTCAAAGTTATAAGTAGTGGAAAAATAATCTAACAAAATTGAACTTTAAGTCAATTGGTGATTTAACTCTAACGAATTCTCTATGAAGAAACTATATTAGTGAAATTGAACTTTATTGCTAGGAGTGATTTAACTTAGTAAATATTACTAGTGAAGAAATTTGGACTTAGAACATTTTCGTACTTTTAACATTTAGTGTAATTTAGAATAAGAGCTAAATTAAATTATAAAAAAAGACTTGTAAAATTTGAAACTTTGTACTTGAGGTAAAATATTAGAAATTCAATTATAATGGATAGTTTAATTAAAGTCCAAATAAATTTATATGATCGTATGCATAAAGCGCGGATAAATTACAAAAAGTCTCCTAAGGATCGCATAACTGTTCAGTATGTAGAGATCCGAATGGAAACTCTAAACCAATTATGGTCTCAGTTTAGTGATAACCATAATCATATAATTAAGTTATCTCAAGGTTTTGACAATAACTATTTTAAAGAGGATATAATAGGAAGTGTGGAAGAATTGTATATCGATCATATGACTGAATTGAAACAAACACTTGCCTCATTTGATCGTTCAAGTAATGATAATTCAGTTACAAATGTAAATAATGCTAATTCATCTAACATTAAATTACCCCGTATAGTTATTCCAACATTCAATGGTCAATATGCTGAATGGACCACTTTTAGGGATTTATTTGTATCGCTTGTACACACTAATAAAGAACTAGACAATGTACAAAAGATGCATTATCTAAAAGGTTATTTATCTGGTGAGGCCGAACAGCTGCTCAGACAGATACCTATAGCAGATTCAAATTATGAAAGGTGTTGGTCATTACTTAATTCTAGATATAATAATAAAAGATATTTGTCACATTTTATTTTGAAACGTTTATTAAGTCAAAAAATTATTACATCAGAGTCAGCTAATTGTTTAAAAAATCTTATTGATACAACTAATGATTGTTTAAGTTCATTAACCAATTTAGGTATAAATGTAAGCACTTGGGATATTATTATTATTCATATACTTACCTTAAAGCTCGATTCGGAGTCCAGGAAACAGTGGGAATTTTCTGTAACAAATAATAATTCATCTGAAGAACTACCAACCTTTAACCAATTTTCTGAATTCCTTACAAATCGTTATCGAGCCTTAGAGTTCTTGGACACCAAATCAGCTACTGTAACCAAAGATTCTCAATATAATAATAATGTAAATAAATTTAGAACTTTTGTAGCTTCAGCTAATAAGATTCAATGTGCATTTTGTTCTGAGGATCATAGGATTATACATTGTAAGCGTTTTTCTAATGAAACTGTCGACGCTCGACGCAATTTTGTCCAAACCCATAACATATGTTTCAATTGCTTAGGTAATAATCACTCTGCCAAATCCTGCCAAAGTTCAAACAAATGCCGTATTTGCAAACGTCATCATCACTCGCTATTACATCCACCAAGTTCAGGTATTTCTGGAGCCAACGCTGAAACAACTAAAAATAATAATGGTAACATTGGTTCATCAAGTTCAAAATCAAACAACGAGATGGAGTCAACTCCTTTAGCAACGTTCTTTTCGACAGGACTAGTTCGTAATCAGGTGTTGCTAGCCACTGCGTTAGTCAAGGCCGCGTCGAAAACGGGAGAACATTATATAATTCGAGCGTTGTTAGATCAAGGGTCACAGACGTCATTCGTAACTGAAGCGACAGTCCAATATCTGGGACTAAAGAAAATTCCTATAAGGGAACAAGTTTCAGTTTTAGGGGGTAATAGTAATGTGTCACCAAAAGCAATGGTCTTTATTCAACTTAAATCAATGATTGATCCAAATTATAATATCACAGTAAAGGCTTATGTTTTGAAAACAATCACTAGTTTTCTTCCAGCCAAGAGAATAACTGCATTGGAATGGCTTGAAGCTCTTGAAATAGAATTAGCAGATCCGAATTATCACACTCCAAACAAAATAGACGTTTTGTTAGGTGCTGAAGTTTATGACAAGATAATTCAGGAGGGTATTAAAAAGGGACCTCAAGGTTCACCGGTAGTCCAGAACACATCGTTTGGATGGATTGTCTCGGGTGAAGTAACTACATCAACCAGGGAGGAAAATCATACGGAGTTCAATACTTTTCATTGTCGAACTGACGACAACGACATGCTAAAACAATTTTGGGAACTCGAATCTGACCTGGAACTAACAAAGCAACAAAGAATGACACATGAAGAACAAGTTTGCGAAGAACTATTTGCTCGTACTACTGAAAGAGATGAAGACGGTAGACATATAGTTCGTTTACCTTTCAGGACGGAAAACCCAGATTGCATGTTCAGTTCTTCTAAGGAAGTAGCTGAAAAAAGATGGAATACATTAAAATTAAAGCTAAAAAGAAATCTAGAATTCAGTAATAAATATGAAGCAGTAATGGAAGAATATCTACAGTTAGGTCATATGGAAAAGGTACCAGAATCAGAAGTAAATAAGCCAAATACAGTATACTTACCTCATCATGCTGTGATACGAGAAGACAAGGACACTACAAAGTTAAGGGTAGTTTTCGATGCTTCTGCAAAAGGAAAGAATGGAGTTTCATTAAATGATTGTTTGTTAGTTGGTCCGCGTCTGCAATCAGATCTGCGTTATATCATGATTCGTTGGAGGCAGCATCCTATTTGCTTAGTAGCAGATATCGAAAAAATGTACCGGCAAATAAAAGTCGCAAATCAAGATACTGACTTCCAGCGTATTCTGTGGAAAGATAGTGCTGGTAATGATAAACACTTCAGACTGCTCACTGTTACTTTTGGGACTGCTTCAGCTCCATATCTTGCGGTTAAGGCTCTTCAGCAAGTCGTAATCGACGAAGGCGATTGTTATCCGTTAGCAGCTCAAGTAACAATGAATGACTTCTATGTAGATGATTTAATAACTGGATGTGAATCTGTGGAAAAGGGACTTAAAATATACAATGAAATGAATTCTATGTTAAGCAAAGGTGGTTTCAAATTACGAAAATGGTCAAGCAATAGTAATGTTCTATTAGAAAAGATAAAAAAGGAAAATGAGCATGAAGAAATAGCAGAAGAATTGCAGCTAAAATTAGACAATATCATGAAAATACTAGGACTTACCTGGGACCGCACCAGTGACTCCTTTGGGTACTCGGTAAATCTTCCAGCGTTGCAGCAACCTGTGACAAAAAGAAAAATATTAGCGGATGTTTCTCGTTTATATGATCCATTGAGTTGGTTGGCACCAAGCATCGTAATAGCAAAAATAATGATACAAAAGCTATGGCTAGCTGGTTTAGCTTGGGATGAGGAAGTACCTACAAATTTATTAAATGAATGGATTACTTACCGTGAAGAATTTCAAAATTTGTCCAAATTTCACATACCCAGATGGCTAGGCATGACTCCAGATAAGGCATCTATTGAGTTGCACGGATTCTGCGATGCTTCCAAGATGGCCTACTCGGCAGTTGTTTATGTGCGCGTGGTGAATCATGACGGAACCATTCATAGCTCCTTGGTAACTGCTCGCACGAAGGTAGCTCCAGTAAAGCAGGTATCAATACCAAGACTAGAATTATGTGGTGCAGTTCTATTAACCAGATTACTTCTAGAAATAGCTAAGGTCATGGGTATTGATAAAATGAATTTGCATGCGTGGACTAACTCAACAATTGTTCTTGCATGGCTCAACAGTCATCCTAGCAGGTGGAAGGTATTTGTAGCAAATCGTGTGTCAGAGATTTTGTGTTCTTTGGATTCGCATCAATGGGCACACATAACATCAAAGCAGAACCCAGCAGATTGTCCTTCCAGAGGTCTGTATCCTGCGGAATTGACCAAACTCCAATTGATTGGTCACACCTACATCCAACGAATGCTGCAGGAGTTTTGGCGAAATTGGTCTCAGGAATACCTGACTAAATTCCTTCAAAGATATAAGTGGACTACACAATCGTCACAGCCTTCCATTGGTGACATTGTAGTTGTGAAGGAAGATGGTTTACCACCTTGCAAATGGGTATACGGAAAGATTATTGATACTCATCCGGGTTTGGATAGAATTGTTAGAGTAGTCACAATTAAAACAAACAAAAATGTTATGTTAAAACGACCAACATCTAAACTATGTATTCTTCCAATTACAAAATAAATGTAGCTTTTTCTCTCAAAGCATTCATGGTGAGCAATGCTTTATAAGGACAAAATGTCCTTATGGTGGGCGGTATGTATAAGTTTCTATACGATAAGTTAGGACTGGCATAGTATAAAAGCGCGTTCCATTGTATTCAAAATTTAAATGTTTAAAATTTAAATGTTTGCACATATATTTTTAATAGATGGCATTGGGGGTAATCTAAAACGCGCTATCGTTTGGTTAAGATGATATGTATATATGGTATTGAACAAAATAAATTTTTAACCACAATCCAATCACTGGAGTTTTATTATAAACCCAGAGGGAACCCTACTCCCAAGGACAACATTGGATTGTACAATAATTTTCTTACAAATGTTGCAGGTCAGGGTCAGCCGGCGGCGGCGGAGGCTGCATGATGAACTGATTGGCCGCCTCCCACCAATCCAAGATGGCCATCAGTCGCATGTTGTTTATGAGGATCGTATACGCCGACGAATCTTGTCTTTTCCTGTGTTGAATTAAAAGAGAATAAAAAATATATACAAGAATAGTTACTCGTAATTTCTTATAAATAGATCATTAATTCTGTCTATCAGCTATTTTATTTTCTAATTTATCTGGACTCAGTGAACTACATTGTTAGGTAAAAGCAAATTCCATTGTATGTCGGTACCTGGCATGCACCTCCGCTTGCACGCTGTGGCGGTGGTCGGCCATGGGCTGCACGATGTGGCTGAATACGTTGCCGCGCCGGTTGGCGGGCTCGGCCGCGTAGCGCGTGTCGCTCACCAGAATCTCCTGCCGACGATAGACACATACATTTTTATCGTTACACACAGCATTTGTAAAAGATATAAACAAAATACCAATAGTATGCGACATTAAATAAAAATGACCTGTGAGACGAGATCAATATCTTGCGACAGATCCGAATAAGACTCCACGAGTAATCTCGATTTTATAAAATTGATGTTAGCGAGCGGCGGCGACCCGCGCGCGCCTCGAAGCTCGACGCACACGTCCTGCAGGTCCAGTTGCAGCGACCACGTGGTCCACACGGGCTGCTGCGCGCCCTGCGGGGCGCCCTGCAGGGCGGGCGGAGCGTCCGGCGGGGCGGGCGGCTCCAGCAGCTCCGTGCAGGGCTCGGCCAGGTTGTGCGCCAGCACGCCGCGGATCAGCCGGTACTGAGTGGCATCCAGCGACAGCTGCAGGGTTGCCAAGCGACCCTGCACTGTCATCTCTGGCACTGGACATTATAATAAACACATAATTTTCACAATAACGATAAAATAATGCAAAAAGTAATTCTCATAACAGTAATTAATACAATTATGACGGACCATTATGTGTATCACTGCAGTTCCGCTCAAGCTGCAGCGCGAGGCGCGCGGGCGCGGGCAGCAACGGCTGGCCGCGGCGGCGCAAGCGCAGCTCGCCGCCGGGCGCGGCACCAGCACGCACGCAGCGCAGCGACAGCCCCTCAATGCGGATCGTGCGCACGTCGAGTATTTCTCGTTCCGCTACGACAACAACAGTACATTTATTTTTAAAGATAACTGAGATGTACTCAAGTGCTTAACTTAAAAAAAAGAAGGAAAAGTATTCATTTTCCAAAATGCTAGTGCTCAACTGACCGAGAGTGGGGTCGGCGAGCTTGCTGATGGTGTCGGGATCGCCGGCGCGGCGGAAGCAGTTGTCGAGCAGCAGCAGCTGCAGCTCGGCGGCCAGCGCGCTGCGGCTGCGCTGCGACACTGGCAGCACGATCACCGGCGCCTCACAGCGCACGCGCAGCCGCATACGCTGCGTCTGCGACGCGTCGCGCAGCGCGCTCGACACCTGCACCGCCACACGCAGTTAGTGCCAGATGGGTCATAGTCATACATTTCAATAAACAAACTTTCTTTAGATTCTAATATTCATTAGAAATTAAAATTTTAGACAATTTTAAGGCGTCGTAAAAATATTTAAAAATATAAACATAACACAATTGAATATACATATATTGCGTACCTTCTGCCTTGCTTGCGCCAACACCCGCCGCAGCAGGCTGAAGTCTCGCGCGAAGGCCTGCAGCTCCAGCACGAAGCGGCGCGTGTGCACGTATGTCACCGGGCCCATCTCCAGCGACAAGCTCGTCTCGTGCCCCGCCTCGGCCGCCTCCGCTGCACTTAACCTATGGGTAATAATAATAATATTCTTTATTCAAGTCCAGTGACTCATTATGGTTAGTACACAATATTTATTATTTATCAGAGACTAGGTTAGTTGTATTATTACATATTAATAAAATAAAAAAAATATTAATTTTATGTTTTATGCGTAGCAATTCTATTTTGATTAAAAAATCAATTAAAAATCTAACAATAAAAGTATATAAAGTAAAAATGATACAGTTAAAGCTATTTGTATTATAAAAAACCTTTATTAACTATTTTTATTACAAAAAAGAATTAGTGAGCTCATCACATCAGGTCAAATTCACACGTCGCATAACCGATGGCCGATTGTTAGTCATAGGAAACGCCTACGTCCAACCGTGGACTAAATCAGCCTTATTATATTGATGGTGCTGATGTATTATAAAAGGAGTTTATCTGAAGTGTAGTGTACCTCTGGTAGTGCACGTCGAGCGCGTGCGAGGTGCGCATGCGCAGACGCTCACGCCACAGCGCGGCGCGCGGCGCCAGGTCGGCCAGCGCCAGCGCGCCCAGCCGCGCGCGCACGTCGCGCCGCCCCGCCGCGTCGCGCACGCGCAGCGCCGCGCGCGACACCAGCGCGCGGCATGCGTCGCCGCGCGCGCCCACCACCACCACCGACAGCGAGCGCACGTTCATCTCCGTCTCCGCGGCGCCCTCCGCCGCCGCTGCGCCCACCGCCTCCTCGCTGCGGGCACTCGCGCTCCGACGCTGCGGGTCCACCGCGGGTGGCGTCCTGTCGGGCTCGTCCCCCGCTATACCAAAAAAGTCGAGTACGGCTACCCAGCTGTCAATACTTAAGACCAGTTTCAGGCAGTTGAATTCTACTTTCGTCAATTTTGACACCTATAATAAAAATTTATTCCGATGTTGAAATTGATTATATATATTATACAGCTTAGAAAATACTAAAAAAGTCATGTCCATGTCAATTTAATGTATTACAACTACAATGGTGCAATCGGAAAAAAGTTATGGCGTGTGTCATCTATCAACATTTAAATTGAAAACAGAAACAGTATTTGGATAAATAAGACTGAAAAAGCCGGTCTAAACATAAAAATGGGTTATGTCTGACGAAAACGGCGCGACAGAAAGAAAGAGATGATATTTCGACACACCTTATTATAGAGATCGTGGAAGCGCGGGTGCTGCGGGCGGCGCGCGTGCACGGATACGCACACAAGGTCGCCGCGCGCCGGGCCCGCCGCCTCGCGCTCCGGCGAGCACGGCGGCGTGCTGCCGCACTCTTCCTTGCCGACCTTGTGCTGGAGCATTACGAACTTGCTATTATATTGGAGTATATATTTCAATATTTTATGACAAAGTCTATCCCGGGTCTCGCAACTCTGATATTTTCATGTGCGAATCATTTCTAACATGATTACCACTTGCCTTACGGTGAAGGAAAACATTGTGAGGAAACCTGCATGTCTGAGAGAACTTAGCAAGTTTTCGAAAGTCATGTGAAGACCGCCAACCCGCACTTGGCCAGCGTGGTGGACTATGGCCTGATCCCCCTCGTATTGAAGGGAGGCCCGTGCCCAGCAGTGGGACGTTAAAAAGGGCTGAATACATGACAAATTTCAATACAATAAAAATAGAACATGTTATGTTCTATGGTATAAAATTTAAAAAATACCTCTTTTTCAGATATCCGATCGGCGACATGCAGCTCAGAGGGCAAAGAAGTCGAGAAGTGGTCTCGGCGCAGCGGCCTGACGTGCGTGTGCGCGTGCGCTTGCGGGAAGTGCGTGACGAAGTCGGGGCAGGACTTGGACACGAACACGGCCTTGGGCGGCACGGGCGGCGTGTGCGACACCATCAGCATGCGGTGCTTCGAATCCGGATCCTTCGTCAGGTCCTCCATCGTGATCGAGTGGAGCGACACCTGAGCACACGAAACCATCACTTTGCAAACTCACACTCGATACATTTTTTCGACTGGTATTTTAGTGGTCTAATAATAATTTGAATACTTATCTGACCTGCAACATAGACTCGTGCGGATGCAGGTGCTCGCGCCGGAGGGAAAATTCTCGGAAGGTCAGGGCTACTAAGCTTCGCTCGCCCGCGCCTAAATCTGCTCGTAGCTCCACCATGAAATTCTCTAATTCAAATGTCACTATAGAAAAGAATAAAAATTAATAAAATTGTATGTAAAGTTAAAATAAATAGATTTCGTGTAATTTTTATACACATAAAAACATTAATACTACGTTTTAATAAAACATAAATTTGCGCACCAACGAGCGGCGTGTGCCTGCCGGCGGGCGCGGGCTCGTGCGCGGGCGGCGGCACGGCCAGCACGGCCGCGCGCAGCTGCGGGTCTAGGCGCAGCGTGGGCACCGCCGGCTCCACCACCGACGCCGGCTGCGAGGGAGCGTTTGTTAAATTAAGCTTTTTAAAAGTCTTCAATAATATTTTTTCGTGTTGAGTTAAAAGTGAGAGGTGCATACGTGAGAGGAGAGTTGCTGATAACATAATAAAAAACGTAAGAAATGGATGCTATAAAAGTTAGGAGCGATCGCACAGTATTAAAGTATTGCTTACGTCAGGTTGGTGCGGAGGCGCGGCGTCGGGCTCGTCGGGCGCGGAGTCGCCCAGCCACTGCAGCGTCTCCAGCAGCTGCTCGTACTGCTCACGACTCGCCGTCACGTGCAGCCCGTCCACCACCCTGCCGTCCACTGTGCACTGCGAACATACGATTCTACGTCCTGTAGTGACTACATAATGATGTAATAAATAAAATATACTCAGCAATTAAAAAAAAACTTAAATCTATTTATGAATGGAATCGCTTTTCATAATGTTATAAACGTTTGGACAGTACCATGGGTCTATCGTCCGCCTCAGCGAAGGCGACGCTGAGCTGCAGCGCGGTGTCGTGCAGCACGGGCAGGCCGCGCGTCGCGTCGTACATGTCACCCGGCGCGTCCGCGCCCGTCGGCAGCTGCCCGCGCACCAGCTTGTCGCGCACGTCCAGCTGCAACACGCCCAAGCGCACGTCACACAAGCACACACACTCACACACGCGCACGCACGCACAGTCACCGTACTGACCGACACGAGCGAGATGTCGCGCACGCGCACGCAGTAGAGCGCGCGCAGCGGCGGCGCGGGGCTGTTGGCGAGGCTCATGCGGCCGAGATGCGCCACGAACACCTGCGAGCTGCGCGCCGCGCGCGGCACCACCACCACCGGCGACTCCAGCTCCACGCTCAAGCTGCACATGCAACATTAAGGGTTAAACTTTTTGTCGTATAAATAAAAGGGACTGAAATAATTTAAAAATGAAAAAAGTTTAAACACTCACCAGAAAACAATTTGTCGTGTGTCCCTGTCGGGCTCGTCGAGCGAGCAGCCCGCGCTGGTAGTGCGTCTGCGTGGAGATACTCCTTCAATCGAATGCGACAATCGAGGATTAGAGTATAACGTTTCACTTCTGAAAGGTTATAATTTTTGAATCAGCATAGAAAACATTGACATCAATATCTATAAAAAATAAAATGTAATTTCTTGTACGGTACCTAGGATGTACGAGGCCGATGGCCATGTCTGCGGCGGCGGCGGCGGCGGCGCGGATGGAGCGCGCCAGGTTGGCCAGGTACTGCTGGAACTCCGCCACGCACTCGCGCAGCTCGCGCAGCAGCGGCGCCGAGTGCGTGTACCACACCGACGCCACGCGCACCGACACCTCCAGCGACACCACCTCATCGGCCTCGCCTTCCTCCTCGCCACCCTCTGTTTGAAATAAAAAAAAACTTGGTTTAACTAGGGTTATTAAAAAAATACCCCCCAAAATATGATTTCCTTTGATATGGGGAGGGGGTCACTCATTAGAGTCCGATAACCCAGCTTATTAAAAAAAATAATCATACGCAAATATGTATTTAAGCTCCAAAATGCTTAAGCTTTTCTTCATAGAAATACGCCGATAAGACGTTGTATTTTATCTTATTTCATACCTTTGAATTGAACATTATCACGTGACTTCATTCATTTTTAGCATTTTACGCATGCGCACTAGTCAAATTTTTCTTACTCGAAAGGCTGCTTCTCAACGTCTTATTCTGCTTGTCAGTTGTCAGAAATTAGAAAACGTCAAAATTAATATGGCGGATTGTTATTGTTTACGAGTGCATTGCATTTATATAAGATTTTTTTGTTTCATAGAGTTTTAACTTGAGCTTTTTTTAGCGTAATATAGACATTTTGTGCTGTTTGAAGTGAAATGAAAATGAAATAAACTTTATTCAATTAGACTTAATACAATTACTTTTAAATGTTTGCTTATGGAATGTGTGCGTTTCACATAGTTGTTAATGTCGAGTTCTATTAGCCATTATGGCATTAATTTGCATACTATTGACTTTAGTTTTTAAACTTAGTTGTTTAATAAAAATAAAAAGTATGTCGTTAAGTTACTCATTTGTTTGAAATATTATTTAATTATTACATGAAATGAGTTATCTAAATATTTTCATAAAACTTTATATTAAAAATATGTGTGATCGTGCTGAATTATAAAAATATTTAGTTTTCCATGGTTATTATTCTCTGATTTCATTTAAGTTTGAAGTAAATTTTAATATGTTAAAGTTATTTTAAATACGTTATGTTAATCAATAATATAATTTGAAGAATTAATCTAAATACTAAATAGGTTATTCATACACTTTAAAAAACGGATGTATTGCTAGAGGATATTATAATTTATAATAATTAAACCCTGCGCTTCTTATTGTTCGTTTTTTTGTGAAGAGTAGAGTATCTACTTATTTCATAATTTTCGTTCAATTTGGCCAAGATCTCGTAAATAAAATATAATAAAATAATAAATCAGTCTCATCGGTAAGAAAGACGAAGTAGTTCAAACAAATGTAAGTAGGTGGAGGTATTTATATTTAAATATATTGTTTAACTAAAATTAACAAAAATCAGATTTTAAAATATACGAATAGTAAACAAAAATAAATTATCGCGGTCGTAAATCAAATTTTCGTACTTTCACTTATTAAGTGATGCGTAATGATTTTTCATAGATGGTGTTAATACTATTTTATAAGCTTTTATTATTTTATAAGTGTATGTAATGTATTTCGCTAAAATATTTTGCATACATTTAAAAAAAACATAATATCCTTATTAAAAAAATCTTTACAACAACATTTCTTATTGTTTTCGCATTGATGTATAAAAATTGTGTAACAACGTTTTTTTGTCTTTTTTTTTGGAACGGCTTACCTCTGCAAAAATATTACCCTTCGCTACTGATGGGTACACATACCTAGCTATGCGTAAATGCATTTCCCAACATTAAAAAAAAAGGTTATTAAAAGAAGCTGTTAAAAAGGGACAAATCAGTTACCAGTGGAATCCTCCGGTGTGGGCGGGCGGACGGTGCGCGATATGGAGAACCACAAGGCCTTGTCCTCGCCGGCGGCGTGCAGGCCGCGCGCGGCGTGCGGCGCGGCGGGCGCGCGGCCGGCCGCCAGCACGCGCGTGTGCACACCGGCGCGCTCCGACAGCGACACCACCTGCACGCCGCCCAGCGACCCGCCCACCGAGATGCGCTCGCCGTCTGCAACACATTCATAGGATTTTATTTAAAAATTCTGTTAAGAGAAAGATAGACTACGAAAAGTAAAATAAAAAACATTTTAAATTTTCAAATTGTTTAAAAATAATATAATAGTCTTTACTTTTTTAGTACACATTAAAAATGCGACAGTTACCGAGCGTGGCCTGTATGCGCGCGTCGCCGACGGTGGCGGTAGCGATCTTGCTGGCGTGCAGCGCACCGTCGCGCAGGCGCGCGCGCAGCAGTAGCACGCCCAGCCGGTGGAAGTCGAACGTGATCTCAGTGCGCACGCGCTGCACACACAGATACACTCACAACGAATAAGTTATACAGGGAAAATATGGAATTAATCATTGTGTTTTATTTTATTTATTACCTTAACACCTTCGTCAGGCGGCGGCAAAGACAGTAAGCTAGCACTGGTGGGCGCGCGCGGGGGCTCGGGCGCCGCGCGTCGAACGCCCCCGCCCGCCACTCGGTGTGCAAATCCAATAAGTTCCACTATAGTTTCTTGATTGGCTAAAATTAAATAACATGTTTTAAATTATGTACATATGTGTGTATATGTATATATATATAGTACTCCTGTGTAAATAATTTACCAATGACATCCAAATTATTGAACAGTATATTAGCAATCCTCAGATCTTCCGAGTCCCCCTCCCCCTTCACAAAGCACAGTTCTACAGCAATCAGCGCCTCCGAGTCGACGAGGCCGGGCGCGGCCCAGCCGCTGCTGCTGGGCCACGAGTCCGCGGGCCAGCCCCAGCCCGCCGCCGCACCCGCCCCCGCGGCGTGCGCGCTGTTCCAGCTCAGTCCCCTCAACAAGCTGGGCGTGGGGCTCACGCGTCCAGCTTCTGGGTCTACAAAAGAATATAAAAAATGATATACCCTCGTTTCGCTCGGGTTCATCCCTAGTCGTTTTAACGGTTAATATGGAATAGATAGACTATATATTATATATGTACAGCATAGGTACAGAATAAACAGTTCTAAACTTTTCGATTTTCCAGCTGTGTCTTTGGGTTTCCCCTATTTTTTTATACCACCCCTGACATACCTTCAGTAAAACAAAAAAAAATGATTTAAATTTGTCCAGCCGTTTTTTAATTTTTACAAGGTTAACGAACAGCAATTCTTTTTTATATACATATATTATTTCCGGGATAAAAACTATCCTATATCCTTCCCAGTATCTCAAACTATCTTCCTACCAAATTTCATCTATGTCAATTCAGTAGTTTCGGAGTCTATTCAATACAAACAAAAAAATAAACATAATTTTTCTCCTTATAATATCAGAATAGATATTAGGAAAAAAAAAGTCAAATTGGACAGCAGGGAAGGCAAACATGTCGGCCCACAAGACATTTATTTTAAGCGCAAGCTCGCTAAAAAGCTAAACAAAACCGACCATTTAAATAAAATAAAACTATCTTTTCGGATTTTGTCGCGGATTTATTTGCATTTTTGTTTCCCGACGTTTCGAATGCTTTACAGCATCCATGGTCACGGGAGAGACTGAGGTGTTACATGTCTTGAATGTATAGTTGTTACAGACAGCCTACCCACAATTAACAAAATGAAAATTGCACCAATTACATTACAATATTTTTTAACTTTAAACATTTTTATAATTTTAATAATAATTGAATATGGAAAATTATTTATTTAATTTTTGCTATTATTTTTATAATTATTACAATTTTAAAATATTAATTAGTAATCTATATTTAGTGTTGCCATTATTATATTTACCGTCGCAATACAACATCTGCTGTCTGCAAACATAGTCAGGACCGCCCAAGCCATTATATTCGCTTCGATAGACCTCAAATCCTGGCGAAAGAAAACCGATATCGCCCTAGAATGATTCGAGAAGCCATAGAAATTAAAAAACATCCTAATTTCAATAGGGAAGATGGCTGGGTACTACCATCGTCATGGGATGCTGTTATTAATATAATAAAATCAAATAATAAATATAAACATAACAGACAGGCAGATGTAGTAAGTTCATACTGTGTAGATCAAAATGACAGCTTATCAGATTAATATTTTTCATTTTTCATTTGTAAAAGTATATATTAATAGTGTTGCTTAGTAATTTGTTTTAAATAATAGCAAACTAAATTAAAATTATTATCCTTAATTTTTTTAACTTTTTAAATTACACATAGAACAATTATATGGCTTAAATAATTAATACTATATTTTATATTTTTCTTTATGGTTATAAATATAATAATGGCAACACTAAATATAGATTACTAATTAATATTTTAAAATTGTAATAATTATAAAAATAATAGCAAAAATTAAATAAATAATTTTCCATATTCAATTATAATTAAAATTATAAAAATGTTAAAAGTTAAAAAATATTGTAATGTAATTGGTGCGATTTTCATTTTGTTAATTGTGGGTAGGCTGTCTGTAACAACTATACATTCAAGACATGTAACACCTCAGTCTCTCCCGGGAAACAAAAATGCAAATAAATCCGCGACAAAATCCGAAAAGATAGTTTTATTTTATTTAAAATGTCAAATATTCGCGTAAATCTAAGAAAGTATTATGAAAACCGACCTATTCCTCAATGGGTTAGAATGCGTACTGGAAACACTATTCAGTACAACGCTAACTAGAGGCGTCACTGGAGGAAAACTAAGCTCAAGTTGTAAGCTTAATGTCCTGTATGTCTTAAGTGAATAAAAACTTTAAAACCTTAAAAAAAATTGATGTACCACTCGCCGCACGGTGTGAAAAATAGTTTTTTTCATTTTGATTGAATTTTAAAAAGTTTTCCAAGCCATGTATGAAAAAATGAATATCCCCTTTGAAAAGCTAATAATTTTTCCAACAAAAAGATATACTTTCCTAATTAAAAAAATAAAGTTTTACAAGTCAAAAAAATTGATATTAAGTTGATTTTTTTCTCAGAATTTAAAAAATGCATAACTTCGAAACGGCTGAATATTAAAAGCTGAAACTTTTAGGGATTTTTTTTCTCAAAGTAGAGAACCCCTCCATTAATTTAGAAAAAATTGGCAGGGGTCGCTCCGTAAAAATGATTTCGTTTGGTGGATGACCATATGTATAGCGCGGTGAGTACCTGCGACGGCGGCGGCGGCGTGGTGCAGCGAGTAGATGGCGCTGCGCAGCTGGCGCGGCGTGGGCGGCGGCGGGGCGCGCGCGGCGGGTGACGCCGGCGACGTGGGCGACGTCGGCTCCGAGCCGCGGATGCTGCCCGACGTCGTGTCCATACTGCACCGCATAACAAACAATGGTTAGGTGAAACACTTAAGACGTTCAAAATTAATCAACTGTCTGACTCATAAAAGTAAAAAGGCTGGCTGTTAAGTTCTAAATATTAAAAATATGCATTCATATTTTTAATAATAATTAGAATTTTGAATTTTTCAAATAATATATATTTTACAACATTGCCTTTCTTTCAAACTGTATGAGTGCAAAGTAGTATATAGAAATTCTTTTACGAACCCAACGTGCTTGTGGCTGGCGACGAGCAGCTCGAAGTCGGGCCCGTAGGTCTGCAGCGCGTCCACCAGCAGCAGCGAGTGCACGGACAGCGACAGCGACGTGTCAGCCGCGCGCACGCCCAGCGCCGCGCGCACGCCGCACACCTGCACCTCCGCGATGCTGCGCCCGCGCGACTGCACCTGCGCGAAGCGAACAAAATGACATTGTACAAATATAACCATAAAAAATGACATCAAATACATGACTTGTTCAATTAAATACCGACAACTTGCCTCTAAAGACATTTGGTCAATCGAAAATTGCAGTAGAAGCAACGTCGCATTCTGGTTGACGGAGTAGTCCGAGTAGTCGGTCTCGGTGCCGTCGCCGGGTTCAGCGTCGTCGGCGTCGACGTCGTCGGCGCGGAGGTCGCGGGCGGGGCGCGGCGGCGGCGCGGGCGCGGCGGGCGGCGGCGGCGCCAGGCGCGCGGCCACGGCGCGCACGGCGGCCAGCTTGTGCTCGGAGAGGTGCGCCACGAGCGCGGGCAGCTGGCCGGCCAGCGCCAGTCGCGGGTAGCGCGGGTCGGCCGTGGCCAGCACGCGGCGCTCCGCCTGCAGCGAGATGCTGAAGCGGTCCAGCAGGTGCAGCGCCGACGTGGGCTTCGTGTGCGCGTACTTCCAGTTGTCGCGCGCGCGCCCCACCAGAATCTGCAGCTCGCTCAGCTCGATGTTGTATCTACCACATAGCAACGTTCAATAATGTCTTGTAATTGTAATTACTTTAACACCAGCAGGTAAATTTCTAAGAAATTAATTAAATTTCTAAGAAATCTATTGTTAACTGTAACGCCGGCGTGTCCGTGGTCGTGGAGGGATTAGACAAACTTTGTAAAAAAGTTGTTAAGAACACCTCATGTGACTTCATCATAATACCAAGTGAGCATAAGTGTTCAGGAGTGTATGTAGTAAGTAGATAGTATGTACTCTTATATCCGGGTCTATAATTATTACACTATTACAGTATATATATTATGTTATGGAATGTATGTTCTCACCGGTCGTAGAGGCTGGTGTGCAGGTGCGCGGCGTCCAGGCTGCGCGGCGCGGGCGGCGAGGCGGGCGGCGACGCGGGCGATAGCAGGCTGCCCGGCGGCGTCGAGCACGGCGTCATGAACATTTCTGTCACATAATATAATATAGAGCTTTTAGTTTATTAGCAAATACAAATCCCACCTTTGGTGTCGTACCTCTGAAATTTTTATATGCGAATCCATTCTCAACATGATTATCAACCATTCACCTCACCATGAATAAAAATACCGATAGAAAATCTACGTAATGTCTGAGAAAACCTATGTAGCTTTCTAAAGACAAAAATAGCAGTACTCATGTTCGGATTCATTTAAAGAGTTGGAACGCCAAAGAATCGATCCCCCCTTTAAAGTTATCCTTCCTATTTCCACTCCGCAACACACACGCGTACCTTCATCCTCCTCAGTAGACTGGTGCTGCAGCAGGTCGCCGGCGGGGCCGGGCGCGGGGCCGGGCGCGGGGTCGGGCGCGGGCGCGCCGGCGTTGGCGAGGCGCAGGCGGCCGAAGTCCAGCACCAGCACGGAGGCGTCGCGGTCGCACAGGTCCTCCACCAGTAGGATCTGCGGCGCCGATATGTCTAATTCCACGTGCCACGAGCTACGCTCCATCTGGATCATATTTAACATTTTTGTCCATTAAATTGACATACAATAAAATTTCAGAATTATAATATTAATCCATTGAGAAAAAGAAGGTGTCTTTTGTTGTCATTTAGTAATTTAATGAGTTTTTTTTTTTAATTCCATCAAATCATATAGGTACAAATATGTTATATAATATAGAAATGTAATAAATATAATGTTATTGTTATAATGTTAAAATGCCAAATATTTCCTCTAAAACTCTTTTTTCCAAATATTTGAGTTGTTAAAGCATCTCGCTCACATTAGAGAAGTTGCATTAATTTTTTTTTGCCACAAAATATACATATCAAAGATTAATACATTTAAAATATATGTATTTTTTTTTGTTTTAAAAATTCCATTTTTTAAGTGATTATTAATATAAAATTGTAAAATTTTTGAACGAAATAAAATTGGTTGTGACGTCATTATATCCGTTGAGGCTGTGAGCCAATCGCAATCATATTATACTTTTGTATTTTCTATATTTTGATCACCATGTGTCCTAACATTTTTTTTACGTCAATTAAATAATTTCAAAACAAATATAACCTCAGGTTATATTTGTTTTGAATAGTTTTCCATGCTTAATAACCTGTATTGTGCAACGACAACTTTTTTTGAGATTGACAACGTTAACATGTGCTTTACCATTTCGCCATGCGGTGGCGTTACTAAAGCGATATAATGACGTCACTGGCATTTGAATTTACATTAAAAAAAACACGTTTAATTGCAATATTATATGAAAAATCAATTGTTAAAAAAAACTTTTAATTTTTTTAACAATTTTCAGTAGGCTTTAAAAAAAATAATTGCAATGCATGCAATTTCTTTTTTTTACCGGTCGGCGCGTGTGCCGCATGAAGCGGTCCCAGTGGTGGTGCAGCGCAGCGCGCGTGTGCAGCCGCGCCAGCGCGCCGGCGCCCGCCCAGCGCCGCGCCCAGCGCGCCGCCGCCGCGCACCACACCACCTCCAGCGACGACGACTTCACGCGCAGCCTGCGCCCCGCCCACACACATTAACATCACTACACCTTATTTATACACATTCAATCCGTAAATATCTAAATAGAATCGGAAGACATATAGATTATATACATATTTATTAACATTGCAAAATATACAAATAAATAATAATAAATTATTATTGCTCAAAAAAACTCACTTATAATCACAATTGAGGCCAACAGGACGCTTTTCGTATGTGAGCTGGAAGAGCGGGTCGTCCGTGGCGGGCGCGGGGTGGTGCGCGCGCCAGGCGGGCGCACCTAACCCCTCGCGAATGAGGCCGTGCGGCGCCACCAGCACGGGGAACAGCGTGCGCGGCGTGACGCGGTCGCGCAGGCACACGCCGCCCAGCGACACGTGCAGCGCGTGTGCGCCGGCGCGCGGCCGCCACTCCACGCGCAAGCACACGCTGCTGAACTGCAGCTCCAACCCCTCGCCACCCGCCCCGCCGTCCTCGCCGCCCGCCTCGCCGTTCATGACTCTGCACACAAATGGATCACGTGTTACTCGGTTCTAAATTATCATTTCTTCTTCTTAGTCGTTCACTCTTGACAGAGTGGTCGTGGTCATGTCTCAGTCGAGTCTTGCTCCTCCGCTTCACTCGTGATGCGACGTCATGTATCTCTATGTTCGGCGTTAAATTATCATTATGACTACATTATTAGTATGATGAAGTATAAAAACACTGAATGAATGAACATAAAAAAGAACACTTACTCGGAATCTTCTTCGAGCTCAGTGCACAGGTCCAGCGAGCCCTTCAGCAACGTGAACTCAAAGAGTCCAAATACGGCGTCTCGGCGCAGCAGCGTGTTGTCGTCGAGCGAGTCGGCGATGACGTCGAGGATCTCGCCCTCGAGGCCGGGCGCGGGCGGCGCGGGGCCGGGCGCGGCGTACCAGCCCCACCACTGCGGGAACCAGCGCAGCAGCACGCCGCGCCCCGACACCGCCTGCTCCGGCGGCAGCGCCGCCGGCGCGGCCACCGGCACCTTGCGCATCGCGATCTGGTGATCGGCACCACAACACACAATGAGTAAAAAAAATAAAATGACACTTTTTATAACAAAATAAGCTCGATTTGAGATAATTTAGGTAAACTTATTATTTTTTTATATTTTTTTTAAACAAACAAAACTTCTTAGCATCATATGAGAAATTTACATATAACAGAAAGTGTAAACATTATATACTAGCGGCTCACCCTCGCTTCGCTCGGGTTCGTCGCTAGGTACGTTTTAAATAGATATAAAAAGAAAAAATCTTTCTTTCTCACATTTTAATTATATGTTTTAATACTTACCTATTCCGGACTAAGAGAAATCCAAAAATTAAAATATCATAAAAATTGGAACGCGGTCGAACGGGATAAAAAGTATCCTATGTCCTTCTCCTGGCTCTAAACTACCTCCCTGCCAATTTTCAGCTAAATCGGTTCAGCCGTTCTTGAGTTATAAGCGAAGTAACTAACACGACTTTCTTTTATATATATAGATTTTTTGTGTTACTGTATGTAGTTTATATCAACCAGTGACATGGATCTAAAGTGACAGTGAGAGTAAAACAGTGGACCTCGCGCAGCGGCTTGAGCAGGTGCAGCGGCGTGCGCCACTCGTAGTCGTCGCGAGCGGCCTGGCGCTCCGGCGGCGGCGTGGCCGCGGGCTGCGCCAGCGCCGCCGCGCACGTGGCCACATACTGCCGCGCCTCGCGCGCGCGCACCGTCATCTCCTCCCAGCTCGGCTTCGGCTCCATCCCTGCACGTACCCAAAACCACTCTCTTATACTTCATACGAAAACTCATTCTAATGTGTTATACAAGTTTGGTATGTACGTTATAAATGGGTCACTTATTGTTTGGCACGCAGGAACCCACCTGAGCGAAGCGAGGGTAAATGATTGATAAGTGATAACATATAATAAAAGAAATTATAATTTATTAAATCGTCATTTTGTATATTAATATATGTATGTGTGTATTACTCACAGGTGTGGTGCGGCAGGTGCGCGCGCACCGCGTACAGCCACCAGACGCGCGCGTGCCCCTTCACGCGCACGGCGGGGCGCAGCGCGCGCACCTCGCGCAGGCGCGCGATCTGTTCCAGCCCGCGCGCGCATCCCGCTATTTCGCTGTACTGTCTCTGTCAGTAAAGCATACATTATTATCATTTTTATCCTTACGAAATTATAATTAATTTTAATAATATTTTTTTATATTATACATTTTTAACAAAACATTTTTCAATGTCTGTACAGTATCTTTTCTTCTTCCTATATAGCTTTAAGAATAAGAATTCAAGTATTTAGAATTTGAGAATTCAAAATTTTTAATAACTTTATCGATGCGAGTGATATTCTTATGTAACTACGTATTTATGTATGTATGCGTGTCGGAGGTGTCTTACGGAGGTGAGCCGCAGACGCACGGCGTCGAGCGTGAGGTGGCAGGCGTGGCGCGGGCGCGCGCGGTCGCGCAGCGGCTGCTCGCAGCGCTCGCGGCGCACGCGCGCGCTTGCCGTGGACGGCGCCAGCACGTAGCGGTGCGCACCTGCCCATGTCGCGCCCATGCGCTCCTGCACATGCGCACAAGTTTCGTTAAATATACTTACTTCCTTTTCTCTTTTTAAAACTCATGAAAATTTCGTTCCAATTTTCACCTCCTCTCTCTCTCTCTCACTCTCATCTGGTGTAGGTCAAAATTATGAATTTAAAACAGAAATTTTTGTTAATTTAAAAAAAAATATACTTGTTTTACTAAATTTTACTAAAATATTATAATCAAATATAATATAACGAAATACATATTATACTTATAATATAATAAATCAAGAAATATTTAGTAGTTAAAAATTTATAAGTTCTTTTACTTTAGCATTACTCACAGTGAGCTCAGGGATAGTGCAGTCAGCCATCATACCCGCGGGCACGGGCATGGGGTCCCAGTAGATGGCGAGGTTGTGGAGCTCCAGCAACTTGAAGGAGCAGGACTCCTCGAGCGGCGTGAACCCTCGGCGCCAGGCCGCATCGCATGACTCCGCCGCCAGCGACTCCACCGTGAAGCCGCACGCGAAGGCGTGCGGCGCGCATGTCAGGGCGTCCTCGTAGCGGATGTGCACGTCGTTTAGCTTTAACTGGGATTGGGCAAACAACAAACATTATTTTGTAACATCAGTTATTAAACAAAAAATACCTATGTATATGAATAAATTAACCAGATTTTTCATATGTATTTGCAAAAATGTACATAATTATGGTAATCCTTCAGTAAAAACTACATACATTAAATATAATTATAATGATAAAATCATCAGAAAAAAATGTCCTTGAATTGAATACCTGTAGGTTTTCCACAATGTTTGCAAGCAAACCAGTGCCATAACTGAGCCAAGAAGAGTAAGACGCCGCATAGTACCCCGCATCGTTAGCTTCATGCTCAGCGCGCCATTGCGCCTCCAGCGCGTCCAGTATCGCGATTTTGCGCTCATGAGCGATATTTGCCTCGACCGTACTGTCCCACTAAATCCATACTAATATTATAAATGTGAAAGTGTGTTTGTTTGTTTGAAATTGAAACTTGGTATTAATGCTCTTCAATACAATTAAATAAATACATGTTGTAGCATTTTTCAAAATTCATCCCATAAGAGGGTAAAATAGAGGATGAAAATTTGTATGAAATCTATCTTTTTAGATTTTTATAGTTTTAGCGCGTGCGAAGCTGCGGAGAGACCGTGGCAGAACCCGCGTTCTGCTAGTAATTTATATCATAACTCTGCCATAATTTTACCACCGTAATATTATAAGCCTCACCTAAATTTATTACTTATAGGATAAACCTGTGTGAAACATCTTCTCTTACATAAAACACAGAGCATTTTTCAGACTAATTTTATTCTCCATAGTCGGGTGTAAAACCTTTAAAAAACTATATTTCTTTATTCTCTTAAAAACTTGGAAATAGGTGGATCAATTTGAATACTTTTTTAGTTCCATTTAATACTGTGGTGGTATTGGAAAAAACTAGGAAAAACTAAAGGCGCAGCCGAAAAATCGAATTCATTGGGTCATCCAGTACGAGTAATTACCATTAAATATAATTATTTACGTTTAAATTTGGATATTTTTTTCCAAATATTCTACAGCTTGATTACATTTGTACGATAAACTGAATTTGTTGCTTTATCAATAAAGTATAATAAAGTAAAAATATAATAAAGTTGTAATTGATCACTGTCTGTACATGGAAAATAATTGAGAAAAACTATTAACGCAATAGAACCCATAACAATGATTTTTAGAATTTATGTCTGTTTGTCTGTGTGTTTGTGAGCGCTAATCTCAGAAACGACATAACTGATTTAGGTGTGGTTTTTACTAATGTATTGTGGTAAGCTTCACTTCACATTTAATATTTGTTTTATTTCAATTGGTTCATAAATAAAAAAACGTATGTGTATGCATGTAAGACGTTATACTTATTTGGCGTAACAGAACAAAAATAGCTAAAGATTTCATCCCATATGCCACAACTCTCTGTTTGTAAAAGGAATGCAGGTAACTTCATCATGTCATGAGTAAAAATTTTACTCTCGTAATTTTTTCCAAACGGGCGAAAAGAAGTATAACTAAAAAAATTTAAAGAATCACCTAGGGACAAACCCGAGTGAAGCAATTCGCTAGTTAAATAATATGTTTAATTCTCAAAAATAGTTTAACCCTAATAACTAAGATGCAAAATTCAAATAAACTGAAAATAAACTACAGACTATTAGAAAAATCTTGACATTTGTCAGCTAGCCATAAGAATTTTATCTTTTACTTTGCATATTTCCTCAACAATCTTATCTGAATGCCAAGTTCACTCCCAAGGTCAGAGATTGTATATCTTTTATAACCGAAAATACAAAACTATTAACATCCAAATATAATATTTAAAAACAATGAAAACTTTATGATAAAAACACTTGTAGTATTATGTCACCCCCCCCCCCCCAACGTGCATTCACCTTGTGCCCGGCAATTCAGCCGGGCGGGAAGCCAAGTAACGCACAGGGAGGTGGCCGTGGCCCTCTTCGGAGGGCGGTGTACCATGCGGGTTGCTCCTGGTACTTCTCTGATAGCAGAGTGGACTTTGGAGCAACCCCATGGTCGTTGTGGTCTGCCTCGGCAGACCTGCCGTCGGGACGTCGTAGTTGAATGCATAAGTGATCCTGCGACGCCCCATTAAGAAGGGGGAAGGCTTTGTTGGGTTTTAGTGGGTAGTACTGGCTTTGCCGGTGAGTCCCACACCTTGTGCTTAAATGCATTTCCCAACGTTAAAAAAAAAAATTATGTCCATCAACATTTTTTTCCGATATTGATATAAATGAAGCTATGGTATGTGTGAGGGGCTAGTCTGACAATACAATGTATCTATAGTAGTCAGTAGATGTACCTATATATGGACATTTGACATCTAAAGATAAAGAGGTATTCAAAATTGTAAGTACAATATAACATTATTAACTAAACAAAATGACAAACCTCATCTAAATTTACAGGTGCAGCAACTAGATAAAGCTTTTCAATGGCAATAAGCCATGGTGCTGATCGTATTTGTCTGACTGGTACTTGCAATTGCACTTTTCCAATAAATCCAGCTTTGACTTCCACAGGTAAGCCCAAGTGTCGAAGTGCATCCTTCTTAAGAGGAAGATTTTCTAACTCGACCTTACCTAAATTTTAATAAATAAATGGCATTTAACTTTACTTTTCTAATAAAAAAAAAACTAAATTTGAGAGTATCTATTTAACAATTAAATAATACAGCAATAATTGATAACATCTTATGTAGATTTTAGTTACATACTTTCAAATGAGTGACCTCATTCTTTATATTCATTTGTTACACAATACTACATTCATATATGTCTATGATTCTCTCTTTATTAAATTGCCATTAGTTTTAAATTATTAGTATTTCTACTCAGAAGTTATTGTTATAAAAATTATAATTAGCATATTTATAGATTAATCATTTCCGCACTTTCATTTCTTTTATTTTCTATACATGTATTTTAAATTTAAGCGCCAAATAGTATATATTAAGACCTATATTTTTCGAATGATTTGCTTACCGGACAGCAGCGCAACACTCAGCTGATCGGTGTTCAGATTTTCTACATACTTCCCGAGGTAGTTGTTCAGTACCCAAGCTACCAGCCCTTCCAACATTGTGCATGATCAACTTTTCTTCTTTTTCAACTACAGCGCACTTTCACGAAAAACAGGCTGTTATGATGTAGGTATTTTTCATTTATAAGCAACCAAAAACAAATTTATTATTACTTTGGAAAAATCAAAATTTAGCTTGTTATTTATGCAACAGACGTACATCATTACTAAATTGAACGAAAAGATATTTTCTTAACATTACTTCTGTTTTTGGTGTTTTTACCAAATTTTGACTTATGTCATAGATATGACATAATCTTTGACAAATTCGATCCGATTCCCAAAATAATGGTACTTAGTTATAATTACTGATAAGTCATATCAAAAAGGTAAATAAATTTATGTAAATATATTTTAAACAATTCATTTTATTATTAACTAGATTAAAAATCTATAAATATTTTTTCAATCTTGCTTCTACAAGTAAATAATCTGAAAAATTTCATATACTGACAGTTCATTTCGTAAAATGAATCGTATACACCATGGAAATGTAGTTTGGAAAAATCTGCATTTTTAGTTTGTTTACTCATTTTGAGTCATATACGCTTTTAAAAATGAAGTCAGTGCATTTATGGAACAAATTTTGTAGACTCTCAATAGTTAATGTAAATGTGGGCTGTTTTAAAAGACCGAGTATATTACACGTAAGATATAGCACTACAGTGGGATGTACAAACTACACAAAATTTGTTCCTCTGGTAATGACAACTCGAAGATTAGGATTAGGTCCCACATCAAAAGATTTTGAAGAACCAGCTCAATTGTCAGGTCCTTTGACAAAAGCTCATGCAACAGAACTAGTCCTTCGTTTAAATAATGAAGAACGAAAAATGTTATTTAATGCTTTACAGGAATATGAATCGAACAGATTAAAGGAAGACTTCGAAGGTAGACATAAGGAATTAAATAATATTAAATAAATTGAACGATTATTATTTCGTGGATATTAATTTCTACAGATAAATTGGCTGGCCAAAGGTGGAGAAGTAAACTAGGACGTCCTAGTAAAGTACCAACTTTAGGTGATGTTGATCCTACTGGGTCATATTGTCCTGTTCCTGAAGATTGGCTAAAGAAAAAATATGGTGAGTGATATATTAATAATTGAATTTTGTAGTCTCGAAACTAGTTTCTTGTAGTATAAACTGGTATGATCTGGTTTTGTTACTATTTTCAACTGTTCAAATAATACTAAATTAATGAAATGTTAAATAATGAATATATAAAGAAACATCATTTAATATTAATAGAAGTCTAGTATTAATAATAAAAGTATAATGAAGTACATATATTATTAAGTGTAATATTAGTAATACATTATGCATGTATGTGTTACAAATTATTTTCATTTTTTAATTCCAGCTGCTACAGTACCAAAACCAACTACAAAGGAACTCTTTCACTGTGAGTGATAAGTATTTACAGAAAATATACATACATATTAATGTATTAGATGCACAAATTTATATGCACTTTATATTTTTTCAGTGTCACTGGCAAATTCAATACCTTTCATTGGATTTGGTTTCTTGGACAATTTCATCATGATCATAGCTGTGAGTTTTGTGAATGCACAATGTTTGTATATTATTATAGATGGGCCGAATGTGGCTTGAACCTTCGAATTTCAACCTTGGCCGAACATTTGGTGAGATTAAAAAATTCGGTTGAACTTCAGTACAATTTCACCACATTTTCTCAAGTCATTACATGTTGTGTCACTACACGTCGTGACACTTTAATAATTAATAATACTTAATGTTTTTGATTTCTGAGTGTTTAGTTTGTGAACCAAAAATGTGTTTTTTTATTCAATTTAGGAATTGTAATTAAGACGTTTGTTACAAGAATACTAAGTTTATTTCATTTTGTCTATTTAATTAGACAAAGATTTTTGAGACTGTTAAATTAAGAATTTTTAAAAAAAGTTTACTATATACTATACTTTCAAAAATTACATTCCCCTAGTTTCAAGAAAATTAAAAAAAATATTTAATAAAAAATGAGTTTTTAGCAAATATCTCGAAAAGTTTGAGGTTATTGTAAAAAGTATTATCTATAATTAAAGTTGTAGATTTTTACTAGACCAACTACACAAACTTACAACTTTTCAACAAAACATGTTTTGATAGGTCGTCATAGTAAGCCGGAAATTGAAAAAAAAACTATTTTTCAACGCTTTTCATCCCCCCATTTCTCAGGGGTAGCTGGAAATTGGGGGCATTTTACGGATTTTTTGTTCCTTATACACCAGCTAACGATTTGTAGATATACTATTAAATACATGCTTTGTATTAATTTCAGTCAAAATAGTGCAAGTAGGTTTTTTTTCTATTGCCGAAAGTTCGGCATTCAAACCGAATTTCGGCCGAATGCGGAAGTTTAGCTCAAGCTGCCGAAATTCGGGTAAACCGAATGTAAAACGAATTTTGGCCCATCCCTATTAATATTATATATTTATTAATGTAAATAAATAGTCCTAAATATTGTAATTATATATTTTTATAAGTTTCAACTTTGAATGTCTGTTTTATTATAATTAACAATATATCTAACCCAAACAAATTTGTTTGCCTTATATCTTACATTTATAAATATTTCATAAACACTATATATATATATTTTAAAATAACTTTATTCATTCTTTCTAGGGCTAAAGTCTTATATTGACATTTTCAGTATATTAAATTGAATTTAAAGTACACACTACATTACTACCTCAATAATTGTTCATTCTTGACATTCAAGTCTGACATCCACTATTTTCACACTTGGGGCTGCTACTGAGAATTTTCTAACAAATGGCCCAATTGGCAATCATTGTTCTCAACCTGATCTTATACTGGAATCCTCATGATCATCACATGTTCATCATCTCATGGTCAGTGTATATGAATTCCAGGGTGACCGTATAGAGAGTAGCATGAGCGCGTACATCACGCTGTCGACAATGGCGGCGGCGGCGCTGGGCAACACGTTCAGCGACGTGATCGGCATCGGCTCGTCGTACTACGTGGAGCGCGCCGCAGCGCTGGTGGGCCTGGGCGCGCCTAAGCTGTCGCCCGTGCAGCTCGACATGCCCATCAGCAGGCGCTTCGCCAACATGGTGCGTGCCCTCTGCCCCTTCGTGTCACCTTTTGGCAGGACGTTCTGTTGTTGAAACCTCTCAAGACGTCCTGCTAAACTATCATTTATTTTTAAATAAATTTAATAATTCAGTTTCGCCTTTGTAATTTTCAATTTACCTCTAAGACTTTATATATTTCCTTATGAATTTACAGATATATGTATGTATTTTGTATACAAGATGTTTGGAAAAATAGATGTAGCAATACTATTTTTAACAAAGGCTGAAAGAAAACATGACTTTTATCCTTCTTTTTATAAGAGTGCATAGAATGAGTCAATACTGTTTGTTCAACTTGATTTTAGTGATAATGATTGACTAAACATGATAAATTGCATTAATCAATAAACTGGGTCTTTGGCGTGCCCCACATTTTATTTTTAACCATCCGTCATTAATTAAAAAAAATATTATTCTAATACAGTAATGTTTATAAAATGAAAGGAATTCTTCCAGGGTCGAGTTTTAGGCATCACACTTGGCTGCTTCCTCGGCATGATTCCACTCCTTTTTAAAGATGACGAAAAGAAACCAGAATCCTCATAAATTTAATGCTATTTCTTGACTTTACATTTTTAGCAAATTTTAGAAGTCACTTAAATGTAATAGAAACAGTGTCTGCAATATTGTATTATTAGTAAGGATTTTGTGTATGGATTGGTTTCCTTTAAAGTTTTAAACAAATATATATTTTTTGTTCTGTTAAGTGAAAACCGTGTAATTAGTCTATATCAGTAGACTTAGTGTATTTTACTGACACTCTACTTAGACTAATGACAAGATTGCTTTTTTATATAGTGTAAATATTTTGAATATTCACATTATGGAAATTATACAAATTTAATAAAATCACAATCTGAATGCACAAGAAAAAAATAGTGATTTTTGTCACAACGTAACTTGCACTTCATATTTACTGTTTGATAAATTATTTATAGATGTTGTGAGTGAATGTACTCAGAGCTTTTATTATAGATCATAGGAATGAGTAGAGCTGCAAGCAAATATATGCAATATAATATTTAGGGTTAAAATTTATTCTCTTTATATAATATAATCTTGTGAAATTCCAAACAGGTGAATAATATTCGGAATTTGTAATCTTTCAAATTTTTTAAACTATAATTTTTAATATAGCAATATCATTTGAATTTTAGTGTGCCAAAATAATCTAAGCTTCTTTGAACTTTTATGTAAATTTTAAAGTACAATTCTATTGTTTTTCTAAAGAATGGTTAATACTGAAATTTCTACAATTTTTTGTAATATTTATTGCTATTTTTACTTTCACATAATAAACGCCTTACTTGCGAATTTAATTCTAAACTTATGAAAGATATTGTATATGTAGTACATAAGATAAAAAAATGTATTGAAGCTATAATATATATGTAGCTCATATTTGCCAGAGAACTATTGGGTAGGTTTAACGCTACTGAATTCAAATCTTAGACCTTCAGCTTACTCAATCTCGTGGCACTTAGCATTATTAATGAACTAGTCAACAATGAACCTGTTATTACAATTTGCACTACTGTTCAGTTATAGCTCTGGCAAATGTAATCTAATGGTTCCTATCACAATATGATATTTAACATTAAAATTATAATTTTAATTAATTTCATTTTTTTTTTTCATGTTAGCAACATCACCAAGTGCTGTATGTTATTGTTATAATAGTAGTCTGTCCATTCTCGCTGCTACTTGTATGGAGTTCAAAAGAGATCGATACTACATAATTGTCTAGATATTATGGAAACTACGTTAGGTTTATAATTGAAGATACTTCATGCTATCCTTTTTCTTTATAATTTATTTTATGTTATAGAAAATCAAGAAAAAAGTGGACAATATACTAAATTCGTTAGTATAAATTGGAAAATATTCAATTACTTTATATGTGACGGTCATGACGGGTGTAACGGGTACAGCGCGAGCGGGCGAACTTATGAATTTTTATTAATTCTCAATTTTATATTGTCTTGAAAAGAGATAAGATCATGTTTGATATTTGGTTTTTTTAGACAAAAGTATTAAGATTATTTCATAAATTCAATTAAAACTTTTGTTTAAAAATTCTCATAAGTATATAATATGTTGGTGCTGACTTGATTATTCTTTGCAATAATGGTTGTCTTCTCTTACGAAATATTTATATTTTTCCTAATGTAATAATAAATGATATTGAATAGCAATATGTTGTATTCAATTTTGACCATCATTTTGTTCATTTTTTGTAATCACTCATTTTGATTTTACAATTACATTTCCTCAAAAACACAAATTACAATATTGTACAACGTGTAATTGTGCTGACTGCTGAGTAAGAGATTTCGCCAAATTATATGACTTCACTATCCCATTAGTGAAAATATGGGAATGTGTCTCAATATAGGTAGTTAATACTCATTCAGACAGCAAGTTTATATAAACGGACTATTTTAGAATATGAATGAATCCTTGAAAGACTAGCCTTCAGTTACATTTTCTTTATATGATATAATTTTTAGAATTTTAAACCCGTTTTTAAACACTTATTAGCTGACCACTAGTTTATAGGGGTTGGGTGAAATAGACCCCTTTACGTTAAGAAAAAGTGAGATTTGTCACTAGATGGCGCAGTTTTAATTTCATATAAATCATGTAACGTTAGTATAAAGTTCAATAAATTTTTTGCTTTGTAAAAATGTTGGAATCTAATATCACAGATCACAAAATACTATACTAGTACATACATATGCCTCAATCCATACAACGAAATTGGACATTTTTTTTTTATACCACGTCGGTGGCAATTAGGCATGCGGCCCGCCTGATGGTAAGCGCTTACCGCAGCCTATGGACGCCTGCAACACCTGGGGCATCACATGCGGGTTGCCGACCCTTTAGGAACCTATTTACTCCCCTTTTGAAGGACCCCATACTGTAGCCCTCTGGGAAAACCTCGGCAGGGAGTTCATTCCACAGCGAGATGGTCCGTGGGAGAAAATTCCTCTGAAACCGAACTGTACGGGACCATTTGGGCTGCAATGTGTGAACATGAACTCGCTGTCGATGGCGAGCGGTGCGGTGATAGAAAGTGGCCGTGGGCATCATTTCGAACAATTCTTCGGAACACAACCCATTGTACAAACGATAGAGCACACATAGGGACGCAAAATCTCTTCTTAGACTTAGGGGCTCTATATCGCTAAAATCGCTAATTCGGGCTATTCTTCAGGCAATTTTTGTTTGCTTTGAGTAGATAATAATAGATGTCGTTTATTCGCAAATAGTTAAACTGTTATTTCATATGTGCAAACCAACGTATAGAAAATTCATCCCGCATTCGAATAAAAAAATCAGTGCTTTTGCAATTTTTAACCGTGATAAACAATTCATAAAAAGTTAAAGCGCCATCTGTGAATATACACTACAAACCCATTATCTTATTGCTGATATTTCAATAATCATCTTTTATAATGCGCCCAGCCAAGAAATGGAATGACCTGCCTGCGTACAGATGACAGAAAAAGTTTTCCGAGAGCGTATAACCGGAAACTTTTTGAGGTGTGTTAACATGCTTCTCCTGGGCAATCTAGCTAGATCATAGACCTTATCTATCCCTTCGAGCTAAGATGAAGGTCAAGAGTAAGGCCATTTTTAATTTAAAAAACCAGTAAAATTACGCATATAACTTGATTTACAGGGGCATTGTTAGGTTCCGCTTTATTTAAAATATTTTTTAAAACAATTATACACCTTTTTCGGATCTATTCTTTTATCTTTTGTTAATTTAACACAACTTTAATAACAAATCGATACATACGTCATCCATTGATATTTATTTAAACTAATTTTCAACCGACTTCAAAAAGGAGGAGGTTCTCAATTCGACTGTATGTTTTTTTTTCTTCGTTCGTGATGAAAGTTGAAACCCCATGCAAGGATGGTTTAGAAAACTACACAATATATATAAATAACACTAATAATGATTTGACGCTCAGATATTATTTTCTATAACCATGTTTATGTGCATCAATGAGAAAAATAAATAAATCGTAAAATTAGTAGTACAATAGAACAAACTAGTAATCTTAAAGAAAATTATAGAGGTTTAGGTATATTGTTTCTAGTGAAGAAACAACACACAGACAGGCACAGTGAAACAACATTAGACCATTATAACGAATTATTTATTAAATACATTCGGGATATGCTCGTGTCCGCGGGATTGGAACACTTACGTTTTACCTACATTCATTTTGTACATTTTAGTTCTGCTTCAACCGTTTAAATAACGGTAATCTTACAGTGTACTTTGTTTCATATCACAATCAACTATTTTTTGGCCAACCAAATAAGACAATTACCATTTGCATTGAACAAATTAAGCGCAAACTAGCACATGTTTTGTTGCCGTTTCCTATAAGTTATTTTTATGTAAATATGGACAGGTTCTTATAATATGCTTCACTTGTAAAATTTAAGCATCTATCAAATCAATCAACTACTAATGACAATAAAAAATAAGAACACATTGATCCTCGCAAAAATATATGAAATTCATTCACAATATGCGCCGTTTATGTCCGGCTTTTATAAAAAATCATTGGGTTTAATACTTTCTGTACAAAATAAAAATAGTGTTCTGCGAGTCCACGCAAACGTGGCCATACACGTTTGGATAAAACCGCTAAACTATGCGTACCCTAGCGTGTGTGGCCGCTTTAACGTACAATTGTAATGCATTTTTTGTGATTATCTTCAACATTTCACAGCCCTTCAAAACAATTAATTTTTCCTAATTTTATACAAAATAATAGAAGACATTCAAATTTTTAATACACAACCCAGTACCAAATAAATTCACAAAATTATTATTTTCACATCACATTACATAATATAAAAAATTAAATAAGGAACATAGGCTTACGCTTTACGTATCAGTTATCAACTGGCATTTACCTTACAATGAGATCTATTTTCTGTACAATTATCATGTGTACTCAATCAATAAATAAGAACATCGAAATAAATTTTATATTTACAACCGTGCGCAAGGAATGTTATCGCTTTTTAGTTATTTTTGTACATATTAATAATAATATCTAATGATATTAAATTACGTACAGAACATATATAGCACATATGTATAACTTCATCACTTTAAAATATTTTAGTCAAGTATCCAGCACCCGAGTGGTACTATTTGCAATTGCAAACTACTGATCAGTAGTAATCATCGATCAAAAAAGTACTAGATACACAATTCCATGCAAAGTTCTCTTAAAACTGTCACCGATTGTGTTTAGGTAATTTATTCTAGTTAAAATAAATATACAACAATGTAAATGGAATCTTAAATGCAATGATTAATGTTGTTATTAAAAAAAAGCGCGCTCAAATGTTCAAATGAGCGCTCATTCAGTGAGGACGTTTTTTATCGCTGATTGTATATCTAGTACTTTTTTGATGGTAGTAATACTAAACGGCTATACTTGCAGTATTTCAGAGCGGAGCAGTTTTAATAAAGTCACTGAAGATGTAATTTTTAACAAAACCGCACTAATCATAATTTAGCGAGTGCACTTTGAACATTCTTTATGAAAAAACATTCATATTAAATTTCGTTTTCATTTGAATTACTACATTTATGATACACTTCTCTATTAAAAAGAACTAATGTCTACGATGAATCAAACATGTTGAATGGCATGAAGTATAATACAATAGCTGCCTCAAATTGCGAACAATTGACGTGTTTATATTCTATGTACATATTATTATGCTTTAAGCAACATTTCAAAATCTTGGGTACAACTCGTATCCATATAATGCTAAGGCTTGTTATTCGTTATTGCCAGCCCTGAACTAGATATATGTAATTGAAATTAAAATATATATATTAAATGTATTCTCAAGAGATACTTTTAATTATTTGAAAATATAATTGATAGTTTGGAGCTGGCACAACCATGCATCTCCCTCGCACTCAAATTTAAGCTAACTTGTGCAACTACCTACATTACATGTTAAACGTAAATACAATGAATACGATAGAACATTATGAAGGTTTAAACTTTAACGTCAGCGTTAAGTAACTTTAGTGCTGACTAGACATGGCGACATTTTGTATAGAGGGCACTACTCTCATTATCATATATAACTATAGGTAAGCTTTAACATTTATGCAAATGCCTGCAAAAAATTACGATATTACATTTTTGTATATAAAGTGGTATTTTTCCTTTTACTACCACTATAATATAGCTCACGTGCACATGCGAAGTGCACGAGCGACAAGGTGCATCTTACCGCGCGACTTCCCACACGACACCGACTGTACAGACAAGGTCTAATACTCGTTTATAATTATAATAATATAAATAAATTATTAAAAGTATGTTTCGATATTTACACTTTACAAAGTAATACAAACCTATTAAAGACGAAAAATAAATAAGCGTGTTTCAGCACTTCCGTCGTAGGGACGCGCTCACTGGAAGATATGTGCAGGCAACAACCACGGCCTCACTGTCACCACGAGAGTGCACAGGTTCAATTCTCAACATAAACAATTACTTTCATTGTTACATTTCAACAGTATTTTAAAACAATCACATTTTATGTATGAATTTCGATAAAAATTAGTTTTTGGTAACATGCAAATACAATTTTTACATACAACTGAAGCTTCACACACAATTTTGAACATCTGTTTCATAAAATAAATACATTATGTGGATATAAATATGTTGTACATATTATTATGTTGGAATAAAGAGTGAAACATATACAAAACTTTTAAAGTAGCTGCCCTTTGTGCATGCGCGACTGATTAAAGTGAGTTGTGTGGAAACTTCTAACTCTTGTTCGACATTCAGGTGTCGACTAGATCAGATCCTCATATATTATGCTATTCAATGGTAAAATTGATGTATAAACTTTTTAATGTCCTTCTTTATTGGTCTTTAATTCGATATATTCATATATTTAGAAAATTTTGTTTCATCAATGGCATGTGCAAATTAGTTTGTATTGAGTAAACTGATATTAAAATGTGCATGAAGACGTGCAAAAGTTTTTGTATAAGTAAAAGAATATATCTAAATGTCAAGCACCCACAGTGTTCAACTTTACATGCTTCATGGAGTTTTAAATTTAAAGTATTTTAACTTAAATTGAGGACAAATATTAGAAGCACTCAATGCGGCAGGCAAACTTGCAGAGTTTAGCTTGCGTTCAGAATATTCACAGCATACAGTATCCATGTAAATATAAAGCTACATTTGAAAGGTTTATAAAGTTATTTCATATAAAAAATGTCTAAAAGAGGGGGTTCTGCTCCTTGCTGTAATCCTTAAGTATACAATTTATATTATGGTAGTGATAATTAGCTGCAAATATGACATAAATTTCGTTTCTATTTTATATCGAGATGTGACCGTCACCCGAGCGAGGCCATCAGTCGGCGGCGAGGGCGAGCGAGGGGGCGGCAGGAGGCCTGGCGGGGGGCCCGGGGGGCGCGGGTGCCTCGTCCGCGGGCTCGCGCTCGGTGCTGTTGCGGCGCAGCGCGGCCAGCAGAGCGCGCGCGGCGGCGGGCGGCACGCGGCGCCAGGCGGGAGCGCGCGCCGCGTACTGCGCCTCCTCGTAGCCGGCACGCGCACCCAGCACGATGCTCAGCGCCGACGCGTCCTGCCCGTGGCAGCCAGAGTACCGGTACTGCGGCTTCTTGTCGAACCTGCATCCCACCGATTGTGCACCTGACGACGTTACACGCAATAATGGTATTCACATTTTGTCATTTAAAGACACCATATTATAGTCAAGATATTAGAGTAAAAATAAATTTTCGGATGACTTATTGGCTATAAAATCATTCACTATGATGTACTACTAAGAATCTTTTGTACATAAATGATATGAATATAGAATAAATATAGGTAAACATGGACAAAGAACGCCGGTTACTTTTAGTATTATAACTATTTTTCAACATTGCGTTTAATACTAAAGCTTATAATATCGTCTTATAGTGTAATACTCGTATAGTAGGGGAGGGTATACCTATGGGCATGATGCAGTTGAGCGTAAGCGCACACTGCACCCAGCGGTGCATGAGCGCGGGCAGCGCGGGCCGCGGCGCCAGCAGCAGTCGCGACGCGTCCAGCATCTGCACGAACAGGAAGTCGTCCGCGTCCGCGCGCAGATACTGGAACATGCGCGGGTGCGTCAGCGACGTGACCGCCGCGCGCCGCGGCCACGCCACCACGCCCACGGCGCCCAGACCACCCCCCGCCCCCGCTACGCGCGCCCACAGCGCCGCCAGCTCGGCCGGCGTGCCCGCCCACCGCTGGTCCGTCTCGCAGTAGATCACTCCGCCCACTCGGCTCAATGCGTGCTGAAACACGTTCATTTTTTTATATTATTATACGCTTATATTGATAATACAATTATATAAAACGAAGAAACAACTAGTTTGACCCCAGCTCGCAAAATAAACTTTATCGACATTTGGTAGCGATTTAAACTTTGTATTTATGTGTAAGCTGAACGACTAAAATAATTTGCCACTATCAAGTTGATCTGAGGATGAAGCCCTTTAAGTCAACAGTAGATCTGTTCAATGACTACAACTAGAGTAGCCGTAGGCCCGTAGCTTCGAGTTAGCGGAGGTGGACCGACGATAACGTCAGTCAAAATATTAGCTAGTTTCTTAAATTTTTGAAACTTTAATTACTTTGGATAGGCTTGTTTCCTTTGTTTTAGCGTTCTATAAAACACTTCTATGGTCTACATATTTAAGCCACTGCGGCGCCTACAATATTCCAACAGTAGGCACGTGTAATTCAGAGCAAGCAAGATAATACGTTGTTTAAATATAACTAAACTAGCGGGATTCCTCGTGGTGCAATGGCGCAATTAAAAGCGTAACTCTTATCGCGGTTTTATTCCTGTGAAGTTTTACAATGCATTGTATTTTATTGACTATACATATGACGAACTGGTTAAGATAAGTGACAATCTGATTATATTAAGTGACGTGTACTTTATTTCTAACTATTGATTATGAGTACCTAAGCGAACGAGCTGCGCTTGGCGTTTTTCGGAAGCAAAACACTATCTAAATAAAAAATTTGATCCAAACCGTTTAGAGCTGTTTCCAAGATACACGAAATATTTTTTTTGCATTCAAGTATTGTTCATTTAATATTATAAGATAAAAGTGTCATCAATAGAAAGCTAGCTAATCCGACACGAATTACCGGACGTGGTACGGCGTGTAGCTCGAACGATAAAATCGATAAGCAGCACTTGGGGGGGGGTCGGTGTAAGTCTTAGTGGGGCGAGTATCTTGGCCAGGGAACTCGCACCTATAAAATGCTAAGTTGTCAATCGCGCACGCCTAGGGGGGTGAAGCTAGGCTATCAGGCGCACACCGACAAGTGCTTCATACACGTCCACGCCATTGTCAGTCTGCCGCCGTGGACTAGCGATGGACCCACACACGTCATTCTTTGTGGGTCGTCCCTCCTGGGCAATGCTACGGTCCGTAACGAGCTTCACACACTCCATCTGCCTCGGGACCAGTAGTAGCAAAGTATGAAGTGCGAGGGCGAGTCTTCGGCGCCCGATTGCCGTCAGCGGTGTACTTGCGCACCAACGACGACATGTAACCGAACAAACTGGCTAGGGGAAGAAAACCCTGACACAAAAAATAACACAATATCCGAAGACATCACCTCACCAGAGATGGAACAGCAATTGGTCTAAGAGATGCTAACTCTAAAACTAAACTGCAACCACTGCCTTGTGGAGAGATATTGAGTCAACAAAGGCTAGGGCGTTACCCCGAAATAGTAACCGGATCAGAAGATGCTAACTTCGACACAAAAAGAGCACCTACTGCCTTGTAGAGAGATGTTGGGTCATCAAAGGCTAGGGCGTCAACCCGAAATTGTGACGTGTAGCGCCTTGGGAAAGCGCTCCACTATCTCCCCATCTATCGAAATGAAATGAGTGAAAATAATGAGAATGTTCTGCCATGCAATCCGGCTAGCCCCCGGCGCTCACAGGTATCCGGGCCTGTGAGTGAGAAATTGGTTACCGAAGACTGTAAGAGGGTGGGTACCCAGGCCCCCTTACCAGTAAATACTACTGGTCTTAAAGAGTGCAAGAGCAATAAGAAGCTAATCCAGCAAGCCTTCCATCCAGGTCTATTTGAGACTAGACCAAGAAGTTTATCACTTAGCTCGATAAGAGACGCTAACATTGAAACACAAATTGAAAACACACAGCACAATGAGATGAATAATATTAAGGACAATAAAGAAGTCAATCATCCCACCTGGCAGAGAGCACCAGTCCTAAGAAATGCCAAAAGGAAGAAAGTATCTTCTCCATCTCCTGAGAGAATAATTGTTACCAATACATTCAGTGGACTTCCAGTAGACCAAGAAGAAGACACAACAATGACACATAGAGATACTGTCAAAAAGGATGTAAAGCCCCCACCCATTATCCTGTATGGTATTGAAGATCTTACTAAGCTAACTGAGCTGCTAGAGGGTGTAGTAAACAAAGCAGACTTCACATACAAAATCATTAACCATAATCAATTAAGGATTAACTGCGCCAATGTAGAAGTTTATAAAACAACTATAGACATTGTTAGAAAAAGAGGACTAATTGGACACACATTTAACAGGAAGGATAAGCGCCCCTATAGAATAGTGATAAAGAATCTTCACCATACTACACCAACCAGTGTGATAAAAGAAGTGCTAGAAGAGACAGGAAATACTGTGATTGGGGAGATTATAAATGTAAAGTATGGCCCAGAGAAGAAACCAACATCTACATTCTTCGCCAATCTTCAACCTAGTCCCAAAAACAAGGCTATAAAAAGCATTAAATTTATACACCATCAATCGGTAACTATAGAAGACCCAAGAAAACGAACCTCAATAGTGCAATGTCAAAGATGCCAGCAGTATGGACACTCTAAAAACTACTGCATGAGGCCCTTCCGATGCGTGAAGTGCGCTCTATCACACAAAACATCCGAATGCCCAAAGAAGGATCGCAACATGTGCCCTATGTCAAGGTGCGCATCCAGCAAACTACAAAGGGTGCGAAGTATATAGAGAAATACTAGCAAGGAAGACAAACACACACATTACGGACCGAAAAAATCCAAAACCAGGTGCCGGTGACAAGGCACGGCCACAAAAGGAAAACCACTCATCTCTTCTAAATCAATGGACCAGACTCACTCCTTCGGCCTGCCCAACTGAACCACGGCCAAAGTCCAACAACACGCAAAAGTCCTACGCTGAAGCCACAAAACCTAAGAAAACCTTCATAGATGAGAACGACCCCACAACAAGCAAAGCAAAAAGCATAGAAGAGATGCTTTTAAAGCAAGCAGAAAAATTTGATGTAATCCTACAACAAATGAGTATGTTAATCAATCTCATAACAACTCTAGTCACCAAGATTTCACAATGACCTCCCTCAAGATAGCAACGTGGAACCCAGCGGGGCTATCTCCAAATAAGGTAGAGGTAGAAGTTCTGTTACATACCCACAACATAGACATACTACTAGTGCCAGAATCTCACACAACTGCAAACAGTCGTGTTAAAATACAGAACTATAACATCTACTGCACTGATCACCCTGACGGCACTGCACATGCTGGAGCGGCTATAGTAGTAAAGTCTAGTATCAAACATTACGAACAACCACAATACAAAACTGAGCACATACAAGCAGCAACAGTCGCAATAGAAGATCGAAATGGTGCATTTAATGTATCTGCAATTTACTGCCCTCCCAAACATAAACTAAATGAGGGACAATATAATGACTACTTTAACACCCTAGGCACCCGCTTCATAGCCGGAGGTGACTGGAACGCCAAAAATGTTCATTGGGCCTCCAGACTTACCAATACAAGAGGCAGAGAGCTTAAAAAGAGTATAGACAAAAACCATCTCAGGACAATCTCTACAACAGACCCAACTAACTGGCCCACAGACCCAAACAAACTCCCGGATGTCATAGACTTCTTTATTGTAAAGGGACTATCCAGGCTCTTTCACCATGTAGAGACAAGCCTAGACGCAAACTCTAATCATGTTCCGGTAATTCTAACTATTGGCACCACGGTGTTAAACACCGAAAGAACCACCAAATTATATAACAAGCGCACAGACTGGTGTTCATTTCGCGAATGTGTTGAAGATGGAATAAACTTAAAAATACCATTGAAAACCGAATTAGACATCGACGTTGCTGCAAGAAACATCACCTCAGTAATCCAAGAAAGCTGTTGGAAGTCAACACCAGAAGTTAAGGAACGATTACCACAAAATAAAGTATACTCGGAAACCATACGGGAAAAAATCATGGAAAAAAGAAGACTACGGCGCATATGGCATACTAGCAGACACCCAAATGACAAAACAGCGCTAAACAGAGCAATTAAAGAACTAAAAACCCTTATAATAGAAGCAGATGGTGTTGCAATAGATGCCTACTTAGAAGGCCTCACAGCTACTAAAGCAACTGACTATTCATTATGGAGAGCCAGTAAAAACTTGGATCGACCCTTACACCACAAACCACCGCTTCGGAATCCAAATGGAAGCTGGATTAGAACCGAACAAGACAAAGCTGATGCATTTGCGAACCATCTCAGCAATGTATTTAAGCCTAACAACCCAAGACCAAATGCGGATGAATCTGATATCGATACTGTCCTCAACCAAGATATTCAGCTGGATCTACCCTTGAAGTTAGTAACGCCCAAGGAGATATGTAGGAATATTAACCTAATGGACAACAACAAGGCCCCTGGTTATGATCTTATTGACAAAAAAGTCCTTCAAGAATTGCCTTACAAAGGAATTGTGTATCTAACCATGCTTTTTAACGCCATTCAACGAGTAGGCTACTTCCCAGACATATGGAAGGTATCACAAGTAATAATGATCCATAAACCCGGTAAACCAATGCATGATGTCACCTCATACAGACCTATCAGTCTACTACCAATTATGTCCAAGCTGTACGAAAAGTCCCTACTACATAGAATGTTACCTGTTCTCAATGAGAAGAAAATTGTCCCAGAACACCAATTCGGATTTCGAAAAGAACATGCTACCATAGAACAAGTCCATAGAGTGTGCAGGAAGATCAGAAAAACCTTTGAAAAAAAAGAATACTGCTCAGCTGCCTTTCTTGATATACAACAAGCCTTTGACAGAGTCTGGCACAAAGGTCTGCTCTTCAAAATAAAAACCCTATTACCACACACATTCTATGGAGTACTAAAATCATACATTACACACAGAATATTTCAAGTAAGAGAAAACCAATCCACCTCACGACTATATGAAATATCCGCAGGAGTACCACAAGGCTCGGTCCTCGGTCCCGTCTTGTACACCCTGTTTACCTCCGACCTACCTCAAAGCTCCGAGATCACAATTGCCACCTTCGCGGATGACACTGCCTTACTTGCCTCGCACAAATGTCCAACACAAGCATCTCGCATTTTACAAAGTAGCTTGAATGAAACAGAAGAATGGCTAGCCAAATGGAGAATTGCAGCCAGCGTATCCAAATCAGTGCATATAACGTTTACATTATGCAAACATGATTGTGACCCCGTTACCCTAAACGGCAGCCAACTCCCACATCACGAGTCTGTAAAATATCTGGGCATGCATCTTGACCGAAGGCTCACATGGAGAAAACATGTCGAAACTAAAAGGGAAGAAATGAACCTGAAATACAGAAGTCTTCTCTGGCTTCTTGGAAGAAACTCAAAACTGGCGATAGATAACAAACTCCTAATATATAAGACCATTCTAAAGCCAATCTGGACATACGGCATCCAACTTTGGGGATCAGCCAGTACCTCCAACATAATGAAAGTGCAAAGGGCACAAAATTATATACTAAAACAAATATCCAATGCACCGTGGTTTATCAAGACTACAGAAATCCATGAAATCCTCAATATTCCTATGGTCAATGAGGAGATAAAAACACATGGCGAAAAGTACAAATCCCGGCTGCTAAGGCATCCGAACAAACTAGCAGGACAACTTACTATCCCGGAAAGCATCCGCCGATTAAAAAAGCGGCGTGACCTTTTCGACCAGAACAGTCAGAAAGAAGAATGACTTTGTAAAGATAGGGCAGACCCCACTGGGAGTAGAGCCTAACATGCCATTTAACCATCTCATCTGCTCATAGTCTGAAAGACTGATCGCAAGATTTAACCAAAAAAAAAAAAAAAAAAAAAAAAAAAAAAAAAAAAAAAAAAAAAAAAAAAAAAAAAAAAAAAAAAAAAAAGCAGCACTTTAGTGTCTCCTCTTCTTATCAAATTATCGCTTATCAGCCGGCTAATGATCGCCGACTGAGTGTTGATATCTTATCAATACGATATCCATATTTGGAACTCCTGACACTATTTTATGAACAGCTAGCTCTTATGAATTGCCTTCTATGTATTGAAAATATTCTTAAATATATACCATTAAAATACTTCTTTGCTTAAATCATTACAAAACCAAGCACTTCATTATATCACTTTTAGTTTTTACATTGCTACTACATACTATCTTTTGATATTTTATTACATTATTATTTGAAATAAAAATAACAATGTCGTAAGTTTAAGTAGCTGGTTAAATTTACAAAAAAGACATTCAGATCATATAAAATACTTATGCAATTTAAATAGCCTAGTGAACTAATCAACAGTAATTAAACTTGATTATGCATAATTATTACAACAACTAGTTAATAAGGTTATTATCATTAATCTACATGTATGATGAGTCAGATCCTACCTGAATGATAAGTGGGCGGAACGCCGTGGTGCTCCCGTCACTCACGTGCGAAGGGAACAACTCAAGATCAAAATCAATGATTGCACACTTCGATGAGTTGCAGTAGTTTGACACCTAGAAACGTTTATTTTTTATATTTTAATTTATAAACTGTTGTTAAGAAACTTACATTAATACTCGATTATGTTACCGATTTTGCTTGGTAATTATTTACTTGGCAGCACAATAGATGACTCAAATATGCCATAATTAAAAAAAAAACAATTTCACTATACTTTTTTTATATTCTCTTTATAACAAGTAAAATTTTGATTCTTACCACAGCTAAAGAATATGGTTTTAATCCTAAGTTATAAACAAGGATGGTGTATGGGAGTTTTGCAAAGTCCCTCACAAAGGCGACAACAAGAGCATGATCATCATTCTTTGCGTATGTGACGATAGCTGGTACAGTGGTGTTATGCCAGAGCTCAGTATGTCCATCCAGTCCCACCAGTCGTAAGTACCTCTCCTCTTGTACCAGGTTCTGCTGTTCCTCATCATGTAATTGCTCCTGGATCAGAGAAACCTGCTTTGTTGTGATATAAAATCTTAGTGTATTTAAGTAAACTTTTTTTTTGGGTTATTTCGTGTTTTTAAGTTCATAAATAACTCGAGAGTTTTTCTTATTAAAGTTGAATGAATATAATTATTGTTGTGGCTCATAGAAAAATTCTTTATTTGTATAAGTACTAACAAAAGTGAAGAACAATATTTTAATTACACAAAATATCTACTAATATATTTTCTGTTGATGCATGATAAAAGATAATAAAAAAATTATATGATTAATTATAAATATTAACCCACTATAGAAACCATTAAAGATAATAGTTGGATTCATAAATTATTCAAATTTGAATTAACCAAAAAATAATAAATTACCTGAAAGTCTTTGATGTGTTGGTGAGTTTGCGTCACAATATTTTGGAACGACTGTGGTGGTTGTGAATGGAATATTATCAAAAATAAACTTATCGCGAAAACTGATGATGAAAACAGTAAAAAGCTTTTAGTTTTCATGTTGATTACATTATCACAATAATGATTTTTGGATCATTACTAGTATTTATTTATCATTTATATAAAAACCTATGAATTACCTACATCTTTGTATAATACTCATTCACAAATAAAACAAATCAATATCACTGACAGAAGTCTACACACCCTAAAAAATTATATAAACCATTCAAGCTGCACTATATAAATGTATATAAATGAAAGATTTATATGTATTCGTCATATTACCATTCAATAAAAGTGCAATAACAATATAAAATATCAAACTTTATTATTTTTTTGTAAGTTGTAACCGACGAACATGTAGCCGCAAAATGTTCTTTTTTGACAATTGACACTGCGACTTGTAAATTGTGACAGTAAAAGAGTACAGATATGGTACAGTTCTAATATGGTTTTTAAAAACATGAAAATAAATATTTTAACTGCACTCAGACATTATTTTCATACATAAATAATTCCATAGATTCATTTCATTTTGATTTACTTTTATTTTATAAAATATTAGTTATGTACTTATACAAGAAAACATATTATAATATAATAATAACAATAATAGTTGTATTTTATAAAATCGAAGTAACTAACATACCCTGCCAGTTTTAAAATTAGAGAGTATTATGCCGTATATTGCGCTTTAGTACTGTAATGAGGAAGATTTCTCAAAAAAGGGCGCGACACGTATGACCTATTTACATTCAGTCTGAGGTAAAGCAATTTATTGTGATATCTATTTTATAGTTTTTTCATTTACTGTGTTCGCATCTTACGTATACAATGTATTGTACCTGGAAATTAGACCAGCTGAAGGAAGAATTGAGAAAGAGAGGTGCATCCTGTGGTGGTGCTGGCTGACTAATGGATCGACACACAGCATATACTACTGGGGTTGTAGAAATGTGAAATTTGGAGGACGTATTCCTTATATGGTGTAAGCATCGGATAAGAAAGAATTGTTCGGATCTTAACCCCTAAGTGGGTAAAATAGGGGATAAAAGATTGTATAAAACTCTGTCATTCAAATGTGAAATATACAGAAAGTCGTGCTTAGTATAAGATAAAAAATAAGATATATGTATATTTATTAGATTTTTCGAAATTCATTCGAAAAAAAGGAGTAAAGGGGGTAATAAAGTTTATATAAGCTAAGAATTATTTATGATCAGAATTACTTGAAACTTTGTATTAATACTTTTTACACAATTAATAAGTACGTATTTAAGCAAAAGCATTTTTCGAAATCATTCCCATAAGGGGGTGCAATGGGGGATGAAAGTTTGTATGAATCTCCGTCATTAGTATGTAAAAAAATATCAAAAATAAAAAAATGACGTGTAGATGATGTAAGAGTTTTAAGATCACTTTCCTTAAAATGATATCCACATAGACTTAAATATAAAGATTGTGATTTCGCCAATAATAATAATAATAAATAAATAATAAACATGTTGGGACATTAACTCACAACACCGTCTAGTTCCATGCTAAACTACGAGGCTTGTGTTATGGATACCAGATAGTTGATACACTTCACATATATAACTTTAAATAGATACATGTAACGCGGGGTTTTTACAAACAACGGTGATCGCGGGGTATCGTGTCGGAACATGTACGATCCTGTAGGGCCGTGTTTCGTACGATCGTATAGTTTAGGCGCCCGCGCCCCCCCCGTCTCCCGCGAACGCGTGAGGGACGGCGTGGCTCGACCAGGGAGAGAGCCGCGAGCGCCGAACGCGTAAACATCTGTATCATAACGATCCTCCACGACTCTCATTTTCACGCAGTTGTAAGATTTTATGTAATTTTTTTGTGTAATATCCATAACTATAAGTTTTCTTGTCAAACCTCAAGTGAAATAAATATATTTTAATAGACTGTTGTGTACCTATTAAACTGGCGCCCATACTAGTGGCTCGAACTTTTAAACTTATATACTAGTGCGTGAAGATGCCTATGACGAGGAGAGGGGAAACGCTTCGGCAGCAGCGAGGGGGTGATGCCGCAGAGGGAGAGGAGAGCACCATCGAGCACGGCCACGTGGACGGAGCTGCGCGAGCCGGCTCGACTCAGCAACCAGCACCCCAACTCCCCGAACACTTCCTATCCACGCTGATGGAGACGATCACGCGTGCGCAAGTGGAAGCAAATAGAAGCCTTATCAATTCTCTGATGACGTCCAGCAGTGAATTTAGGGCCTCCACCCCAGTCGTGGCCTCTCAAATAAATAATATGAACAGCGGGAGTGGTACTGCTGCCAGCGTCGCGAGTGTCGACGCCAATTTTACTAAGTGCACGGCGCGGTTCAACGGGTCGTCCCAGGACGCCGAGGTATTAGAAGCGTTCCTGGATGCCGTCGAGATATTTAAGGAGTGTGCGGCCGTGAGTGACGAGCTCGCACTCTGCGGATTGCCGATGTTGCTGGAGGGTGAAGCGGCAGTATGGTGGCGCGGCGTTAAGGCGTCGGTGACTACATGGGCGGACGCGGTCGCCCGCCTACGCGCGGCGTATGGCGTGGCGCAGCCCGCGCATCAGATTCTACGGCAGATCTTCGCGACGGAGCAGCAAGAAGAAGAACGCGCCGAGTCGTTTTTGTGTAAAGTGCGAGCGTTAATTGCAAAGTTACCGTATAAGCTCGATGAAATAGTGCAAGTTGATATTTGTTACGGGTTATTACACCGACGTATTGTTAAAAGAGTTTCCCGCGATAATGTTCGTAATTTAGATGACTTAATGTATAAAACGAGGATCGCGGAGGATATGTATAATACTCTTAAGGAAAATAAGGATAACAATAATAGTAGTAATTGTAAAAACGCGATTTCACGAACATCAGTCACTACTACCGATCGCGATCTCACTCGATCGAGTTTTGATAGTACGAACGCGATCACTCCGCGTAGTAATAAAAACAATAGGCCCCGATGTAGTTATTGTAAATTATTTGGGCATATTAGTGAAGAATGTCGCAATCGTGAGAAGGTTATTAACAATAATAATAATGATAAACGTTTGTATAGCGATAGCACGCGTAAGGGTATACGTTGTTATGGTTGTGGCAAGGAAGGTGTCGTGAGGTCGAAATGTGATATTTGTGTGAAAACTTTAACGAATTCGGATGGTAAAACTTCGTTCAATAATTTGGATGTAGATTTTAATAATCACGATAATTGCGTTAATAATAATAATAGTAGTATAGGTAATACAAGTGTGTCATGTATTAAGTTAACTAACGTGAGTACGCGTGAATCGTATCCTATGGTTAATATATCCATTATGGGTCGTACCGGAGTGGCGATAGTGGATACGGGCGCTACGCATAGTATTGCGAGTCCTTTATTATACAAAATTTTAGTAGACTTGGGAGTACACTTTAGTAAAGTTAAACGATTTGTACACCTGGCTGACGGTACACAAGGGTGGAGAGACTTGTTGACGGCCGAGGTAGGTATAGATATCGAAGGCCATAGAGTAATGTGTCAATTACTAGTGTTGCCAGGTTGTGACACTAGAACACTTCTAGGTATAGATTTCTTGTCTCGGGCCGGAATGGTAATAAACGTTGCCCATCGCACTTGGACATTTATGGATAGTCCCGGACAGTGCTTTAATTTTATTTATTCGTACACACTTGACCCTGCAGGTACAGATTTATTGCATGCCGCATCTGATGAGCTGATGTTGCGCGCAGACGAAGGATCTATGTTAACCCAGGAGCAACAGAATAGACTTAATGCGTTTATTGAGGATCGCGCGCCGCAATTTGCACGCGATGGACCGGCGACGGAGTTCGCCACGCATCGAATTAAGGTGAGTCCACAACAAGAACCAATTGCTTGTCCACCATATAGAATGTCACAGAGTAAGAAGGAGGCCTTGCAGAAGGAGCTTGAAAAGCTGCTGCGAGATGACATCATTGAGGAGTGTGAGTCGCCGTGGGCCTCTAACGTGGTATTGGTGGGGAAGAAGGACGGTAATGTAAGGCTCTGTATTGATTACCGGAAATTGAACGCGGTGACCGAGCCAGACCGATACCCGCTTCCACGTATCGAGGACATTCTGCATGCAGCTAAGTCCAGTGAATATATGACTACTCTGGACCTTCGTTCAGGTTACCATCAGGTAAGTGTCTGCCCAGAGGACCAAGATAAGACTGCGTTTACGACGCCACTTGGTACCTTTAGATTTAAGAGGATGCCTATGGGACTGCGGAATTCCGGAGCAACCTTTCAGAGGTTGATGGACCGATTCCGGTCCAACCTGAAAGAAGTAGCGCTCCTAGCGTATTTAGACGATCTGATACTGCTGTCGCCGGGACCTTTCGAGAGACACCTGGCTGACCTGGAGGCGGTCTTTGATCGGTTGGCTATGTTTAACTTAAGAGTGAACAGAGGTAAGAGTTTTTTTGCGAGAGAATCTGTTAAGTTTTTAGGACATGTTATTGTACCAGGCGGAATCCAGGTGGATCCTGACAAGACGGCGGCTATTGATAATATGCCCGCCCCTCAGAATGTTAAACATTTAAAATGTTTCTTACAAACGGCGAGTTGGTATCGCCGCTTTATTAATAATTATGCTGAAATCGCGAGACCTCTTACGACACTCCTGAAGAAATCAAGTGCCTGGCGATGGGACGCCGAGCATCAGGAGGCGTTTGAGCGGATAAAGCGTCTCCTCGTATCCGCTCCCATTCTGCGTCAGGCGGACGAGTCGAAGCCATTCGTTCTCTGCACCGACAGTAGCGCTTACTGCCTCGGGGCTGTTTTAATGCAGGGGGAGGGACACGATGAGAGACCGATCGAGTACGCAAGTCGTCTTCTCACTAGTGCAGAGAAGAATTATTCCACGACGGAGCGAGAGGCACTCGCCGTCGTGTGGGCGTTAGGTAAGTTCCGCGGTTACGTAGATACTGCGAAGGTAACGGTTAGGACGGACCACCAGCCTTTGCGATGGCTAATGAGTCAGAGGTCACCTAGTGGTCGGCTGGCTAGGTGGGCCCTAACATTGCAAGAGTTCGACCTCAACATCCAATACACACCGGGACGCTCGAACGTGGTAGCGGATACGCTTTCGCGACCAGTTTGTGCTGAGAACCAAGGTGAGTGCGAATTATGTATGACAGTCGTTGACTTACCAAAGAGGAGTAGTGGTGATATCCGCAGCAATCAACTGTTAGATCCAGAGATTCGCAAAATCATTGAGGACATGGAGTCTGACGAACCTTCTAGGGGGAGGCCATGGTCCGATCGTGGGTACACTATTTCCGATGGTATACTTTATAGGTATAGCTTAGAGTCAGACGATGGAGAAGAATGCTGTATTGTTGTGCCAGAACACGAATGCAGGCAAGTGATGACTGAACTCCACGACGCGCCTACGGCAGGACATTTCGGCGTGGAACGCACGTTAAGCCGTGTTCGCGCTAGATATTATTGGCCAGGTATGCGCACATTCATTACTAACTATATAAAGGAGTGTGTGCCGTGTCAAAGGTATAAAGCTGACAATCGCAAACCTGCAGGTCTGCTGCAAACGCCTGCTGTGTCAAGGCGGTTTGAAGTAGTCTCCGTAGACTTATTTGGTCCGCTCGTAGAAACACCGAGGAAGAATAGGTGGGTGTTAGTCGTAGAAGATGTGTGTTCGCGCTGGGTGGAATTGTTTCCATTAGAGAACGCAACCAGTGCAGAGTGTGCACAAATACTGGCGAACGAGGTGTTCCTTCGATATGGAGTTCCTCGACGGCTCATCAGTGACAACGGTGTGCAATTTGTGAGCGAGGTCATGCAACAGGTTTGTCATGTTTTAGGTATAAGCCAAGCACTTACACCCTTTTATCACCCAGAGGCTAATCCCATAGAGCGGAAAAATAGAGATATTAAGCCTCAGTTGGCTATGCTTGTAGGACACGACCACTCTACCTGGGATTTGCATCTAGCGTCTATTAGGTTCGCCATGAACTCTGCTGTTACCAGCAGTACAGGGTTTACGCCAGCATATCTTACCTTCGGTAGAGAACTGCGAGCTCCGTCCGATTCTGCGAGGAATATGAGGGCCATAGTCGAAAACGACAATTTTGTACCTAATATTACCCCATACCTAAAGAAGATGGCCGCGACCTTGGATGAAGCTAGGGATATCCACGAAAAAGCGCAGGCCGTTCAGAAGGAGGCTGCTGACCAGAGACGGCGATCGCCGCCAGAGTATAAGGTAGGCGATATGGTGCTACTTAAAACGCAGGGGCCGAACGATGCAGGACGTGGACAGACGGCGAAGTTAATCCCACGCCGGGACGGCCCATACAAGATAGGTAAGGTAGTTAGTCCCACTACGTACGGGTTAGAGAACGTACAGACCGGAAGAGATATAGGGAAATATCACGTTTCGCACCTCACGCCATTTACCGGCCAGATAGAGCCTCCCGTTAGGGAAAAACGTAAACGTGGTAGGCCGCGTAGATACCTAGACTAGCCCAACTGTGAGGACACTTAGTTAGGCTAGAGGGGGAGAGTGTAACGCGGGGTTTTTACAAACAACGGTGATCGCGGGGTATCGTGTCGGAACATGTACGATCCTGTAGGGCCGTGTTTCGTACGATCGTATAGTTTAGGCGCCCGCGCCCCCCCCGTCTCCCGCGAACGCGTGAGGGACGGCGTGGCTCGACCAGGGAGAGAGCCGCGAGCGCCGAACGCGTAAACATCTGTATCATAACGATCCTCCACGACTCTCATTTTCACGCAGTTGTAAGATTTTATGTAATTTTTTTGTGTAATATCCATAACTATAAGTTTTCTTGTCAAACCTCAAGTGAAATAAATATATTTTAATAGACTGTTGTGTACCTATTAAATACATATTATAAATATAAACACCTATGAATGGAGTACAGATATTCGTGCTTATCGCACAAAGAATGCCCCCAGCGGGGCTCGAACACAACAAGTAGGGTCATTACAAACTGAGCCAAACGTGTCGTCATATATAATATATTATGGTTTAGGAGGAGTAATTTTGGTTTTACTATAGCCTAGATTTATTCAGCTTCTGTCTTTTGGGAATAAATAATATCAATTTTCTTTGTATCCTGCCAGTGTGTAATTGGTTATTTTAATTAAATTATAAATAAAATGAAAAAAAAAATCATCCACACTATAGAGCTGTTCAATAAACTCAGGGCTTCAGTGATCGCGTCATCTGGCGGGTAATAAAGGCAAAAAGTTTTCTCCATTGTACAATTAAGTCGTTATGTGTGTTTCTGCTACAAATGCTTGTCATATTTAACTCTTTGGTATCGTCCCCACTTAGTCTGTGGTTAACATAACACAAAAATTTTAAATCTATCTTGTTGTTCCTGGCATGGATGACAAATAAGTTCCTGGTCTGTGATCTAAATAGTAAATGTCAGTAATGTCAAATGTCAATATTATACGTCAAAAATTCTGAATTGTGGTCGCCAGGCCACTCGCCTTTATTGTTCGGTATTTAATTATTAGTGTCGGCAAAATTAAATGTTTTGGTTTGATTACTGATTAGGCTGTCGTATACTCAAATACGAAATAATGTCAAATATATCAAAGAGGAGAAAAGAGGGATCGAGAGCTAAGATCAAGGTAAAAAGGACGTCTAACGCGACGTAGCTCAAAAAAATAACAAGATGTTGTTGTACTTTTCCAATTATCGTAGATAAAAAAAATAATATCATTAATATGTAGTTCATGTTAATATTTCTCCCATTATTATTCTTACTGATAATCCATTTAGTATTAGTCACGACTCACGACCTAACAACAGGTTGTATGTGACGTCTCATGATAACAATATCATTTAGGTTATTTACAAGAGCTATAATTGATTATTAAGAGAGCATTAATAATAAATAATCTTAAAAATATTATACACAATATTCTCGTATAATAAATTTGTTATAAAAATAAGTACATAATAATATATGAGATTCAAAATTATAATTATAATAAAATTTTACTGTTGTATAATTTTGGTTTTGCTGTATGTGTGGATGACATAAACGTAATTTTAACAAACAAGCATTCCATATGTATTAGAATATGAAATCATTTGTGTTTCATGGAAACTTAGTTGAAAAAACACCATTAAGATTTTTAAATTTACTACTTTCTCTTAACACAGACTATGGGAGACCACAAGGAGTTTTTAAAACGTATTAGTAAAACATTGTATTATGGACAATTACCAACACTTCCCTGCTTAAGTCTTCCTGTTACTGGTATGTTAATTATCATACATTTTGATAGCATATTTTATTATGTCATTAGATTTTCAAATGCTTTATAGTTTATAGCAATCATCACAGGAGAGACTAAGGTTTTAGAAGTCTCAAAGGTTGCACCTGTTACAGACAGTGCCTACTCACAAAATAATATAAAAACAAAACAAAAATAGCACCTAAGTACCTTACCTTATATATTTTGTAATCTAAAGTAAGTTGTATAATTTATGGTAGAAATACTGTTTATTTAATTCTAGCTGCTACTATTACAATTTTTTTTTAACTATTAAATTAGTAGTCTTATTTAGTTTTCCTATTATCATATTTAAAAACATAAAAAAAAAAATAAAAAAAATTGAGCAATATCATTGTTCTATATGTAATTTTAAAAAGAATTAAGAACAGTATTTATAATGTAGTTTGCTATTGTATAAAATAAAAATATTAAACAACATTGTCACATGTATAAATCTTAAAAAATAATTTTGATTATTATTAGATTTTTTTCTGTTTTATTAAAACCACTTTTATTTTAAATTGCAATGTTATTACTACTATATGACTTATGTTTTTCTTGACCTGTTTAATAGCGCGCATTATACCAGCAAATTACCCTTGCTTTTTGAATCGAAGTTCGAACTCAAAGCTTGAATGATTTAAGAAATAATGAAAGAGATATTCATTTTAATTTATATAGATTACATATCTAGTATATTGTTAAAAAAATAATAATGTACTTACATTATTATGTTAAATTAAAGTTAATAAATTCTGCTATTCAATTTATTTAATTTTATTGAGGTTTCTTGTTGCTTAAAAATTTCCTAAAAATATATGAATCCAATATCATTTTGGGCTTATAGTATTGTTTTTTTTACAGAAATATCGTGCGAGTTGTGGTCCGTCCCGCAGCGCGGGCGCTCGTTGCGGCGCCTACACACGGACGCGGCGGCCGAGATCGCACGTTCCGCATGTGTATCGCCCTGTGCGCTCGTGCTCGCCATCCTCTACCTCGAGCGCCTCAAGCGCTGCAACCCTGACTACCTGAATGCTGCTGCTCCTGCTGATTTGTTTCTTGTTTCTTTGGTATGTTTTAAAAATAATAATTCTGTACATATTAAATCCCGTAAAAATTATCTACCAATAATTAAAACTACTTCAATATTTAAAACTACTTCAAGATAAAGTTTTAAAATAAACATTTGGTTTACCTAATTTAAAAATCCAAGTATTTACTTATGTGGCTCTGAAGATAATTTATGACTAATAATTCTATAGCTATGTATCTATTTGAGCCTCTCCTCTAGTTCCTTTTAAGTCGCCGCGGATCGACCCGAGGCTGCCTCTAGTGGATACAAGACTTATGACTTATGAAGTCGTCATAAGGTTCAAATTGAAATTATTCAAGATTGTTCATGTTTTGGAACAAATGTATAATAAATATTTTTTTATAGATGGTCAGCAATAAATTTCTACAAGATGATGGCGAAGACGATGAAGTCATATGCTCCGAGTGGGCCGCGTCCGGCGGCATTGAGCTCAAACAACTTAAAAAACTTGAAGTGGAATTCCTTAACGCCATAGTGAGTTTATATATTTTATATTCAAAAACTAAGTAACTTACCGTTGCTTCACTTGTTACGTCACTAGGCGCCAAACAGTAGCCTTTGTGTTACTCCAGGTCATAGTGTACATAATATTAATAATAATAAATTCTTTATTGTACACCAAGAACAAAAGAAAATAAATACAGAATAGAAATGTACAAGAGACGGCCCTATCGCTAAATCAGCGATCTCACAGCGAGGGTACTATATTTTATTTAAATTAATCAGTTCTCTTAGCATGAATAAGTGACAAAGATACAAACACACACAAATCCAACTTTTTCAATTATAATAGTAACCTAATTTCAATATTTGTAATATCTAAACATTTGCAGGATTGGAATGTTTTTGTAAGCGATAAATCATTTGAGGAGGGACTACTTTGGCTGGAGCGGCAGGTAGCCCTCAGGCAAGCGCAGCTCCGCGGCTTCTTCACGTACACAGACCTCGCGGCCGCCTGCAACGCGGCGCTGCTCGGCGACGCCGTGCGCGTTGCGGCCGCCGCTGCCGCCTCCGCCGCAGGCCTGCTCACGCTCGTCGCCTCCGCCCTCGTCGTGTCGCAGGCCTGCCTGCCCCCCCTACGCCCCCTGCACCCCCTGTCCGCCGCACTCGACACAACCACACTCGATCACAATTACCAAAATGAATTGCCTATTAATCTCTCCAATGCGACTGTGGATATACAGACCTACACACTATCAGATGATTCGGCTACAAATAATCTTAGGTGTTGCAACAAGTGGTTGAAATATCAAGAGGAGAGTGAACCGAAAAAGACATGGTACGACGGTGTCATCACATATGACTGGAAATTTGAGCCGTGGTGGTCTAGAACGTCGGTACTGAACTGGCTGTACCAGAGTTCTCTCATTAACCCAATGCAAAGATGGCTAGAGAAAATGAATCAATATATTGATTTCATAAAGAGGGACATGGGGTATATGAAAGGTAGTAGTGTGGAGAAATGCAATAGTTACAACAGACTCGGTAAGAGACAGTGTGTGCGGCAGTGGCTGAACTTGAGCAAGCTGAGTGTCTTTGTGGCCTCTGTGTCAGATCGGTAATGTGACAAGACGTGTACACTGTTCATATCAGCGAGACGATAGGCGATTTTATACTACACATTAGATTGTTATTTATTAAACTGCTCAATTGAAAAGCAATCTTCGTTACATCAGCTGTGAAGTGATAGATGTCACTTATAATATTTATTTTAAATTTCTCTTTTAGTACTGTGGCATAATATTTTAACTGTATAGATGCACCATAACAATAAAATAAGTAAAAATAAAAAATAACAAAAATCACTAATTTACTTCCAAAAGTAATTAATTATTGACAAAATAATTTTATTCAGTTTTTTGAGTCTTAAAGCTTTTGTTAATTTCAAACTTAACTTTGTATGTAGTAACATATTTCATTGCAATTTTTTTAAGTTTCAATAATTTATTTGCAAAAACTTATTATATATATGTAACAAGTAAAATATGATGTAACAAGTAAAAAAAGAGATATGTATATTTTTGTATTCAATGTTTAAATGGTGAAACAAAATAAAAGGCATTTTCTCTTAAATTGGAATGATTTTTATTTTTAATTGTATGTAAAAAGATATAAAAATATAATAGTTACAGCTGTTGAAGCATGGATGATTGAAGCATAAATATTAAATATGAATGTTAAACTTTAATTTAAACTTACGTACAAAATGGTATTAATCCATTAATTTCAATAATGGTCGAACTAACCTACCCATTGGAACTATTAGTACAGAAAAAAGACTCATCAATATCACATTAATAATAAAATGCTAAAAACTCACGCGTTAAATTAGAATCTGGCTTGTTTAGTTTTATAATAAAGACTATCGACTCACCCTTGCTCGGGTTCGTCGGGATTTCTCAAACACGAGATATTTGCCCGCAGTAAAAAGCATCGTATTTTTTGACTTGAATAACAAGCTATCATCATATCAAATTCCATCAAAATCTGTCCAGTGGTTATCTCGTGATGCGTTTCCAGACAGACAAACAAAATTCTAAAAACTATAGATTCGGCCTCTGTATTATTAATAATAACTATTTCAATAAGATTTTCCAAAAACTACTTGATGTATAAATATGTAATAAAACCCAGAATTTTATTATGCATATAGATTTTTTCAGAACTTCGACTTTACAGAAGGCAATCACCATTTTTAATTTTGAAGAGGTATCACTTGAAAGAAGTCATCTTGACCAAGGAGTATGGTTGGACCAGTACTATCTTGCCGCTTGCTTTCAGCAAGCATTGTATGACATTGCATGTGTAAGTGTGCCAATGCACAATTTCTCGCACTTGCTAAGACTACGAGGAGTCCATCCGGCGAGACAAACATGATGCTGATAGGAGGCTGATATTCATATAATAATTTCCCAAAGTTTAAAAGATTATCTACAATGATTTATGATGATGAATATGATGATGATGATAATATGATGATGATGATAATAATATGATGATGATGAATTAATTGCATAATACTTATAATATTTTGGTTCATTTAGGCTACCATCTATACTTTATAAAGTACATAACATGTTATATATAAAAATTGAAAATAATACATATAAATATTGGCACGCGCTTGTGGCTCTTCCCTGAGCAACTTGTTAGTATTCATCCCTCATCATCACTACAAAATTTCACAAGATACTTAGCCAGTTATAATATGACTTTCCTTTGTAAAAAGCATGTATTTTCTATTTCAAATAAATATAATGAATGTGACGAACGTTTACAAATAATTACCCCGTGATGGAAAATACGTTAAATTATTGAAAAAGCTCTAGAAAAATATAATTTCAATCCGTTGAAAAAAAAATGATCACAATTCCCTTGACTGTTACTAGCATACTATATTATTTTTACTTATACCATAAAGTACATTAGAGATTACTGTTAATCTCAGCAGCCTCACTCGTCGGGGTCGTAGAGGCCGGGGTGCAGGTAGAGGCGGCGGTTGAAGCCCCAGCGGTCCACGGAGCTGGTCTGCACGCGGCGCGCGGCGTGCAGGCGCTGGTCCACCAGCGTGAACAGCTCCTCCACGTGCCGCTCGTGCGCCGCCGCCGCGAACACCTCGCACAGCGCGCTGATGTACCACGACCCCTCCGCCTCATCGCGGTACGACACGTTGCCTGCCGTACACGACACACGGTACAATTACGTCAGCGTTTTTTTTATATGATAATCGGATAATGGCTTTAGGGCTGACAGGTATAATTACAACATTGACAACTTGGCACGAGGTGGCATTATAGTATAGCATTTAACTTTATTATTGTTCGATTGATTGATAGATGATTGATATTTTTGACCACCCTTAAGCAGGACCTTTAGCAGAATGACATGTAAAATGTCAGGTCGTATAAGCATTGAGAATATTTTGATATGAATAAAATTGAAATAAACAAATATAGAGCTTGTCGAATTCAGAATGTATAATAAGAAATAACAAAGTATGTCGACTGACCCGGAATAGTGGAGTGTGCAATGAGTATATCGGAGTAGATGCGGTCTTGAAGGTCCCGCTCGAGGGGCTGCGGCAGTAGGCGCTCCGGCGGCGGCGTGGAAGGGCAGGGCTGCCCGTCCGCGGCCGTGCGCGCCCCGCCCACGCCCCCGCCCTCCGCTCCGTCCATGCGAGCACTCGCGGGCAGCGTCAGGTAGTCCTGGTTGCTGCCCCTACAAGAAACTTCTAAAGACTCATCCATACACTTTAAATGGCAAAAAAAGCAATTAAAATATAATACAATATTGGATTCTAAGTATCCTTAAAATATTAATACTATTTATATTGAAGTGTTTATTGGATTGTCTATCTTTGACTTAAAGGTACCTACATCAAATGTTAACATAACATAGAGAGCATTCGGAGCGAGGTACCTGCAGAGCTGGAAGACGAAGACCTTGGGCACGCCGCGCAGCGCGGGCAGGTTGCGGTTGTTGAAGCGCTCCAGCACGTAGGAGAGGCTGACGAGGCCGCCCTTGCGGCAACGGAAGTCGTTGTCGCTGGAGGCGGCGCGCGCGTGCCCGTGCGACGACACCACGATGAACAGGCACTCCACGCCCACCACTGCCTCCTTTAGCCCGTGCAGCGTCTCCAACGTCTCCTGGCACATCGTTACGCTTCATTATCAAACTTCACGTTATTGTATAAAAATATCAACAAAATAACATGAAAAAATTGTAACAGACCTTCTACAATTAATCTACGTATGAAAGAAATAGAGTTACATAACCGGATCCCATAGTCCCATACACACACCCATATTCCCACAATCCCATAGTACTAATAACTGACCTCCTTGGTGAGGTCCTGGTACACCAGCACCTTGAAGCCCATCTCGGTGAAGAGATACTTGAGGTTCTTGCAGTCGACGTCGGCGCCGCTGCGGTGCGGCTCGATGCCATCGAACTCTATGTAGCTGAAGACCACGAGCAGGCCGCGCTGGCGCCCGCGCGTCCTGTACAGCGCGATGCCTGTCACATATGGGCCGTGCTCAGGGGCGACGTGGGCCGTGGGCAACACTACGGTTCTTATGACACCACGATTTGACGAAATAAGACGAAAAGTAAGAATAATTTTTTTCGATATCTCAATTAGTTTTAGAGAGATCGCTACGCAAAAACCTAAAAATATTTTTTTTTACTTTTTTTGACGGAATTCGATATATTTTTGAAAAATAAAACTAAAAATAAAGATAAAAATTTTCGTTATATGGATTAGATATCGATATTCGACGATCTAAAAGTATCTGTTATATATATATAATCGAAAATTAAAACTTACAAATAAATAATCTTTTATCCAGATGCTCTAAATTTAAAATTAAAAAAAAAACGAAACGAAATATGTGGACAAATTATATTAGTCATACAGGATTAACAGTCACTTCTTTTTATCAACCGACTTCAAAAAGGAGGAGGTTCTCAATTCGACTGTATTTTTTTTTGTTTTTTTTTTTTTTTTTGTTACCTCAGAACTTCGTCATTTATTAACCGATTTGGACAATTTTTGTTTTGTTTGAAAGGGTATACTTCCAGATTGGTCCCATTTAAATTTCAATAAAAAACACCACTCCTAAGGGTGGAAAAATAGCTAATGATGAATTTAACCTACTTCTAATTGTCATATTGACTTGAAACTTTGCAAGTGTTTCCATTTCCGTTGATAGTACAGTGGTTCGGTATTGTTGACCTGATCTGATGGTAAGGTCGAAGATGAATAGGTATGAATATGAATAGGGAACTCTTCAACGGCTAATAGTAGATACTTTGAGTTTGAGCTTATTTTGTTTGATTTGACAAGCATAACACGTTATTTCAAAACATTTTCAGATAAGAATATTTAAAAATAAAATGTTCATTTTTTTAGATGTTCGTCGTTTACCTATATATCGATTTATCAAAAACTAAGGGAGATATTGAACAAAATTATTCTTACTTTTCTTCTATTTCCTAGAGATCTATACAAATCCTCCTTCAAATCGTGGCGCCTTAAGAACCGTAGAATCCCCGGACCATGCCAAGTGACAGCATGGACCATGCTCAGTGACAGCATAGTCCATACATCGACAATGATTACAGCGGCACTTTTGGCAACCCCCCAACGTGCGTTCACCTTGTCGTGGTGAGGGGGGCTCAGTAGTGCCCGGCAATACAGCCGGGCGCGAAGCCAAGAAACGCACAGGGAGGTGGCCGCCTTCGGTGGGCGGTGGAAGGTGGCCTTCTTCGGAGGGCGGTGTACCATGCGGGTTGCTCCTGGTACTTCTCTGATAGCAGAGTGGACTTTGGAGCAACCCCATAGTCGTTGTGGTCTGCCTCGGCAGACCTGCCGTCGGGGCGTCGTAGTTGAATGCGTAAGCGATCCTGCGACGCCCCATTAAGACGGGGGAAGGTTTTGTTGGGTTTTAGTGGGTAGTACTGGCTTTGCCGGTGAGTCCCACACCTCGTGCGTAAATGCATTTCCCAACGTTAAAAAAAAGGCACTTTTGGCAAGGTGCTGGAGAATACTTGCTACATCATCTGATAAAATCGGGTAACTTAAATGTTCACTATAATATATACATTTTTCGGTACACTCATCTAAAGTCATAATGCCATATTTTTATAAGAAACAAAACAATGAGGAAAAAATATCTCTAAAAATAGGTAGATAAATGGTGCTGAAAGTTATTTAATTAAGTTTTAAACCTCCATTGTTATCTTCAACAAATTTTTGTGATTTTTTGACTTCAAAGCGAGGAATTTCAGTAGGGTCCACAGCATCTTTCGTGTCAGGCGGGGCTGGAGGTGTGGGCGCAGTAGTCAAATCTACAAGCAAATGATCATATTATTACTACAGTGATTACAGAATTTGTTCTATATTAATCAAAGCTTACTGACTTTTATTCACATCTGATCCAGACTTTGTTTTTTTCTTCTCAGTGCGAATGCTCACAAAATTGCTGTCACCAGAGCTTTTACCTGAAAAAATAGTATGTTATAATTTACTATTTATTTAATAACTAGCGAATTACCCTCGCTTTGCTCAGGTGCATCCCTAGGTACATTTTAATTTTTTTGAGCAGAACTCTAATAATTTTTCTAAAATAAAAGAAGCCTTAGGCATTTCTTATAACATCAGCATCTGCCAGTAAAAGTCTAATGAAAATCAGCCCAGCTGTTTTAGAGAATAGCCGAAACAAACAGGCAGACAGACAGATAGACAAAAATTAAAAAAAAAATATGTTTATCTTATAATTACCATAAATAATTCCATATTATGCATTTAGTAAAAAGCTGTTATATTGACATTACAAATAGACACTATCTATTTATACCTATACAATAATTTAAAAAGTAAAAGTACAAGTGACATTACAAGTAATTGTATACAAATTATTAGAGGCAGAAATGGTTTTAACATTATTGTTTCTACTTGATACAGTTTGCAATTGAATTATATTTTATTTAATTAAATAATAATTTGGAAGTTTACAGTTTAGTCTATTCTATAAGTAGCATCTTTTTAAGGCTGGATGAAAAGCCCAACTGTCTAGTTTACATAGGTTACACTTATATTTTGTCAAACAGGCTATTACATCTATATATGTTGTTTTGAATTTGTATTATAGAAAATTATATAAATAATACTTGTGCCAGGAGCAGGATTCCTGGATCTTCGCAGGTGAAGGGAGCTATTGGGATCTAAATCACGCACAAAGTCCCAATATCCATTCTCTCTAAGAGCATCTAGAAGATGTCCAAATGCTTGTGGTCCACGGCGTGTGATGTCCCTATACAATAAACGTTTTCGATTTCTGGCATCTTTATTTGTGTCCTATAACATATTAACAAAAAATATAAATACGATTTTTTATGAATTTTATGTACCCATGCATTTTAAAATCTGTCTGCAAAAGCTGACAGTTTTAAAAAATTTATGTAATAATGTAAATTTCATTTTTGTAGGTAATTTTTGTAGTGTGGGATTGTCGGATTGTCCAAGCATTAATGTTGAGTGTAATACTTTTACAATAATTGTGTGCTGTGCTGTTCTCTAAAATATATTGTACCAAACTATAATAAATGTACCTCATATACTTCTTTCATTTGTTCTGAAAAAACTCCTTTTTCATAAAGGGCTGCTACCATCACCTCTAGGTCAGTTTGTTCTACTAACGATATAAAGTTGTTTTGTATAGCTTTTCTGTGTTCTTCTTGCATCTTTTTAATTAATGTAAGTTTGTCATATACCAAAAAAAAAATTTCTTATATTTTGATACTTAAAATTGAAAATATCAGCTTCACTTTCGTATAGATAACCGTAAGTTGACGACTCATACTTTTTAAGTTTTTATTAGAAAGGTCCCTCGCAATACTAGGTACTTTATGAAATAAGAAAGAAATGACGACACTTGTTAAAACTTGTATGAAATTTAGAAATTTCTTCCAAACCACAAGTTTTCAACTATGTTGAAGTTGACGTTAATTTGACAGATAGCACAGTGTTTGACACTTGACAGATATCAATGCACAAAGTGGCACAGACTACTCTGGTAAATACGAATATATGCGAACACAAACACAATGGAAGCAAAAAACCACGTATAAAAGAGATATCACAATAAATTGCATAACCTCAGACTGAATGTAAATAGGCCATACGAGTGGCGCCCTCCGTGCAAGAAATCTTCCTCATTGGAAAACAGGGATTATACTGAGGATCATAATTCATAGTGATCGCGACATCTGGCGCGAGAAAAAAGGGAAAATTCTTCCCCATTGTCAGCTGACTCAATCATTTTTATGTAATATGTATACCTATTACCTGCATTATTTTATTTGTCAATTGTCATCCATCAACAATCAACATCATTGCATTTAATGTTAAATGATTTTAATAGCTGGCAGCTACTTAATAGTTAATTAAAGAGATTAATAAAAGTTATTAGCTTCAGTTATTTTTCTATGTAATAATGTCTTACATTTTACAATTACTTTTCATTGCAGCATGTACCCTAGTTTTTACGTATGGTTATGAAAAATCTGATATTATTTCTGCGAGGATTGAGGTAAATAAAGAAACATAACGCCCCTTTTTCTTACCATCTGTTTTTCACTTTTTAACTTACACTTATATTTTAGTCATGTCGAGGTTGCTCCTTAAACCGCCTACCTGAAGTAAAGAAATTTATTATGAACGATGCTCCAGACTATGACCGCGTCGAAGTAAAATTCATTAATGGAATGCCACCAGAGCTGGTGATTATTGGTGAAGATGAAAAGGAATTGGAACGCATTCCCTTGTCTAATCTTGATAGAGAGGACTGCAACATTCAACTTAAAAGCAGAGGTTTTGAAAAGAAAAATACAAAAGAAGAATTCTAATTTACTTTTGCCAATAAAAGCCAATATAATAAGAATTTAATACATTCCAGATTACATAATGTAATATATAAGATGTATTTAACTTATAAGGGTATGTACTCACTATTTAAAAAATATACTGAGTAATATTTCTATGTGAAAATAATAAACAGAACAATTTCCCTGTGATAATTAACAATGGTTTTATTGTTTTAAGTTAAATCATAATTTTCATTCAGGATTGAGTTACTATATAATTTTATGTTAAGTAACTTATATTTGATTATAGTACTGGTATAAATATAAATTAAGTAAAAGTATGATAATTTGTTTTAGTTTATTTAATTCCCAATCTTTTCATATATATGTGTTATTGCAATTTTTTTTGTGGTATGTTCATGATTTTATTTATATACCAACATAACTGATCAAAAATTAAGAAAAGGATAAAAAGTTAAATGTGGATGGATACCTCCAGCTCTTGTAACAGTTGTCATAGAATAAGTGAAAAAATAGAAGAACATTGACAAATATTTTCTCAAGAGTATCCCAAATTTTGATTATTTATAATGTGAATTTATATTTTGGAAGAAGAGGTACATTTAAATATATATTAAAAAATTCCTGTAACTAATTATCTGCTTATAAGATTAAGGGTATCCTCTACCATATTTGCTTAGCTCGGCTCTTGTTTTCCTTCACATTGTAAGATCAGTATCTTTTTTAGGAATGGTGGTGTGATCTTTAGATTCCACACTCATACACTATAACTATATTTGCAAAAGGAATAGAACCTCTTGGCATTGCCAATGTATCGCTATATTTATAATTTTTAAACTTACAATGTGTGAAACTACATGGATAGAAGACACCCAAACAACAAATGTTAAAGCACACATTAACGATTGATAATTTAATTATTAGTTTATATGCATCAGTGACCAGTTGAATTTAAGTAGTAGTTCCATAAGTTCTCAAATGAATTTCTCTTTCTAAATGGTTTTTTTGTAGTTTTTTCATCACCCATGCAAAACAGTTTCATCACGCACTGTTGTCTAAAAAGATATATAATTAGTGAAATTTAGAACTTTTCTCGCATTTACTTAAAATTCGTCTTGTAAGTTTCTGAAGATAATACTGGAGCACATCCGGGTCTCGTGTTGATCATATTGTATTCTAACATTTCATCTGCCAACAGACAGGACAATGAACCTTCGACACCTGACATGCCTATTAGTTTCTCCTCTGCTTTAAAGCACTTTAGCAGTCTTTGGTATCAACGAAATTAGAAAGATAAATAAAAGATTTTATATTTATAAAGAGATATATTTATAAATATGACAGCTACACAGTTCAGGTGATCAGAGTGCAGTCCAGGTCCTCGTCGCGGCCGTCGGCTACAGCGCGCCGCAGCACGCGCGTCACCACATCGCCCAGCGCCTCGCGCCCGCCCTCCTCCAGGAGAGACATGCATTGCTAAAACAATTAACAAAAATAATTACAACAGTCTGTAGTAACATAAATCGCTTATGTTTTAATAAACTCTGTATAATATATTATGTAACTAGGTCGTTTAAACGTGCTTCAAATATAATATTTATATTACCACAGTATAAAACCCATACAGCAGTCGATCACCCATTGATTGTAAAGGAAATGCGAATGTCGAACAGTTTCAAAGCACTGTACTGCCATTACGTGGCAAGTTATAATTATATCTATCATCCTATAACTGACTTACCAAATCTATACATATAATTAAAATTCTTACAGTCGAATCAGTACATTAATAATTTGTTGGAAAATCTTATCGAAAAAGTCATTATTATGTATATATACAATTTTTGTTTCTCTGTCGGGGATTGCATCACGGGAAAACTACTGGGCAGATTTTGATGAAATTTGCTATGATGATAGCTGGTTATCCAGATTAACATATAGGATACTTTTACTAAGGTAAAATATGTAATCTCTGAGAAATCTATACTAAACGTAACTAGGGATGAACCCGAGCGGAGCGAGGGTGTGTTGCTAGTCACACACGTCTCACCTCGCATGCACCGCACGATTGCCTAGGTAGGAAGGCCCCGAGATCGCCTGATCGTCGTCTAAAAGACTGTATGAATTAGTGAACTGATGTTTTTATCAAGTTAGTGAAGCAAACCATGGTTTGTCGATAACCATTAGTCTCTAACTAATATTTATTTTTAATGAATCAAATGGTGACTATGTTAGATACTCCATTCTAGCGCATAGAGCACAGACCTGGTGGAAGGCCTCGTCGTGAGGCAGCCGCAGCACCGCGCGCAGTGCTATCTCGGAGTTGGCGCGCACGTAGGTGTTCTTCTCCTTGGTGCCGTTGACAAGCGCGGGCAGCAGCGCGCGCAGCACGTCGGCACCCACGCCCGCCGCGCGCACCGCGTCGCTGCGCCCCACCAGCGTGCTCGCGCGCGCCATCAGCTGCTTCACCTCGTTGCTGCTGTGGTTCATGCTCTGTGGAGTGTCATACATTCTTATTTACAGTTTCTTGTATAGTAACATAATTAGAGTAATTATTTACAATTGGTTTTTTTTCTTATGGTTTCTTTTATATTATAATCATTAGTGATTGTATTTTTAAGAAGTAAAACTTCTTTGCGCACGCTTGACTTGGGGAGTAAGCTGGTGAATGCGTGACGAGAGCGTTACGGAAAAGTGTAATCGGGCGAGGCGAACGTTTGTCGCCATGGTAACCGTTGTTATTGTCTGACAAATCTATACATATAACTAGCGACTCACCCTCGCTCCGCTCGGGTTCGTCCCTAGTGAAAATTGAGGATTGTATGTATTTTTGTATGTTGTATCATAAAAAAATAGAAATTAAAAATTTTGTCTTATAAATAAATAAAAAAATTTAGGGGTGGACTACCCCTAACATTTAGGGGAATGAAAAATAGATGTTGGCCGATTCTCATAGATACCGGATAAGCACAAAAAATTTCATCAAAATCGGTCAAGCCGTTTCGGAGGAGTATGGCAACGAAAACTGTGACACGAGAATTTTATATATTAGATAAAATTGTAACTAAGCCGAATCTGTACAATAAATATTTTTTGGAAGTTCTTATTGAAATAGACATTATTATCGATACAAAGACCGATTGTATAGTTTTTAGAATTTTAGTCTGTCTGTCTTTTACCGCATCACGGAAAAACTACTGAGGGGTTTTTGATGAAATTTGGTATGATGATAGCTGGTTATCCATGATACTTTTTAATGTGAAAAAATATCTCATATCTGAGAAATCTATACTATAAATATCGGTTACTTTTTACTGTGGGAAAATATCATATCTCTGAGAAATCTATACTGAACGTTAAAACGTAAGTAGGGACGAACCCGAGCGGAGCGAGGGTGAGTCGCTAGTGGTAAATAATATTATATTCTTTCCTTAAATGATATTCTATAAATATATTGTAATATGCCTAATATGCGTTATTTTATTCTTTTTATTAAAATTTATCATTCCTATTACAAACAGAGAGTTGTGTCATACGGGATGAAATCTTTAGCTATTTTTGATGTTACGCCAAAGAAGTATAACTTCTTACGTGCGTACATAAGTACATACACACGTTTTTTTAAAAACATACATTGAATTTCATAAAGAGAACCGATAATCTACAGAAGTTTCACTTCTTATACATTGTCGATGTGTGAAGTAATTTTTTTTTTTAAATAAATGAAAGATAAAATGCTCAACACTCACCCTAACAAACTGTGACAGTATATTCGGCGGCACCGGCCTGTCGTTTTTAAGTAAATAGCATATCAAATATCCGATGCCTCTTATACCGTTGCACACAATGGGCGTCTTATCGCTGGCGAGATAGCTCAATAGGACTTTGTCTATCTTCTCTTCGAAGTGATCCCGGTAGATTTGGTCTGGTGTCTCTTTGAGTGCAACGAAGAGGGCGCAGGAGCGGCCGTGCGTGAGCAGCCAGTCGTCGGCGGCGGCGGCGTGCCCGCCGTGCGCGGGGTGCGCGGCGTGCCCGGCGGCCAGCACGTGGTGCAGCAGCGCGGCGTCGCGGTGCGCGGGCGCCAGGCAGTGCAGCAGCGCGCCCAGGCAGCCGCCGGCGCCGCCGCGCGGCGGGTCCTCGGGGTGCGCCAGCAGCGCCGGGCACGTCAGCATGGCCAGCACCGTCAGCGCCGACTGCTCCGACATCTTGTCGCCGCCGTTGGTGATGACGCTGCGCAGCGCCTGCAGCATGGTCTCCTTCACGCTGATGTCCTCGGCGTTTTTCACGCCGTTGTGCACCTCGAGGAAGAGCGGGTCGGCGCGCGTGTGTATGAGCACGAGCTGCGACAGTGCGAGGCCGGCCTTGATGCGCACGGGCCGGTTGACGTCCGATAGACCCTTCACGAATGTCGTCTGCAGTTGCGGCAGAAACTGTTTGAGCATCACTCCTACCTGAAATTTAGGAATATTAATGAATATGTACTAACATTGTATAAAAATCATATTAGTCTGCTGCTATTTGTAATTACAAAAATAACTAAGAATTATAGTTTTCCATTATACTTCTAATTAACTAATACAAGATTTACTTTAGTAATATTATAATTGTGAAAGACTATGTGAATATGTGTTTATTATTTTATGCTACGAGTGAAATTGGGAATAGAGGTAAAACCTCAGATTAACACAGATTATTTTTTAACCATAACTATTATAGAAAACTTATCTGTATTTGGTTTTGACTATAAAGTAGTTTATAATATCAAAATGGCTGTAGACCTTACTTACCTTAGATAAAAGTAAAGCTAAAGTTTCAAGGACAGCAGCCTTGACGCTGGAATTAAACCTGTCACCCAAGATACGGATGAGAGGGCCGGTGATGTGTACCACGGAGGGCTGGATGGCGGACGCTGTTGTCAACTTGATCACTTCTCCCAACATGAGCGCTGCATTTTCTTTCTCTTCCGGCAAGCCGTTGAGAATTGCTTCTCGGAATAGTGGCAGTATTGGTGCTATACCCTGAATTAAGAAAATTATTTATAAAATATTGATATTTTATTTCCCAAAATATTAACTTTTCAAAATAAAAAAAATGTCATTACTACATACCTTAGGCAAACAGAATCCAGGTAGCGGTTCACCCTTCAGGTCGGCCGCAGCGTACCGTACCGCCTGCCGCACCTCCTGCACGTAGCCCAGCTGCTTCTCAGCCTCCAGCATTTTGGTGAGCGCGGAGAGCGCCTCCCAGGCCATCAGCAGCACGTCCCTGTCCGTCTCCGCGAACAGCAGCAGCAGGCCGCGCAGCAGCGCCGGCACGTGCGGCACGAGGTCGGCGCGCGTGTGCGTCACGAACGCGCACAGCAGCGCCGCCGCCGCGCGCCGCCGGTCGCCCTCGCCCGTGCGCACGCACTCCATTAGCGTGTCGATTATGCTGGAGGAATTAATTAGGTAGAAGTTGCAAAATTAGGTAAAAGTTGAAGTAGTCAACATAGCAATCTCTCAAAGCTGTGTCGAACTGTCGTCTTATTAGAGTTTTAGTGAGAAAGAATGAGAGAAAAGATACACTAGTGCGTAAATCTTAAAAAAGTATTATGCTCTATAATATTTCCTTTGCATATCACTTAATTTCGTAAATAGTGAGATTGTCCGCTGCGAGCGGATATTGTCGTTTATATACCGCACCTCCTGACGCCGGCGTCGTCCTGCACGGGCAGCAGCGCGTCGCGGCAGTACTCCAGCTCGCGCGCCTCGGCCGGCGAGCCGCGTGCCGCCACCAGCGCGCCCAGCAGCGCGGGCAACACGCGCGGCAGGTGGCGCGCCAGAGCACCGCCCGCCGCCGCCGCCAGCGCCGACAGCGCGCGCGTGTCCGCCGCGCCGCCGCCGCCGCCCGTCAGCACCGGCACCAGGTACGGCAGCACGGCGCGTGACTTGATCGCCATCACCTGAATACCAACGTTTATTGTTATAAATGCGAAAGCTTGTATGTTTAAAGCTTGTGTATGTTTTCTACTTTTTCACGCTGAAATGGCTGGACGGCTTTTGATGAAAGTTAGTAAACAGATATGACTCATTATTACTCCAGCCTGGTACACATAGCCTACATAAGGCATTTAGGACAAGATGATAGTAAGTCGCTAATATTATTAGAACAAGGACATTTCTTATTTAAAACTATACTTTTCAATGTTTGATCATTTATGTTGTTCGGAATCATAAGAATAAGTGTATCTATATAGTGTGGTGGGGATAATGGGGGTGGTGGGCGGTGGCGGTGACCTGCTTGAGCCCGTCGAGCGCGGCCTCTGCGACGGCAGCGTCTTTGTGGCGCAGAGCGTCCAGCATGGGCGGCAGGATGTCGTCCAGCGCCTTGTTGCCGATGGTCGCGTGCAGCGAGTCGAAGGCGCGCGCCGCCGCCATGCGCACCTCCGGCAGCTCGTCGCACAGCGCCGTGCGCACTGTCGGAACCTGCGGAGGTGGGTTTCTTCATCGATAAATATTATTTAAAAAAATATGATTACTTAATATTAGACTTTTTTGTAAAAGTACATAAATTAGTGTAAAAACAAATACTTTTGACTCATTTAAATGACAAATAAGTCATCCAATTGAAACCCACGAAAAATTCCCAGACCATTCCAAATTTCAAGTAAAAATACCGGAATTATAAAAGTAATAAAGAAATTTTCAAAAAGAAACATGATTACCAGTCCATCAGCAAAACTGAGCACAGCATCCCGCGAGGTGGAGGCAAGTATCTCGCCGAGGCCGATGCAGACGCCCTGGCGCTGGTCGGCGCGCTCCGAGCGCAGCCCGCGCTCCAGGATCGGCACTATGTCCGGCAGCACGCGCTCCCCTAACTAAATATAATTTATGAATAAATATCGAAAGAGTAACAAAAAAGAACTAACAACATATGTTGCCCCGTCCAGATACCTATTATAATAAACATTTTATAAAAAAAATAACACTTTCAACTTTTCCAAGTTGTACAGACTTTACTTTTTTCCTCTTAAATATAGGGATTACCACAAATATTTAAAAAAAATATCTAAATCGATTCAACTACTCTGCTATAAATGATGTTACCAACGAACAGGGTTTCATTTTTGTATTGATTGATATATTGATAAATTAAAAATACAACACTAAAAATACAACATTAAAAATAATCAAATAAAAGTATTAATTTACCTTTCTGACGAGATCGCCAAGTGTTCTCGCGGCGACTTGCCTCTTGTCGTAGCTGGTGGAGGCCAGACAGCCCAGCAACAGATTGAATAGTGTCGGCAAAATTTCACGTAAAGTTTTCGGTGTATTCGTGACGACCACCTGCAAAATAAAATTCATTGAATATATTCCAGTATTTAATATATTTAGTGGTTTTGATGGAATAGTACAATGATAACAGTAGCCATATATAGCCAGATAACAGAGTCCATGATTCAACTTAATTTATCAATCGCTCATAAAAAAACCATTTGTTAATGTTAGAACCTATTATATTAGAAAAAAATATTGTTGAAACAATTAAATAAAATTTATTATGTATATATTACCTTCCAAACGTGCAGAGCAGCCTGCCTCACCATGAGCGCGACGTCACTTCTGCCCATGTACAAGCCAGCGAGGACTCTGTTCCTGCGCTCCGGCCCGAGGGCGGTTATGATGGCTTTGTGCGAGTGCTCAGTACCAAAGTTGTCATCCTCCGAAGCAGTCTCTGTACTCATTTTTCCGGACACGCCCGATATACGGTACAGCAGGTCCCCTAGAAGTTGGACTGAGCTGTATCTGATACGCCAGTTGTCATCGAACAGTCCCTTCTCCAACTCCGGTAACAATAGTGTTATTGCGGATTCTGCGTATAAGTTAACTATCCTCTGTCCCGCTTTCAGGGCAGTTTCTCGGACGTACTCGTTTTCGTCAGCGAGTGCCTTAAGTATAGGATTGATGATCTGTCCAATGTATGGCGTGAACTCGTCGGTGAAGGCGCCGGGCATGTAGATGAACATCATGATGTAGCCGTCCTTCACGTGCGGTGCGATGTCGGTGCGCTCCGCTGTCGCTATTATGTCTATGGGAGCAAATTTTTTATTGTGATTATAAAGTAAATATTTCGTTTATCTATTCACTATTTTATCATAAATATTCCAAGTTAATCAATTGTAAGTTGCAGCCAATTAAATTAATACAAAAGCATACTAAAAAAAATTGTGTATAAAGTATCTCACCAGGCATGATCTTATGCAGCTTGTGGCTGCCGAGGCCCGCCACCACCTCGGAAAGGCCCTGCGCGGCGCCGGAGCGGTCCACGGAGCTGGACTCCGAGGTGAGGGTTTGCATCAGCCACGGCAACAGCTCCTCGAAGCTGTTCTCGCCCATGCCGCGCACCATCGCGCCCAGCGCGCGCGCAGAGACCGAGCGCACCTGTAATAAATGTATATTGGAATATATGCAACTGAAAATTAAAATTGAAAAATATCTTAAAGTATGGAAAAGTTAGCTATGTTCATTCACTGAAGTTTTTTTATTTTATTGTAAAAACCCTAGAATAAATTACAATAATAAACATAACTCGGTTAAAGAAGTAGATAAATGATTAATTTAAAATATGGGCAAAACTTGAAGCAAACTAATTGTAAGACTACTCTTCTACCACTGCTAATTTAAAAACGTTTGATATAAAACATATGGGCAGTCGATAAAATCCAACATATGAAGCACATAACATTACCTCAGGCACAGGATCAAGCAAGGAGCTCTTCAATCCTGGTATGATGCTGGGCAGGTAAGGAGTGAGGTCCTTCTGATCGGTGAGGGAGTACATGTTGCCGATGATCTGCGCCGCCATCTTGCGCGTCTCCGTGCTGCGGTCGAGGAAGGCGCGCTCCACCACCGGCATGATGAGGGCGAGCGAGGGCGCGTCTATGAAGTGCACGAATTTGGTGTCCAGCAGGGTCTGGAGGCAGAGAGATGTCTTGTTCGAGGGGTCCTGCAGAGCTTGGAGTAGGACCGGTACGATTGCTGAAAGTAAAAAAAAAAGAATTTTATGATCAGTGTTTTAAGTTGTTTTGAAGTGAAACTTCTTTAGAATCGTTGTGATTTGAAACTCGATGAAATGGAAATGTGACACGAGAAAGAGACAGAACATATAAATATATAAGATTAAGCTGGCGAGAGAATGAGATAGAATACATTGCCATGTTGCCATGGTAAGCGTTGTTATTGTCTGACAAATATATAATATATCATAAAAATTGGAACGCGGTCGAACGGGATAAAAAGTATCCTATGTCTACCTCCCTGCCAATTTTCAGCTAAATCGGTTCAGCCGTTCTTGAGTTATAAGCGAAGTAACTAACACGACTTTCTTTTATATATATAGATTATGTATATTCTTTCCATATATGATATTCTATAAATATATGATTGTAATATGCCTAATATGCTTTATCAATTAATGATTTGTTTTAATTTAATTGTGATATTTGCCGAAGAAGTTTTACCATTTTTTTATTATTTATTTATACCAATTCTTACTAATAAATACAAGTTATTATTTTAATTAGTTAAAGTATTTGTTGTTGTATATCATAAGTCAACTGTCACTGAAGGGTTTGCGAGCTTTGGTATACAAAAACTCAAGATACACCATTAGTGTCTCAAAAGTGTCCTCAAAAGAAGTGCACCATTCAAAATGGAAGTGCGCTTTTTCTATTTTGTTTATTGCTTTTCGGATGACAAGAAACGCACGTTTCTTCGTTTAAAAAAAAAACTACTTAATGTGGTGTGCGTAAGTTAGAATTTGTGTATAGACAGTTAGAACATTCGATTTGTGAAATTCATTTTTTGATTTAAGCTTTGACTTAACGTTCCATATCGGAACCACTTTTTGAAGAGATATTTGTAAGGAAATGTCTATGTTTTAATATATTTGGGTACCCTGTATCTCCGGGTTGCGTATGACGGAGCCGATGACCTTGAGGGCCTCTGCGCCGGCCTCCTGCACGCGCATGTGCGAGTCGCTCAGCACCTCGATGAGCTTGGGCACGATGGACGGCAGGCACGACGACAGCTGCTTGGGCGCGCAGTATGCCATCGCGCCGAGCAGCTCGATGGACCCTGATCCCGTCGTCGAAACACACAATCTTTTAATACTTTCAAAATATATTTCTATCTTACAATATATACTAAAATTATAAACAGGCAGAGTTTATTTGTTTGAACGCGCTAATCTCAGGAACTACTAATCTGATTTGAAAAATTCCTTTTACATTAAATAGCCCATTTATTGAGGAAAATTTTGGGCTATAAATTATATAATAATAGCCTGTCTATTCCATACTGACCGTTAAAACGTACCTAGGGACGAATTCTAGCGGAGCGAGGGTGAGTCGCTAGTAAAAAATTTTTTTTTCCACTTCTGACACATTTTAAATATAATTTACTTAATGATAAATGGTATTTTTAATACATAAAAATATGCAATAATATGAAGTACAGTTCATGTTTTTATATACATATTTCTAATTATAACAAACTTTGTAATAACTTGAGAAAGTAATTATTACAGTTTTCATAATTTTTACCGATATTATATTGTGAAAAAAATTGTTTAAGTTATTCTTCTTTTGTTAACATGAATAGTGAATCGTGCAAAAAAATATGTAGGCTATTATTTGTCATTGTATAAGGCTTGCTTCAAATTACTCCCTAGGTAAAGTGCATGAACAAAGCGAGAGACACACTATCGCAGTATTAGTGTATGTGTGTGTACCAGCTTTAGTGCGCCAGTTGTCGTCCTGCAGCGCCTGCAGCAGCGAGGGCAGCACGAGCTTGACGCCGTGCGCGGAGAGGCGGCTCATGATGAGCTTGGCGGTGTCGTCGGCGGCGGCGCGCACGTACTGCGAGGAGTCGCCGAAGCACAGCAGCAGGTGCGGCAGCACGTGCACGATGTACGGCTCGAACAGCCGCCCCAGCTTGCAGCACAGCATCTCGAACCCGAACAGCGCGCCTGCGCACACATTCACAGACTTTAACACAAGGTAAAACATCATCAAACTAAACATCAGAAGGTGATATACACATTGGTGTGAAACGAAAACATATTTATTTTTATGCGTATATAAATAACTAAGCCGAATCTATACATAAGATATTTTTTGGAAAATCTTATTCAAAATAAACATCATTATCGATACAGAGGCCGAATCTATAGTTTTTAGAATTTTTGTCTGTCTGTCTGTTACCGCGTCACAGAAAAACCACTGGAGGAATTTTGATGAAATTTGGTATGGTGAAAGCTGGTTACCCGGGTCAACATATAGGATACTTTTTACCCTGGGAAAATATCTCATTTCTAAAAAAATACAAATACTGCAATGTAAGAGTATACCTACATATATATTAAACCTAAGAATTTGGTCTTTTTTATTTTAAATTACAACTTCTTCAAAATCATTACTGTCTTAAAAGCAAACATCTTTTAAGATTTTCCACCCAAAAACTATGAATTTTAAGTTTATGTTATATTATCTAGATATAACCTTCTCGGTACTTGTAGTTCTTTTTCTCCTGGATAGCTTCAGTGAGTTTGCCCATTACGTCCAGCTGCTTTAGTGACAAGATGCCCAAACCTTTAATTATACCGGCGATACCGTACGCAGCGCCCTGGAAAAAAGAGCTTATCCTGTTATTTTGGTTTTATCAAAAGGGTTCCTGTGGGATATTGTTACAACGCTTTTGTTTATTACTTACAAAGAGGATAATTTTCCCCAATTTTGTACTTTCATTGTGTATTACCGGTGCTTTCTAAGAGTTAAAATATTCTAAAATGTTACCTCAATTATACAAATTAATACTTAAAACACAAACAAAATAAAGAATTTGAGCCGTCATGACCCAATTTGCATATATGTAAAGTATGTCTACAGTTAAAATGTACTCGCCTTCCTATCACCGTATTTCTCAGCAGTGAGTAGTTGTTTGAGGAGTTTGTTGACGATAGTGGGGATATCGGCCTCCAGCGCCGGGGACGTCACCAGGTGTGGCAGACAGTTACTGACCGCTTCTTGCACCTGTAATGTTTTGTTGCTGTGATAGCCATTGCGACTTACGAGGACATACAAATCATATAATGACTTAGTATGAAAATAATTTAAAAAAGTTGATAGAAAAATCAATACATATATAAAACAAGTTCTAAACTTATTGATAAACGGAGCATGGACCAAAATTTTAGTTTAATGCCAAAAAAACTTTTTAAGCGATTATAACCACTTTTATTACCATAATAGTTTTACTGTGGAGAGATCTTTTTTTATTTTATCTTTATTTTACATATTTTAATAAAAAATATTTTTGGGACCATCTTTGACATATAGAAGTAATACAGAAGCATGAAAATTGTCTCACGCGGAACGTCCACATTAAAACCATTAATTCCGTAGTGGATTATATACCTGTTGGCTGGGCGTGTTAAGCGCGGCTACGAGGCGCAGCGCGATGGGGCGCACGCGCGCGTCATCGGGCGCCAGGTGCCGCGCCAGCGACCCTACCAGCAGCACCACGCACTGACGCACCGCGTCGTAGCCGCCCGACTTGGGCGCCGTGTCTAGGAACTGCTCGAACACCGGCAGCTGGCTGCTCAGTGTCTCCTTCCCGTGCAGGTCCACCAGCGCCATGGCGGCGGCGAGCATGGTGTCGCGCACGGCGTCGCTGCGGTCAGCGAGCGCGCGGCGCACGTAGAAGGCCATGGCGGCGGGCACAGCGGCGGGCGCCAGGCGCGGAGCCAGCTCACGCAGCGCCACCGCCACGCCGCGCCGCGCGCCCCACGCGTCCACGGCGGCCTGCTGCTCGTGCCCGAACTGGTCGAGCACCGCCGGGATCAGCGGCAACTTTTCGTCGTATATCTCGTGCAGGCTGTGCAGCACGGCGTCGGCGGCGGCGTGCGGGTTCGGCGCGCGGGCTACGAGCGCGGCCAGCGCGCGCGCCGCCGCCGCCTGCACGGGCTCGGCGGGGTGCTGCACCTGGCGCAGCAGCAGCGCGCGCAGCTCCTCCGCCGCGCCCGCCGCCCACGCCTCCGCGCGCGGCAGCTGCGTCCACAGCTCTTCCGCTAGTTTTCTACATGATCAAAACATTTTTTGTAATAACTTTTGAAGTTACACTATTTAATCTGTTAGTTAGCTGGGCTAACAGAACTATTTTTTTGATTTGATACTGTACATAATTTATCCATAAATAAATATATTTTTAAATAAAACATTACTATAACAATCAAAGGAAATAAAAGTAAATGCAAAATTTATTGTCTTTTATAGAATCGAAATCATTACGAACGAAAGAATTCAGAACTACTCTTTGTCATATGTTAATATTATTTAAAAACCTAACAACTGACTTATTGTCCTCAGAGTCGTCGAAGGTGGCGACGTAGAGGCGCATGGTGAGCGTGAGCGCGAGCCCCGGCTCCTCCAGGAAGGGCGGCAGGCACTCCGCCACGCACAGCAGCGCGCGCAGCGCCGCGTCGCGCACCACCTGCCGCAACCACGGGCACACGACACGCATGTTATTACAACCCATTGCAACCCAGTTGAAACGTCGGGATTGAAGTATATAGCCACTAACAAATTAACGCGTTTAAGTCCCGTAGTGTAATTATTATATGTACATATAATTATGGAAAAGCATATATGCGCGAAAATTTTAAAAGTTATATCCATACTAATATTATAAATACGAAAATAACCCTGTCTGTCTACCTGTTACCTTATCACGCTTAATTCACAGAATCGATCTAGATGAAATTTGGTATGGAAGTGGTTTGAGACTAATCAAAATTATTTATTTTTTAAATTAAAAAATGTTATTATTTTTTAAAGTACTTAGGTACTTTTTTATACCTATGTATGTAGGTGATTGAGAAATATAATTTAGATAGTATCTTTAAGTATGACTATATATAATGTGTTTTGCTATCATAGAGCATGCAATATTTTTTTCAATTGAACTGTTGTCTTAACTATATAATTGTTATCTTAACAATTTGAATTATTAGATAATTTAAATGTAACATCTAGTTGGTGGATTATGTCACCTCCATGGGGTTCTGCAGGCCGTCGAGCAGACACAGCACGTCGTCCTCGGCGAGCGGCGCGCGCGCGGCGCAGCGCGCCGTCTCCAGCAGCGCCACCGTGCACGCCGCCGCCACGCGCCCGCTGCAGCTGCCTGCGACGTGCAAACACAAATTTAATCGTATAACATAACAACAACATATTAAATAGTTTCTTGTACATTTATAGATTAGTGTTATTATTTCAATGATAAGATCCAACATATTTAGCGTGTCTTTTCATTATTATTGATTTTTCATCATGTCATAAATATTTATTTTTGTCTCTAGTAATGTTCTTCAGATCGATTTTGACAATGACGGCCAATTTCACTAAGACTAACAAACTGTGACATATAATGCACAAGTCCACTTTTTATACTACAGACAGATAAGTAAACGCACATGTATAGTATGCGCAAATAAGCGCACTGTCTATTTCTTCAATTCTCACATTCCGATGGGACGAAAACTTAACACGCCCAATGGAAGATAAAGAGGCGTAGGAGCGACAGTCTAACGTACTCTGAAAAGCAAGGGGTCTAAGCTCAACTCCGGGTTGCTGCCAAGTGTTAGTTACAGCAAAATTTTGATTACTACTTAAGCTCGACACGGGACGCAAAGCCTGGACTATATACTAGGCACTAGAGTTAGACCAACGCGGCAGTAATATATAACATAAACAAAACAAAAAGAATCCCAACTCACTAATAAGATCAATGAGCAGCCGGAACATCTGGTCGATGGGGAACAGCTGTGGGTGCAGCTGGTCGGGCGCGTACAGCGAGGAGGCGTCTCCACGCAGCGCCGCGTGCCGCGAGATCACGGCCAGCCCCTTCACCATGGTGGCCTCGTTGGTGCGCGCCAGGCTGCTCGTCAGACCTGGGGACGGTATTCTCCTTATTTAAACCAATTTCTCCACAAACGTTTGTCTTTTATGTGTTTCTAAATTATATTGCAAAAATATAAGCAAAAGGGATTTTACGTGTACATACATATATAAAAACATACATACACATTTCCTAACAAATATCTCTTCAAAAATTGGCGTCGACATGTGAAGTTAAGTCAAACCAGAGTACAAAATTTAAAAATCGAAAGTTCTAATTGTCTTAAAACAAATTGAAATTTACGCACACCATATGAAGTACTTATTTAACGAAACAACGTACGTTTTAATTTTGAGATCCCAAAACCAATGAACAAAAGTGATTTGAAAAAAGCGCAGTTCAGTTTCAAATTGTGCACTTTTGAGGACACTTTTGAGGTGATAATTGTGTATCCTGAGTTTTTTTAAATCTTAAATAAAACTATCTTTTCGGATTATTTCGCGGATTTATTTTGATTTTTGGTTCCCGACGTTTCGAATGCACTGTCTGTAACAAGATTATAACACTTTTGAGACATCGATAACCTTAGTCTCTCCAGTGACTATGTGAAACGTCGAGAAACAAAAATCAAAATAAATCCGCGAAATAATCCGAAAATATGGTTTTATTTAAAATGTCAAATATTCGCATAAATCTAAGAAAGTATTATTTTTGTAAATCAACACACATAAATAATCTTTTACATTAAAGCAGATTTTTTGGAATTCAATTTACTAATATATTTCTAAAAGTTACTAATGTTGAGGCTTTATACATCATCATACCTTGTTTAAACAAGGGGAACACATAGCAGAAGCCGGGCGCGGTGAAGTGGTCGCCGTCAGCGTTGGCGGTGGCGGCGTGCACCAGATTGATGGTGCGGATGGTGGCCTTGTCTAGCTCCTCCTCCTCCCAGCTCGGGTCCAAGTCGCACTGGGGTTTGTACAGCCTGGCAAACATTAAGTAATGGCCATTGAAATTTTAGATTTAAAAAGGTATATAAAACATTAAGATAGTTGAATTGTTACATTTTTCAGGTTATACGAGTTAAGTGTTGTGGTTGGATGAACACTATATTGATTTTGTGTTTGTCTGAGTTAATCTTAGAAATTACTGTACGGATTTTTACACAGTTTTCACCAATAGAAAGAAGTATTATTCTGGAAATTTTGCGAAAATAACCTACCATGATATTTATTACACTAGTATGATGATATTTGCAATATCAGTTGGAAATAATGGTCTCTGTTGAGTCTTAATAATAAAATAAATGCGAAGGCAATTTAGAATCCCTATAAATGAGTAGTTAACTACGTAGAGTAACACAATATAGCAACTCACCTGATGGTGGTCCTGGCGACGTGGTCAGCGAGCGCGGCGTGGCGCGGCAGCAGGTGGCGGCGCAGGCGGCGGTGCGCGGGCGCCAGGCGCGGCGCCGCCAGCGGGCAGCGCAGCGCCGCCAGCAGCGCGCGCAGCAGCGCACGCGCGCGCGCGCCCAGCGCCGCCGCCGACCCGCGCGCCGTCGCCTCCACCAGCGCCACCGCCTTCTCCACAGAGCTGTTCAGCTGCAGCACACACACACACACATCGCATCACTGTTTATTACATACTATGCCTATATAGTGTTAGTAGCTATGATCATAATAGCTGTGTCAGTAGACAGACATACATGGATTTTTTTAATTTATTATTAAACCAGCATAATATGCAGTGTCAAAGCGTTTGAAGAGTCTTATCTGTTTGTGAATTCACAACTATCTATAACGAACTCTAAATGAACGCATAGAACGCGAACAATTAGTCTTCTGATCGTCTAGAAACGTGGACACAAACAGAAAAATTTCTTCTCACGTTAAGTGGAAGCTTCCACATCAATGATGAATTTCTTGTGAATGGTCTTTTTAAATTAATTTGATATATTGAATAACATGATGAACATTAAAACAAAAATAAATAATTTTTCATTATAGGCAAGATTTTTTTACAAAACCAGTCAAAAAGTACATGACGTGTGCACTAAGTAAATTTTTTTGAAGAATAAAGAAGATTACACTTACCTCAGTTAAACGCTCACGAATTGCACTTTCCTTTGCAAGTTGGGCTTTTATAGCCTCCTTCTGTTTGGCTGTCAGTGGAACCTACAAAGAGATAAAACATTGCACAATTATATTATTCAGATAAATTAAAAAAATAGTAATTTTAACTTCAATAAGTAAATAAGAAATCCCAATACCAAATATATACATCCAAAAAAGCAATTCTGTGTGACAAGTCTTTTAAATAAAACTGTCTTTTCGAATTTATTTCGATGTTTTGTCCCCAACGTTTCGAATGCTTTACAGCGATCATGGTCGCGGGAGGGACTAAAGTTTTAGACGTCTTAAAAGTCACTGTATACTTGTTACACAGCTGTGTGTCCGCGTACAAATCCGAAAAGATAGTTTTATTTAAAATGACAAATATTCGCGTAAATCTAAGGAAGTATTAAATATTACCTCTTTAATTTTGCCCTCTCTACGTCGCTTTTCGTCAATTTCTCGTCGCAATTGTAGTTCTTCCAGCTGCTCCTTGTAGCTGTACGCTTTGCTCTCTCGCTTTAAGTTCATTTCTTTGTTTTCTTCACTTCTGTAAAATATCAATAATAATTTCATTTGTAATAAAGGGGTTTGTAGTAAAGGGATAGTTTTTTTTTACATGTAAATTGAAGATTTACTTTTATAGATTTATAAGAATATTTGATATTTAAAACAATTTTTGGTTTAAATTAATGTTTGTAGACACTAACTTTTTAATATCTCAAAAGTTATCACAGTCAGTGTCTACTCAAACACACAAAATTTTTATTCACTTTATTCAGGTTTATTCCTATGCATATATATGTAGTTACTTAGTTATAGAAAAACTGGTAAGTACTTTAAATATTAAAAAAAGATGTATCCCTTACTTGAGAAATTGATTCTTCATACAAACTTCCACCTCCCTTTTCACTCCCATAGGGAATGATTTCCAAAATAAAAACTGTCCTATGTCCTTTCCAGGATATCAAACTATCTCCATACCAAATTTCATCAAATCGGTTCAACGGATTAAGCGTGATAAGGTAAAAGACAGACAGACAAGAGTTACTCACAGTCACATATACGGTATTCCTTACAATTTGTGTTGCCATACTACAAAATATATTTATTTGTTTTTTAAGTTTATTAAGTTTTAAAATTAATATATATGTTAGTTTTTACGGTATATATATGTTATGGGCCTCTGTTTACATATTTAAGGTCTTTTTGGTAATATTATCTGAAATAAATGATTAAATTAAATTTAACAAACACATCTATCTTCTCAGTATCGGTGTCGAGTGTCGTGTCGTCTAGTGAGCGGGAGCGGTATTTACCCGGGCACGACGGACTTGTCGTAGAGGTGTCCGGGCGGCGTGAGGTAGGCGAAGTAGTCGTCGCGCGAGACGGCCAGCAGCGCGGGCCGCTGCAGCGCGTCCAGCGCCGCGCGCAGCGCCGCGCCGCCCGCGCCCTCCGCGCTGCAGCGCGCCAGCGTCGCCACCACGTTGCACTGCGTCTGGTACGAGACACCCACATAACGATACTTTAATTGGCAAACCAGCTAACTGCATATGAGCAAATTTTTCAGGAGAAACTTAAAGCTTTATAATATTTTTTTGTACACTACTTACATATTAATTATAAATTAAAAAAGTTAAAAACCCCCCTACGCAAATTAATTGTCATTTAACGATTACACTGGCATGTGTGAAGCAATTAACACAATTTCGTGTGCTTTCATTCGTATCGGCTGGCACCAACTTCAAAAATATCTGATTATGTATCTATAGTAAATGAAAACTACCAATCAGTTATTTTTTACTTTTAGTGCTTTTTTTCGTTTCGCTATCGATATTGTTTACGGTAAAATACACCTTTTAAATACAGTTCATCATTTTCTTTTTTACCCTGAACTATCGAACAGTAACAAATAGTAATAAAAAACTGAAATTTAGCTAAAAAATATTATATAACAAAGTTCAGAACTAAGAAAGAATTTTTGAAATGAATTTTGAAAAATACTTGTAATTAAATTGTTCAAATGAGGGATTAAAATTTGTAGCGAAAATTGTCTATCTAGGTTCTGTTGAAAAGGTGTAGTGCAAGTATTTTTATTATAATTACCTCGGTCGGAGTAAAATTAGTAATGTATATGTTCTTCAGTTTATTTAAATGTGTGGCGACTAGTCTGTGTGGGTCGAGACGTAAATATGCTACTAATTTTAGCCAAGCTCGTTGATTGATAGCCACCGCGAGGGGCTGGTGGCAACAGGGGAGTACTTCTATAGCTAAGCTCTCCGAGTCTTCTTGTTTATAATCTGAAATAATAATAATAATAATAATAACAGTTACTATAAAAAAGTACAAAAAAAAACTAAGAAGCTAAATTTTGAGTAAAGGTGCTTTATATGAAACGATAAATGATAATTTTCCATTTTAACCAAAGATGATGAGATAAAAAATGTTTTTATGGTAGAAGGGGCAAACTATCAAACAATCCACCTGATGTTAAGTGACTATAGTCGCACATAGACATCTGCAACAGAAGAGTTATGAACAAGTTGCCAGCTTTTAAGAGACCTGAAGAGACAAACAACTCTTGAACAGCTCCATAGCGCTCAGAGAAAATATAAGGAGGAAGAAAGTATTTTTAAAATCAAACTATTTGTGTTGCTTACCTCTATATGAACACAGAGCTTGAACACAGTCAAGTATCATCTTCCCAGTCACCTCTGCCTTGTCTTCTGGAGGTGTCTTCTCCTTCACCATGAAGATCTTTCCTTCGTCCAGCACTTCATTCAATTTCATCACTAAATTCTTTGCCAATAAGGCCTTATTTTCATTAGCTAGTAGCAATTTCACTTCTTCCAAAGCTGCCGACCGGACAGATTTAATGGGAGAGAGCAGGACGAATATGAAAGCCTTCAGTACAGGTGAACTTTGGTCGCTGGCAACACTCTCGTCCTTGTCCAAAACAGTTCTGCATAGTAACACCACCTGTATTAGGACTATAAAGGGGTAAATGTTATAGCGCTACCTTAGAGCAAATGGAATAAAATTTGAAATATAACAATTTTATAAAATAGCATTCATGTGAAAAACAGAATTGTTATAAAGTAATAACATGAAAAAAGTAGTGATAATGCACACATACATCTTCTTGCCATTTCGAGAAGCATCCATATTCTTTAAAAAAAAATTATAGCCGTGAACTTTATTTAAATATTTTGTTTATATTATCAATCTGAAAGTCACTGTGATCCCTCAAGTAATTGTATAATAAACACGACTTAATTTTAAAATAGATAAGTAAAATAAATAAAACTACATATATGATAATTGCTATTAAAAAGTCTTGCTAAAGCAGCCTGCAGTGTTTGTGCATTCACGTACGTGCGAGCGTGTGCGCGCGTGCGTACGCGTGATTGTTATCCCATCACCTTGAAACGGCTGGACGGATATGAATGTTTAGCGCATAGATTGACTAAGAGCTGGGGTAGCATATAGGCTACTATTACGTACCTAGCTATACATAAAATGAAAAACAAAAGAGCAATGTATCGGTAGTACCGTCGTCGCTGGCGGCGGCGAGCGCGCGGTCGTGCAGCAGCGCGGGCCACGCGGGCGCGGCGGCGGCGGGCGGCGCGTCCAGCTGCGCCAGCGCCGCCATCGCGCATATGCCCTCACTCACTACCAAGTGCTGGAAATGGATGTTATTGTTACTATATTGTATACTATACAGCTGATAAATTTTTTAACATTTATTTTTGTGTCATATAAAATTAACATAAAATTGTGTCAAATAATGTCAAAAAAATTAAAGATTTTATAAACGAATATGATCAATTTTTCTATATACGATACATCTATTTAAATGAGAATTTTTTTTTCTACTAACCAATATTTATGAATTTAAGGCTAATAGTATGCAACTCATCATCTGTGAGTTTTTCCAACTAGATTTCCAGTAGACATTGTTTAGGGCGCATACTTAAACGAAGACGGTCGGAGAAATATTCCTGCCCACTTTTGCACCCAATACATATATACCAAATAATAAATAAAGGAAAACCTGCAGCGGCTGCTGCGCCGCTTTGTCGATGGCAGCGAGCAACACGGGGCGCAGTGCGGCGGCCAGCGCGGGTGCGGGCGGGCGGCGCGCGGCGCGCGACACCAGCGCCGTGTACGCCACGCGCACCGTCTGCGTCGTGCTCTTGGCGGACAGCCCTCTCTGCAACCGCAAATGAAATTAAAACACTGCTGGACGCGAGCCTTCCTTCAGTAAGATGGGAATCAGGCCACAGTCCACTACTATGCCAATAATTTGGGTTAGCGGACTTGACATGTCTTTTGAAAACTTTCTAGGTTCTCTCAGTCGTGCAGGTTTCCTCATGATGTTTTCCTTCACCGTAAGGCAAGTGGTAATCATGTTGAAAATTATTAGCAAATGAAAATATCAGATACGAGACCCGGGATTTGGCCCGGTTTATCTCGGTTTCCCAAGCGAACGCGTTACCACTGGACTACCACTGCTTTGAAATGAAATTAAACTTTATTCAATTAGACTTATTAGAATTGGATGTCTTGTATTACAAATATTATTTACCTTTTTTATTATGCAAAGTTGATATTAAATAATGTGAAGAATTACCTTATATATTTGTAGGATTTTATCTGACAATGGAATATCTAAGCTGTGAATCCACCTATATAGAACTTCTAATGCAACGCAGAGGGTGCGTTCGTGTGACTCGCTGTCTAGAACTTTTGATATTTGAGTGACAACTTCGTCAAACAGTTTCAGCTGTGTCTCTGGGTCCACTGCTAATTCACTGAGTGTGCCTACACCCTGGGGAATAAGAAAAAGATATTTAATATGACAAAAATAAAAATTAGCATATTATAATATGTATTAAATATTCTTACTCTTCCTCCAGGTAAATTTCTAAGAAATTAATTAAATTTCTAAGAAATCTATTGTTAACTGTAATGCCGGCGAGTCCGCGGTCGTTAAAGGACTAATATTATAAATGTGAAAGTATAGATGTTTGGATGTTTGTTACTCAATCACGCCAGAACGGATCTGGATAAAATTTGGCACAGAGATAGATTCTAGTCTAGAATAGCACATAGGTTACTTTTTATCCTGGAAACTAGGTAAAAATAATTTCTTTATTTATCTTTAACATTTTTGTCTCTCTATGAAATGGCGTATCATTTGAATTTTATTATAAAACTGTAAATTGTTATACACACCAAAGTTTATGAGATGTATGAAATATGGATCTGTTTGTTAGTCCTTCATGAAAAAAAATACAGGAAAGTAAATGGATATTGTTGAAACCTTACGGTAATATAAATAAATAAGCTTATCCATCAAAGTAGCACATAGGCTATAAAGATATAGTGATACATTATTATTCTTCGAGGATAAAGCGGCGTGAAAATGTTGTGGTTTAAAATTTTACATATATCAGTTTTCATTCCAAATATTTATTCTCAGAACTCACATGAAGCACGGCGATCTTATCCTCACTGGAGGTAAGTTTTCCGTTGGCGCCATGGTAGTGCGCGAAGGCGTGCGCCAGAAGGGCGTGAGCGGCTGCGGGCGCGGCGCAGCGCCGGGCCAGCGCCCGAAGTGCAGGCGCCGCCTCGCCACGCGCCCACTCGTCGCAAGAGTGCAGGTTCACTGAAGATTTATTATACAGTTACTACTACATTATAGGACTGTAACATCTATAAAATTACTATAAAGTAAGATTATTTACTATTTAAATCATAACATGTTTTATATTTAGCTTTTATATAGTGGTAATTGGATGAATTCGGAACATAATAATTAAATAAGTATCTAATACAGATTACAGAAGTAGTGTATATAGATATATACACTACTTATGTAGTAGTGTACACACTTAGATAAGTGTTTTTTAATACATTCTTTTATCTTCACTTTTAAGTGCACAATCCAATTTTAAAAGTATATTTTTTAAGTATAGAAGATCTAATCTCAATCATTGTAAGTATATGAAATCTGGATGAGAATAATTTAATCTTTGATTCTATGATGGGGTTATGTACATTTAAAAAGTTCTTCTAGTAGTTAACTAAAACTATTACTACTTTAATTCAAAAAAGGATATTTTTAAAGTATTAATTAATAAAAAAAATCAGCATCAAAAACAAATAAACATCACTTTAAATATCGAAAATTTCCTACCTATTAAGCTTTTTCCGATGTCTACAGCAATACCATCAACATATACATCTAAGTTGGCTAAAACTTCTCCTACAGCATGTATTATAGTCTCAGGACTTCTCAACATGGCTTTGTGAAGAGCTGGTAATAAGGTATCTTGAACATCTGATGATTCCAAGAGATGGAGCAAATCCGAACAGCCTCGAATGTAATTGGAATTGGGCCTAGTCTTCACACTAATGAGACTTTTGATTAAACTTTCTAGCATTTTTGCCTGTAAAAATAAACACTAATAGGTAAATACGGAACAATTGCAAATATAGTTTGATCCATTGTGCATTCCATTCACATCCTGTAGCTAGAATTACAGTAAAAGATAAATTTCTACCAAAACATTCAGCTACCTTGTGCTGTAATATAAGCGCTTCATCTCCAGCCTGTTTAGCATGTCTACACAGAGCAGAAAATGCCACACATATTTGAGGCCCAGAATCAGCTGACTGTGACAGCAGCACATTTATCCATTTCAATAACTTTCCATTGCCCATTAATTTCCATGAGTTATGTAACTGAAAAAATTAAAAGTTGCTTATTACATCATTTTTTTTTCATCATTTAGAGTCATGTAACATGTATAATTCAATATAAAAGAAAATATAAAAATAATTTAAATTAAATGAAAAAACTTACCACTGAATATCCTTTATCATTTTTCTTTTTATTTCCAAAAGCAGTGACCACAGCAAGAAGGTTTGCTTGGGTAAGCACTAAGATGTTGTAATCTATGGAGTCTTCTTCTGTTTTTAGTGATCCTTCCACCAACACTGTTGTCCATCGTAAGGCATATAAGCCAGTTTGGCATATACTTTTCCTGAAATATATAAATAAGTACTGTCAGTCAACAACACAAATTATTGAGGTCTTGTATTATTAAAAACATACAAATTAAATACTTACGAAGATGCAGTACATTTCAGATGTTCAGATACTTCTAACAATGATGGAAGTAGACTCTTGAGTGTCCAATCTTTGTGTTCCTTTGCAAGGTATGCTAATAAACTTTTAATGTAAGATTGAGATGTAGAGTCTCTATATCTGTTTAATGTTAATAGTAGCACTCGACATACAAATTTGACTGCTGGTTCTGTTATGCCTGTCCATTAATGATTTTCATGAAATAAAAGAAATATTAAAATATATATTTAAGTTACAAGTTTAATTTTAAAATAAAAATTTATTATTTGATTTTTAATATAACCTAAACATTTTAAACTTTAGCCTGTAGGTAGAAAATGATATATGTCAGAAGTGTCAATACAATATTGAAGTGAAGTTAACAATAACAGGACCCTCGTGTCACTTGCATATGATATGTTTTTGATTAATGCATGGGAGATTGGTGCTATATTCAGATGGCTAGTGTAAACTAGGGAGTTAAGGATCAATACAGCTAGTCTGGGCCTCAGCAATACAACTTCACTGCATATAGTACCATTTTTAACCAGCTATAATTCCTAACCACTACTAATAAACTTACTTACCTGGAGTTGATAAAACATCTTGAATTTCTTTAATAACTTCGTGTCTCCCTTTCAAACTTGCGGTTTGAATTTTAAATGGGATATCTTTTAACTTCTTTAAAACCTGTCAACAGACACACCAGTTAAATATTTATTATTGTTTGGTTATAGAGTTTTTCCATGGATTACTGAATTTACCTCAGAATCTGCCATTTTCTATAAACATTCAGAATTTAAGAAAGATCAGCCTGCAAAAGCACACGTCTCTCTAGACATTACAGATAAAAAGAAAAAAGTTGTGACAGCTGTCATAAATGTTGCCGTTTATCAAAAACATTACAACCTTTAACGAATAAACAAGTTAATAAAAATGAGTTATGGATGGTCCACTGATTATAGAGCGGTGTGATTTAGTACTATATTTCCAAACTTATTGTCACTTTATTTATTTTATTATTATATATTTTTAATTATGTACTTGCTTTCCTTTAGCTTATTTATAATACTTAATTTTCAACTACAAATTTTCAACTACCCTGTTTTCCAATTAGAGTACTAAAGCGCATTATGCGGCATAATACTAACTTCAAATGTTTCAACTACAGTAATGCACCGCACAATCGAGCGTTTTGAAAAGTACTGCTTTGGCGTGCTGTGCGCAATAAATATACCAACGAAGAAAAATAATTGATAGAAGTGTTATTTCTTAAAGATGGCATTGATCAAAAGTTTATTTACATTATCGTTAGTAATATTTGTTTAAATTTTATTTATATTATTATATATTAATTTGTTATATTTTATTATATATTATTACTATATGTGTATTATTATAATATACTTTACATCAGTAATTTTATTTTCTTTCAATAATGAGCCTAGTGCCCTCTGCTGGTGCGCTTGAAAACTAATTCACGTTCCAATTAAGCATAAGCACACTTCGGCATTGTGCGCCAAAGTACAGTATTATGTTCTGTATTTGGAAAACAGGGACTATTTACTAATCTGTCTGCTGTCAGTGTCAAGCATGGATGTCAAGTGTCAATTGTCATTAAATTTTGTCTGGCTTTTATTTGTCATCAATGGTTCAGTGTGCTTTATTTTTAATCCATGACTTTAGGTTTCTTTGGTACCCATGATTAAATTACTACAATATTCTAGATATATAATTTTGTAATAGTAAATACCACAGAGTAAACTGCTGCATACCGGATTTGGAGTTTGCTCTTTGGCTTTAGAATATATGAGTTATCAGGGGTCCTTCCTTCCGATGACTTATTTTATTTTTATTGCTATTCGTTTTAGTTAAGTTTCATGTAGTTAAACTAAATTAAAAAATATGGAATCAAGTCATAAATACTTATCCGAATTACGAGATTACATTGATAAAATTGACAATGAAGTCACGATGATATTACAAAGTTTACAATGGGATAGAAATACTTTGTTACAGGTAACTTATTATTTTACTATATATATATCTTTCTTGATATATAAGGACTCAAAATAACTAGACAATTTGTAATATTTTAATATGTTACAACGTTTTTGTAGGCTAAGGAAACAGTGGTTTGTAAATATGATTCAAACCATATTATCCCTATTGAAAAAATACAGAAACATGAAGAAAAATGCTCCATTAAATCAAAAGGTTATTCTCAAGAGGACATCCTTTTACCTGAACCACTTGATCCATCTGCTTGTACATTAGTAAAATTTAGTAAGTTCAATGTTAACTTTCACATGTAATCTTTATATGTAATTTGCAATAAATAATATTGATTGATCTAATATTATTTTTCAGCTTCAGACAACATCAATGATATAATAGAAAATGCAGCCAAATGTGATCCTTTATTTAAAAAAGGTATACTACTGTCTTAATTTTAGAACATTCTTCATCTTATACATAAATATTAAATTATTTTTTCATATTTACAGTAAGTACTGAATCCACTGGCTTAGGGTGGATCTATATATAATGTATCCTTTACAATTTAAATTCTAAACTAGAATATAAAATATTAAATTTGGTATAAAATAATTTTTAATATACTGATATTATTATTTTAAAAACAATATTTATATTACTTAATACAGAATTTCTAATAAAAAATCTAATTTATGCTATACTAAAGTATTCTTCATCAATATATTTGATAATTTTATTAAAAATACTTTAAAACGTAACATATACTCAAAAAAAGGTCACAGAGATGAATCTGAGCCCCTGACATTAGAGCGGTTACAAGCAACATATACAGCTGATGAGAGGAGAGCTATTCATGATGCAGTTGTCAGCACTATGCCTTCCTTTCATGATCTTTCGGATTTAATTTTGCCCAGGTATTATGTTAAACAACCATTAAAACTCATTTTTAATACTTCTTGTTTCATTATAAAATATTTATGTTGTGAGAATGGCTGATAGTTTATTTTTTCTCAGCAAATAGTTCCTATAATACATTGTTATTATTAATATTTTTATATATTTCTTAAACATATCTCTAATAATAACTTTCTATCACCAGTGAACAAGCAGGTTCAGTAGATAAACAGAAATCTCGTCAGCAAGTGCTAGCAGAACTGAGGGACATGAAGAGGCGTCGTACGCGCTACCGCGTCGCAGTGCCCACCCGCAACTACTCGCATGTACTTAGACAAGTTATATCTACACAGGTGATCTTTGTTTTATAATTTTCTATTTAAATGAAAGTGCTAATTCGTATTACTCTGCCTCTGTAGAATCTCTCAAATTGCTACTCGGTTTGGTCTAGCCATGATACTATAACTGGCCATGGGGCAGATGGGTGCATGTGAATCGAAAATACGAGATCATTTTAGCTGATAGTGCACAAGAATACTTACGATAATATAATGGCTTTCAATTAAAGAACTCACCATACTATCGTTGAATATCTAATCGTTATCTCTGTTGCATATGAAGTTTGTAGTCTGGTGCAAATAACACATGATACCGCTGCAGTACAATGGATAAATAGAGAGTTCCCCGCACTTATGTCTACTACTACTCTTATAGCTACTTAAAATTTTTTTTAGAATAAATTTCATTTATCGTTTTTATTTTTTATCAGATGGAGCTATATACTGAATCACAAATTAAAGTAAAGGATGAACCGTATGAAGAATATTGTGATGACAAACAAAGCTCAACTCAAAAGATGCAACAGGAAAGTTCTAATAGGGACACAAATAAAAAGAGAGAACACTACAGAGAAAGAGAAAGTCATAGTAGAGAAAATACTAGTAGAAACAGGGATGGAAGATATCAAAGAGATTACAACATGAGCGAAAAATATAAAAAGTATGATGATGATTATGATAGAAAGAGACAAGACAAGGAAAAACATTCCTATCATAGAAATAAAAATGAAAGAGACAGCTATTCAAGTTCAAGGAATGGAAAGAGGCATTGTGATGCATATGAGAGAGATGGCTATAGAGATAGTAGAAAAAACTACGATAATAGTTACAGATATGAGAAGCAAAGAGAACATTCCAGAGAGAAGAAGTATAGAGAGTATCGTTAGTTTCTAAGATTAAAAAAGTAATAATGCGACAATAAATACTATTTTGCTTTATATTTTGTGTCATTTTTCCATAGTAAATTATATTGCGTTAATTATAAGTGTGATTTTAAAAGTTTATGGCTTCTGTCAGGGGACAGTTGATCCCCTTTTTGTTAGAACCTCTAAATTTTTACTGGAATCTAATCGATCTAACGTTCTTTCTAACGAACACAAGCACAGTCTGTATATATTTTGTCTAGTAGTTGTCTGTACTATTTTTTAAATACATGATTAAAATAAAAGGTTTTAAAGAAAAAATATCAATAGGTAAAATAATGTTGCGGAGACTAGTGTAAGTGTGAAAGTCAAACATTTATTATTCCAACCTGTTGGTAGCATTTATACATAAAATATAGGCATATCAAATTAAAAGACAAAACAAAAAAATAAAATATAATAATTTATAGTTTCCTGGAAATCAAGGATCCCCACTCTCTCTTGTATGTATGTATTCAGCCCTTATTAACGTCCCACTGCTGGGCACGGGCCTCCCTTCAATACGAGGGGGTTCAGGCCATAGTCCACCACGCTGGCCAAGTGCGGGTTGGCGGTCTTCACATGACTTTCGAAAACTTGCTAAGTTCTCTCAGACATGCAGATTTTCTCACAATGTTTTCCTTCACCGTAAGGCAAATGGTAATCTTGTTAGAAATGATTCGCACATGAAAATATCAGAGGTGCGAGGCCCGGGGTTTGAACCCGCTTCACTCGGTTTCCCAAGCGAGCGCGTTACCACTGGGCTACCATTGCCACTCTCTTACAAAAAGTAAAATTATATAAATACTAGCAGAACCTGCGGCTTCGCTCGCGTTAAAACTCTAAAAAAGTAGGTGTGGGTTTCATACAAATTTCCATCACCTATTTTATCCCCTTAAGGGATGAATTTCGAAAAATGCTAAAACACGTATTTATTTAATTGTATTGAAGAACATGAATACCAAGTTTTAAGTAATTTTGATCATGAATATTTTTTTGGGTTGTATTAAAACGTGTTGTCCCGTGGGAATGAGATTATCTCCCGCGGTAAAAAGTAGGTAGGTACTATGTATGTCCTATGTCACTCTCCAGCACTCTATCTCCACACAAAAATGACAATCCGTTACTTTGTTTCGACGTGAAAGAAGGACAAACAAACAAACACACTTTCACATTTATAATATTAGTATTGATATGGATGTCTTCATCCATTCTTGGCTGAGACCTATATCATTCCTACTAGCAAGTAGGAGTAAGCGGTAGTTCACTTCGTTACTATCTTGGTATGTAGGTATACATCGGCTATTCAATTAAATTTTGATCTTCTAAGTTACGAGTATTATCTGCAATTTATCATCTCATAAAAACAGCATTTACGCATTAAGGTATACGTTAAAATAAAATTAAACGTTCCACATAACGGTATCGCCATTAAGCATCATCTGGTTAACGAGCTGCGACGACTTAAAATACCATATAATACGTATGGTGTACTATACAATATACATATAACATGTAAATGTAATTATGCAACTTATATAAAATGATGAAATTGTTAATTTAATGGTTATTATTAAATAGTCATTCAAAATAATATTCATCTTAAAATCAAAACGTTTCCAGAAGTTTGCTTTAGTTATTTAGAGGAAGTTTTAGCTATTTAATGTCATAACAAGTAATGGTTTTTTTACACAATCTATACAACATACACACAACACAATCTATAAAGACAATCTGATATTTAACCGGAAAGAGATTAGGTACAGTACCGACGGATTCACGTGCCCAAGCAAGACTGCTGACATTGTCAATCTCTAGACTCCAGCTCTGGACTGCAGTGACTATATTATGTAACATACCAAATGAGAAGAAAATTTAACAAAAAAACTAATTGTTTACATTCTTTAAAATTTAAGGATTAAGACACACTTTGAAGTTTTTTTAAATTTAGTTTCTAATATTCTTTAATTATACTTATTAAAAGGAACTTATCCCGAAATATAGCGTATAAATGATGGTAACTGTAATTATGCATTTCACTGGCTATACTCAGTAGTGGATACATAGGGGCGTATTGCACGCGCGCTGCGCAGGCGCATCACGCACGGAACGTACGAGAGAAACTGGATGAATCGATGATTACTGTGATCTGCTTTTCATAGTCTGTTGCGCTGTGTGCATTTGAAAATGGTGCATCATTCAAATGTCTTAGATAAAAGATTTATCGCACTTTGTGAAATGGGAAAATTTTAATAAATTTAAACAATACATTATGCTTTTTAACTTAATAATTTTATTTTGAACATGAGATAACTTAAGGTTGCCAGGCCTAGGTAAAAACGAATTTAAACACATTTACAAAATTCAATACGATTTTTATAGGCATGTCTTACGAAAACAAATATCATATTATACTTTTTTAATTATTAAAATCACTCAGTGCGGAAGTTACCACCGCGTCGGCTCGAAAATCGAAATGCGGTTATGAAAAGATAAATATCAATTTCGTATTATTTTTATTTGTTACAAGTTATTTTAAGTTTTATTTATAGGATGCACTACTTCGTGTAATAATCTAACTACAAATCTTGACAATATAAGTAATATCCACTACATATATTTATTTGTAAGGCAGTGGTAGCTCAGTGGTAACGCGCTCTCTCGGGACACCGAGTGAAGCGGGTTCAAATCCCGGGTCACGTACCTCTGATATTTTCATGGTCGAATCATTTTTCAACATGATTACCACTTGCCTTACGGTGAAAGTAAACATGGTGGTGAAACCTGCATGTCTGAGAGAACCTAGCAAGATTTCGAAAGAGGTGTGCAGTCCGCCAACCCGCACTTGGCCAGCGTAGTGGACTAAGTGGGACGTTAAAAAGGCTCAATACACTATGACATATGTTTTAAATTATTGCGTAAGATTAGAACTTATATATAAAAACTAATTGACATCTGTAGCTGTGGCTTCTGTGTAGAACCTACATATATCATAAATACTTACACTGCGGGAGTCGCCGCGCCATGTGTGTCAATTAACCTGAAGTTATAACGTCAGAGAGGTATAAATATCCTTATTAGTTATAGTTGGCGCCTTGCAGGATGATGCTTTACACTTATAAAATTGATGTAATATAAAATACAAAATAATACAATAGATTATAATAAGTCTGCGAGTGAGTCAGGGCGAGTTTTTCTTCTTGACGCTGTAACAGCTTAACAAATGTTAGGGATATTTGCACGTCACCAAAAAAGTTTAAATAGCTTATATAAAAAGAGCTTTTTGGTGTTTATTTTAAAAATAAAAGCTTTTTTTAAAAAAGCTACCCTACATGCAGTTATTTATAAAATCTGTATCTGTTTAGCTAGGTGTAGAAATGAAAGTGATGGCCGTAAAATATTTAAAGGCTAATTTGCTTTATAATATTGCATTTCTATACTATCTTTTTGGTAATTTGTTTTGCATAAAGAACGGGATCATGAGGGCGTAATAGAAAATACCTATACCTACTACTTTCTATATATATTCTGAAAGCATCGAGCACCTAAAACAACTAAAAGATAGATAAGGCAGTGATAAATGTTATCAAGTAGGAATCTTACATGCTATATATTACTTCTCATTGAATTACATTCTTACCACTGTACTATATGGTTGCTCAAGAAAAAATAATTCAAATGAGTTCCATGCACCTAATAATTTTAATTATTTACAATGACACGCACGAGTACGGGCTGTATCAAGAGTTTCTCTCATCAACATAAGCGCGCTTTAATTATCCACCGTACACTCGTGTGTGCAAAAAGTCAAGAACCACTTTGATTGCTATTTGGAGTGTGGAGATTATTAAATTAAGATTTGTAGCTATTTCTTAAGCACAGTTTCTTGATTTAGTAGCAAGATATCATCCTTTGACCATCTTTAGGTCATCATGTTTTAGGTTCAAGTTTTGGTTCGATCAAAAAGAGCTATAGGGATTTTACTATAAGAACTCATAACGCGTCGATATGCGCCTTATTTTCCTCCGTACTACGAATAGGTAATTTTACAGGAAAAATTGCACCAACCTCAAAGTCTGATTAGTAATTGTTTCATCTAAGTGATGTTTTTTTTAATTTATGTGCGAATTGGGATCACCCCTAAGGTATGCCTAAACTTTTTATAAAAAAATAAATACGTTATATGAGTATCGATTAGCAATTGGTGCAGATAGCGCGTAACATACATACAAACAAATACATCCGAATTGAGTTTCTCCTCCTTCGAAGTCAGGGTAAAAGAGAGAATAAGAGCAAGAGTTCTGATATTGTTTACGCACTTGCGCTTTATGATATCTAAATCTATTCTTATCTCTATCTGCATTTGAATAATCAGAAACATTTTATCGACGTGAAAACTTTCATCCAGGGCAGGGAAAAATCTCTGCAGCCATTTCAGTGAGAGGAGATCAATCTCAATACCAAAATTCTTTTATTGTGTAACTTTTATTAAATAAGTAAAATATTAATTTAAATTCATTTTATGTGGAAACAAGCAATTTTATAACAATACAAGAAAATTCACATGCCAAAAGTTGTTATTTTTATTAAATTAAATAATATTCATTTTATTTCGTTGTATAATCAGATTTCTTTGTACTTTTACTTAAATTAGTTAAAATAGTATGTTTTTTTACAATAGCGGTCAATGTTGTACGTTTTAATTAAATATATGTTTATATAATTAACTTAAAATTGAACTGATTTCTTTGAAGATTCTTTTTGAGGATGTATACGTGATGCTGTCGCGTTTCATTCAAGATATGCTGGATAGATTTTAAGCTTATAGGTAATATTTTGAATATTAGATAAATTAAATAATAAAAAAAGTAGGCATAAGGACTGCCGACAGAAGTGAAAACCAAAAACTATAAACATACAGTTGTTATTTTTGGATATTCAAATTAATTCTTTGATCGTCAATTAAAAGTTCACATTTATCT